ACGCCATTAGCACTGGCCAGTATACTGGAATATATTACGGAATACATCCTTAGTATTCTCTCACTGTGTCAGCATAAGCTGTGTCAGGGTCCTGATTAGCCGTCCTAGTTTTATGTTATTATTTTTTGTTCTGAGGTTAAGTTTATCTTTATTTTCTGTTGTTATTTATAGTTTTTTTTTTATTGTGTAAGATGGCCAATAAAGGTTTATCATTTCATTTCATTTTAATCTAATATAATAAACCGGGGACGGGCAAACCTTTTCTCATCGTGCGAATATTTACTATAAAACCTATGGCGAGCCAGATATTTAAATTTTTGACTGCCTTTTTTTTTAAATCAATATTTAAGAAACCAAAATTTCATTTTCAAGTTTGCGATGAAGTAAGTACCAGGTTTGACAGCAGATCCTTGTCGGAACATGTGCCAAAATGTTAATGTCATGGTAGTTAGTTGGTGGGATTTGCGCGGTCGCGGACCAGAATTAAGCCCTTCAAGAGCCGGAGATAGCCCGCAGGCTGTAGCTGTCCCACCCTTGTACTAATCCAATGTGGCATCGGAGGACACAGAAGCTATATTTTGTCGCACTAACAAAATTCCAAGAAGATGAAACATGGGGATGTAAATTGGTATCAGGGCTGGATTTAAGGCTGAGCTGTGGCCCAGGAGCCCCCACAAGAGAAGAGCTCCACAATATAGAAAAAGCGGCCCTACTTAAGATTTGCACCCTCGTCGAAATTTGTTTTTTAGGTCCAGTACCCTTAGTACGAGTTTTACACTTACTAAGGGTGCTGATTTTATTGTTTTCGTTTCAATACAAATAAACAGTGTTTAAATTCTATCATTAAATCATTTGCGTCTTCTTAAATTTTAAGTATTAGTAAGGTTACTTTTCACGAAAATGGACATAGAAACACATTTTACAATTACGAAAACTATGATATTTTTCGTGAGCTCAAACTCGTACTAAGGATATATTTAGTGCCCTGCCCACCTCTAAATCCGGCCCTGGTTGGAATTTTAAACCGATTAATGTATGCAGTAGAAGACCCGCTCAAGTGCTAGTATAATAAAATAAATATCTTCAAGGATCCTTGCGGAGTTAAAATATACGCCATGATTTACTCTGCTGATAAAACTCCAAAAGCGTCCCTCTTTCAAATCCCAGTAAATCTTTTCTGAAGTACGCAAAATCTATGCTTCGAAAAATAATATAATCCAGGCATGGCAAAAACACGATGGCGGGTGCATTGATCGATGTTCACACACAACACTACTAGTAAAAAAATAATCAAATTCACAACCGAATTTTCTTATAAACCTATTCCCACATATTCCAAAACGCGGACTGAAGTTAGTCACGGTTTAAACCTAACGTAGACTCTGTCATCTTTTTAGCAAAGGAGGGGTAGAGTCATTTGCCTACCTGACTATAGAAAAAAAAAGTGACAGCATCAGTTTTAGTCCCGGTTTAACTTTAGTCTATGTTTTGCAATAAAGGCGGATTAGGTACTTTAAAAATATAATGCACGTACTTTTTGCTTTGTTCGAGTATTCGTTATCGAGTAAGTTCCGTGTGCAGCATCTAGTGCGCAAGCGCAGTGCACAACCCGCGCTGGTCCCGACCGACTGCCGCCACTGAGCCGATGGGGCCTTGTCTCAATTTACGGAATAGATTATAGTGCAGCCCGTGTGAAATGGAACGGAACGACGGTTAATATTTGCCATCTCTTTAACAAAAATCTATACAGGTATATAAAACTCAAAGGTGACTGACTGACATAGTGATCTATCAACGCACAGCCCAAACCACTGGACGGATCGGGCTGAAACTTGGCATGCAGGTAGATGTTATGACGTAGGCGCTAAGAGAGGATTTTGATCAATTCTACCCCCAAGGGGATAAAAAAGGGAATGAATGTTTGTATGAAACTTTGTCAATTTTAAACCGATCTGGTTGGGACTTTGCATACAGGTATAAAAAGAATCATAGATGAATGTCATTGTGTATAACACAAGCCTGAGAACAAAAACTGTAGTCTACACTTCAGCTCTACACCGAAGCGAAGCGAGGGCGGGCTGTTAGTATATTATATATAAAATTCTCGTGTCACAATGTTAGTTACTCTCCGAAACGGCCTGATCGATTTTTATGAAATTTTATATGCATATTCCGTGGGTCTGAGAATCGGCTACTATCTATTTTTCATATCCTTAAGTGATAATGGTTGTCCACCTGTAACGTAGTGTTCTGTAACCTACAATGCGCCTTCGCGCCAAAATTCAAACTATTGGGTATTGTAACGTAGTGTTCTCATATGGGTTAGGAGGAATGTTATCCCAGGAAATTGATAGAACACTACGTTACACACCCCTAAAATTTATTTGGACAATATTTATTTTTTAATAATGTGGTATTAAAAATACATACAACCCTAAATTATCTCTTCTACCACTTGCCCTTATTTTAATGGCGTTACGAAGTGCGCTGGGTCAGCTAGTTGATTTATAAAAAGAGTCTTAACAAAGACAGAAGTAATATTTGAAATTACTTTAGTTAATTAACATAATTTTTAGACTATTACACGAACTATTTACACCTTTAATTATGCAACATGATAAATATTTAAATATTTTGCTATGCCTGGGTGTTAATTGCATTAATATTGGTATGTTTTTTGAATATCTATAAAAAACACAAAAAAACCAAGAAATAATCTCACTACAACGGTAGTATTAATATTATTATCGGTAATATTATGTTAGTTAATTCAACTATATCATCATCCGAAAATGTTACATATACGTGATTTTCAATTTTATAAACATTGACTATTATAAGAAATGAACATTTGGATTTGATATGAAAATTTAATATATTGTTTGAATGATTTTTTTTTCTTAATTAATAATATGATGATAAAGGACATGATTTTGAATTGTTTTGAGGTTATTTGAATTGTTCAATTATATATGTTTTCTGTATTGCATGCTGTGTGACAGTAAAATATGTGATACTTTATTTATACTGAATGTGTAACATAACATCAAACACAAATGTAACATCTTATGCAAATAAAGACTTCAGACTTCTGATCAACAAAACAATTTGGATATTTAAATCTAAAGAAAATATAACTAGAAAAAATTCCACGCGGACCAGGCAGCAGACAGGACTCGAACCCGCACCCTTCGCAATCCGGGCGAATGCACTGACCAATGGCGCTGCCTTGCAGCTTAAGAATAGCTAGAAGGAATTTCGACGCGGTCCGTGAGGGCCGCGGTAGCATAATTGGTCAGTGCATTCGCCCGGATTGCGAAGGGTGCGGGTTCGAGTCCTGTCTGCTGCCTGGTCCGCGTGGAATTTTTTCTAGTTATATTTTCTTTAGATTTAAACATCAAGCAGTTACATGCTTTAAAAATAATAAAAATTATAACTATAATTGCTATTTCTTCTTTCAAATGTTTAATACTTGTAAAAGTATTCATTTGACATTGTGGGTTTACCTATAATGCGAAGAGATGGCGCTGCCTTGCAGCTTAAGAATAGCTAGAAGGAATTTCGACGCGGTCCGTGAGGGCCGCGGTAGCATAATTGGTCAGTGCATTCGCCCGGATTGCGAAGGGTGCGGGTTCGAGTCCTGTCTGCTGCCTGGTCCGCGTGGAATTTTTTCTAGTTATATTTTCTTTAGATTTAAACATCAAGCAGTTACATGCTTTAAAAATAATAAAAATTATAATTTGGATATTGTTTTCTTTTCAATATAACCCTAAACAAGTACACCATTTGATGTGGTTGAAATTAAGATTCAAGCTAATAAAAATATATTAAAGATGTAAAGGCACCAATGCTGTGCAACGCGAGTATGGCCGCCCGGTCAATTAGATCTAAATTAACCATGTGGGAGCTGCCCCTGATAACGTGCCCCAGCGAGCGCCCGGCGCGGTCACCGATCAATTAATACGCCATCGTAGACATTACACGATGCATCCATACTATGTACACTCATCAATAGACTCTAAGAAACATGGGTCATTTATGCAAACTGCAAGTTTTATCCTATCAATATTATAAATGTAAGTTTCCATGTTTGTGACTCAATCATTCAAAAACTACTGGACGGATTTGGATGAAACTTGGTACGAATATAGTTTATGACCCAGATTGTGACATAGGATACTTTTTCGCCCGTAAAAATGTCAGGTTTCTTTCTAGTTTCAGGTGGGATTCTGAAAAAACTTAAGTTAACGCGGACGAAATCGCGAGCGGCCGCTAGTGTATAATATATTCAAGGTATTTTTACTAGCCACAAAAAAAAATTATCATTAACAAAAGAATAGAATCTACAGAAAATTTCATTAGAAAATAAAACTTTAGATTTAAACATCTAGCAGTTAAATGTTAAAATAAAATAAAAAAAGTAGAAGTATTAAAAATATCATTCAAAGTTCTAAACAGCTGATGTTGCTGAAACTCTTTTGATGATTATCATATAAGAGAAAAAATCTGCTTGTCTGTTAGGCTTGAGCCCCAATGGCGTCGCCAGCTTATAGCTAGGGGGGGCACAATTGCTCGCACTTTGGTCGCCTTGCAGCTAGCTACATTCGATCTTTAGGGTGAGGGGGGGGAGCAGTTGCCTCCCCCCCCCCCCCCCCATTGGACGCCCTTGTTTAGCCCAAGTCATGGTCTATCACGCAGTCCTAGTGCGAATTGGTGGTAACCATAGTCACTAAGCAGCCTCGAGCACGAACAGTATATTATTAAACACGTTGAAATTTGAACAAGAATAACCTAGTTATACAGATATTTTGTAAATAATTGAATAAAAATATTATGAAAAAAAAAATACCTACCCTTAGTCACGAATTCAGGTTACCTTTCAATATGTCATTTAATATTAACCAAAGGTAAAGATTGAAGAATGCTGATTATGAAATAAATTGTATAAAAAATCTACTTACAGTAACAATGTATTTTGATGTTGGTTGTCAACGTAAGCATTACTGGATGGCGTTTAACTTACCTGTAACCAAAAAAATATGTGTCTTAAAACTATAGTCATTATTAAAAATTATCTAAATTTTATTCAGAAAAAGCATTTTATCAATAAATATAACATATCCCCTTTTCATTGATTTATAATGATGACTTATTCAAAAATAAATAGATGTCACCACCGATGGTTGGAATCGGAATAAATAAACTTAATAGTATAATCATGCATTTAATCATAAAACCACTGTTTCCATTTTTACTAAAATTATGTTTAACCTATCCTAAATGCACGAGTGAAAATAAGAGGCGAAACCAAGTGACGCTATCTGTCGGGAAAATCCGTAAACCACGTTTAACGTGACAATGTGCTTAATCTATGTACAATAAAATATCGTTCTCTTTAATAAAAGATAAAAATAGCTATCCAAATAATAGGAAGCACAGAACAAATGTTAAACCTGATATTCGTACAAAATACTTCACTTACGTATTATTTTATTTCAGAGAATAACAGCAGCAGTTGCGCCTTACTGACCAACTGACTTGTTATTACAACCTAACCTTATTCGATCAGCTTGAGTCATACTCACCACCTTATATGTAAGTACGTATCTAAAGCTAATTAATACTATTGCTATTTGATAACTAGATAATGCATTGTTTTTATTTGTTGAGAGGGTCGCATTGTCTAATTCAATAAATAAATAAATATTTCCAACACCCACACCAATTAGACTAGCCTCAAAGTAAGCACTTAGGCTTGAGGAGCTCGATGGCACAAGTGTTTACCGCTTTCGGCTGCAATCGCTGAAGTTAAGCAACTTTCGCAGTGGTCGGTCATTGGATGGGTGACCGAAAATTCACTATCTCGAACTCCTTCGTGCTTCGGAAGGCACGTTGGCCCTACCCTTGGCACCCGCCAATCCGCACTGAGCCCTCGTGATGGGTCATGGCCCAATCTCCCTATTCCATCCATAGGGAATGCCTGTGCCCCAGCAGTGGGGATACTAGGGTAATGGATAGAATACATATTCTGTACATATATAAGTATATTTCTATAGAAATACATATTAAACATCCATGACTGGAGAACAAATTCTCGTTTTCATCACACAAACATCTGCTCCCACCGGGTGTTGAACCCGGTATCTCTCGAGTTGGCGCCACCATGAAACCCGGCGTTCAAGCCAATCGGCCACGGAGGTCGTCAAATTTGTACCTAGATTGGGACATTTATTTACCTAAAGCTAATAAATTTTCCTGTAAATGTAAATATATTCCTATGAATTAAATGTATGATTGTCTATGCATATAGCACTCATCTGACGACCTCCGTGGTTGAGTGGTTTGTACGTCGGGTTTCATGGTGTCACCGACTCGAGAGGTCCCGGGTTCGAATCCCGGTGGGGGCAGATGTTTGTGTGATGAATACGAGCATTTGTACTCCAGTCATGGATGTTTAATATGTATTTCTTTATAAATATACTTATATATGTACTGTATATGTATTCTATCCGTTACCCTAGTATTCCATAACACAAGCCTCACAGTGCTTACTTTGGGGCTAGGCTAATTGGTGTGAGTGTTGGAAATATTCATTTATTATCTCTTTCTCTTAGAAATTATTATTCATTTCATTTCTCCCAATATTTTATTTTGGTACTTTTTTTTATTATATTGTACACGTTTATAGTAATTCAATTAAACAAATGATCTTATTAATAACATTTTAAATGACAAAAAATTACCCAACTTTTCATATTTCACATGTCTCCTCTTAGGACTTAGACAATCAAAGTCAATTTTTATAAATTACAAATCATAAATGAAAAATGTTTACAAACCAAAGATAGAACAGTCGCCAATGACCCAAATACTATGAAGCTAATTAAAGCAATGACTGGTTACTAACTGATAGCAGTTCAAATAAACAAACATCAGATGAAGATAGAAAAACCGCCAATTGCGAACCGCCGCGCACGTAGGGTTCCGTATCAATATCACACTTACAACATGAGACACTATAATTTACATTTACATTTGTAATGGAAAGTGACTACATGAGTTATCTCATATTGAAGTCATTTTTCAATTTGACGGCTCTGTATATAATACAGGGAGAAAAAAACAGCCCTTGCTGAGTTTCTTGCCGGTCCTTCTCAGTACAAGGTCTCGCGCCGTAGATTTGCGAACCGATGGTGTAGCTTTTCGACATTCACAAGTGCTTGTAACAGCCTAGACTGAATAAACGATATTGAATTTTGATTTTTTTTTATATTTTATAAGACTTAGCAGAAAATGACAAAAACTTATGTCTGTTGCATGGGCATTAAATTAAATGCATTAAATATTAATTTTATTATTTCTTTTTAAACTGAATATATAACTAAATTATTCTGTAAATATTTCAAGCGTTTATTTGTTACCGGTATCACACTAATATTATAAAGGCGAAAGTTTGTGAATGTGTAAGTGTGTATGTTTGTTGCATCTTCACGTGTAAACGGCTGGAGCGATTTTAATAAAATTTGGTATGGAGTTAGCTGACACCCTGGATTAACACATAGGCTACGTTCTACTGCGGGAAAATATCCCTTATAAACTAACACCACGGGGCACAGCTAGTTTAAATTAAAGCAAAAGCGGCAAAAAACAACACGTTTGTCGTAACTCGTATTGGAGCACGCCTTAAATATTAACTGTATTCGGTTATTAGCACTAAATGTTGTTAAAGCAGAAACAGAAATACATTATCTGACTGTGAACATTTCAATTGTCTGGCTTTTACAATTCATGAGATACAGGTGACAGACAAAAAAGGATAGTGGGGTTTTATTAATAGGGATACGGAACTCTAAAAACGGATGAATTTACAACTGCCAAACACACCGACTACATTGTGTCAAGGCGACACAACTAGATAGTGGACTTGACTATAAATTCTGCTAACTTAGATAAAAAATTATGTAATATGAAAATGAAATCATAATAATAAACATTTTCCAATTTTATTTTTATTACGCTTCCACGCCTACTACTGAACTATATAAAACATGTCGAGGGTTTTTTTTTTATTTATTTGAAGAACCACTAACAGGTTTACAATCATATTATTTGCTATACATATAATCTAAAGAGTCGTTGATTATTGCAAACCCAACATTGATGGTTTCATTTTCATTTTACATTGTTTTTCATTACAGTGACAACAATTTAATATAATGTGTTTTACATACAGTTTATGCATAAAGTAAGTGACTTATTTTACTAATGGTTAATGGATAGGCTTTACTTTTCAAAGTTATTATTTAAAAGGAATTGTTAACGGTTTTAGCATATAAGTATATATTTTAAATTATATACATATAATAGGAAACAAGTGAAATGAACAAAACATGTCATATAACCAGTCTAAACTTATTCCTTGTTTATTAATAAGGGGGAATAAGCTTTCAACCGGAAAAAAGTGGATTTTTTATTCCTACCACAAATAAACCGTTTCAACTAGACTTGCAACGAATATTTACTTACTATTCGGTATTCGGCCTATTCGGCTGCTTTTATTATATTCGGCCGAATACCGAATACTTAAATAATATATTTTGTCATAGAGAAATGATTGGTAAAATTAAAAATTAAAATCAATTCATTACGTATATATTCATATTTTCATTTATGTTATATAATCATTTATTTAAGTAATCATTGATACATAACACAGGTATATAATCATCTTCTGAATTGGAAAAATAGAGGATTCTATGTATTTGAATTATTGTGGTAATCAAAATTTAGAAGGTAAGGTTCTCATTTCTTTTATAATCATTTATTAAGTAGTCATTGGTACATAAAACAGGTAAATAATTTAATCATTTTCTGTACTAAACAATAACAGTTTTTAATTCATTCAGTCGTGTGATGAATGGTTACATAATAGCAATAATTTAAAGTTTACGCGCCGTTTTTGGCCATATCTCATAAGTTGGTTTTGCCATTTAGTCGCATTTTAATTTGAAGACAGCAGATTAGAACAAAACAAAGGAGCGCGAAACAATCACGTCTGTACAAGTTTTTGGCGCTAAAATCCAGCCGAATACTTTTGCCTAATATTCGGCTATTCGGTCAGGGGCCTCGCCGAATATTCGGTATTCTGCCGAATATACTATTCGTTGCAAGTCTAGTTTCAACCCCCTCTACCTACGGCTACTGACCTGAGTGTCCCTGAGGTCTGGTTCACTGGCCGCGGCTGCCAGTCCGTCGTCAGCCGTCACCGAGCACACTTCTCCGCAACTGGCGCTTAGAGCTCTTCTCCTGGCATCACGGCAATCCCGATTATCACTACACTCTTTGTTAACACGGTTCTCGTGGTTACTGCAACTCTCTTGCTTCTCTTGAGTGTCGCCGTCCCGCGATTCGCGGGAACGGTCGCGTCCAGACAGCATGTTCTTTGTTTTGGCGAGGATGTTCAGCGGCTTGATAGATTTGCGGACCTGTTGAAAGATTATACGCTATCATTAAATTTTATTATCATAAAGAAACGGACTATGCATGATTGAGCAGAGATCAAATAAAATTGACCCTAACTACCCCTTTGAGAAATGTGCTTGCTTGATTTGTGAGTTAATGAACAAATTCGCTTATCAACAGTGTCAAATTATTGTTATTATGTACTTAAAATAACGTAAAGGAAAGGATTTATATCTCCTAGAATAAAGGTTTACCTAAACTAGGAAGCAGAGAAAAATATGTTAACGTCGGCATTGTACTGTAATATGATATTGTTGAAAAAAGTGTTTGTATGTTGTTTTTGGACAATACATTATTATTATCGTCAGCCCATTAATTTCTCCACTGCTGGGGCACAGGCTTACCTTATGGATGTAATAGGGAGACTAGGCCATGATCTGCCACCCCGGCCCAGCGCATTGGTAGATATGCTAACGACTACAAATGCAACCAAAACCAACGGCTTAACGTGTCTATGAGATAATAAGTTTTTGGTCAGCCATTGAATAACTGACCATTGCGAAAGATGCTTTGCTTTCACGATCGCAGGTCAATGCGTCAACCACCAGCACCAGCGAGCTTCTCGAAGTAATACAAGACACAGTAAATAGAGTTCTGCTAATAAATACATTAAATCACCCACCTTGCACTTGACAGAAGCAGGGTGCACAAAGTTGTCATCGTCATGTTCGGGCTTCGTTTCCCGAGGGCGAAGCACCAGCATGTCATCGAGGGAGGCCTGCAGGTGATGGCGGCGCACCCGCGGGGGCTCCTCGTGGCTACGCGCCGACCGCACCGAAGCCCCATCCGCACCCCACCTGTCCTCATATATCTCTACAGACTCCGTCCCCAGAGCTTCGTACAACCCCTCCCCTTCGCTGCACACGCGATCGTAAACTGCCCCGCTCCGCCCATTGTAATCGTAATCATCGTTCGCGCGCCGCACCGGCTGAGGTTCATTCGCGTTCAACATGACGTCGTCCAAGTTCAGCGGCCGGCCTTGCCCCGCGAAACCGTCCACGACAGGAAAAGCGTTCGAAAGAAACGACCCGTCGACGTCAAACCCGCATCCCACCAAACCCACAGGTCTGCGCAGCGGCTCTCGGACGAACGCGTTCATCGCTGGGGCTCTCGCGAAGTCCACGACTAGTATACGGTCTGCTATATTGCGGCAGTCGTTGTGGAAACCGATGCCCGAGTCGCTGTTGCTGGAAGTCGTAGTCACTTCGCTGTGGTTGCTTGGCTGCGGCGAGTTCGCGACGAAATCTGCGGCGTCGTCGTCGGGCCGGCCGCCGTGTCGACGCTCCCGCGGCAACCTGAACGCGGCTCTGTTGCATCTCGAGAAATCACCCAACGCTGGACTATCGCCTTTGACAGCCAACTTCGAGATCGGCGGCAGCCCCGGACTGGAGCTCTCTTCGGGTGGTAAACTGTACATTCCTCGAATCACCCCGACCACGTACTCGGCCGATGGTGGAAATTCTAAACATCTCTCCGCGACTGGATCCCTGGTGCAAGCTACTTGGAACTCTCGCGCTCTCGGAATATGAGCTTCGTGCTCCGCCATTCTTGGATCGACGGCGAATACGTGGCAGCTGTGCGACGCCTCGGCCTCTTGAGACTCGGCCGACGTGACGAGGCCGAAGAATCTTCGGTCTGCTTCTGAACCGCAGCCAGCATGAACTATTCTCTCGCGGGGATATTGCGCTAATACTTGTCCAGTGGGTCTTCGCAGGAATAGAGCATTTGGGAGAACGGACAACAGCACTGGCGCGGCCGGGCGGCGCTCTTGTCTGAGTTTTCTCACAGCAGTCCTCACATTGCCGGGGGCGGCAGTGGCAGCAGCTTGTGGAGTTTCTATAGTGCCTAGGTACCCCACCACAGCCCTACATTCGAGGCGAGCCACATGATTACTTGAAAGCTGTGCATGCCTCAAGTTCTGAAGGATTTCGTTAACACCTGAAGTGCTGGGAGCAGCATGACAACCTGAAATTTATATAAAAAAATTATTATTATATTAAAAGCTTTCAGTTTTAATTAAGACAAATCCATAAATCACAAATACTGCAAGCACATAAATTATGTACATTACACAAAAACAAAAAATATAAGAAGTAATAATGAAGTTAGTGCAAATAAATAGATGACAAATTTTATTTATGTGCATTATGAGATGTATTAGTGGTGAAGTAAACATGCTGTTGGGTTGTAATATATCATATGCAGTCAGTGTAATTGCACACATTCCCATTTCATTAGCCATTTCAAACACATCTACTTAAGACTTGTGGTTAACTCATGAATACAGACACGTTCATCAAGGAATAGTATCTATAGTAATGCATGGAATCCCATACTAAACTAATTCATATCCAATGCCGGCACTTCGCTTGGCTTGCTATTTATAAACTCGGCATCAAGCTATCCTTTTCATTCCCTATAAAGCATGGTAAGGACAGACACCTGGGGGCCAATCGCCTAACGGAAATGCTTTGGAAAACGCTAACGCTTACGATTTTATTATGTTATTTCTAACCGCCTGAGGTATTCAAATGCCTCGCGCTCTTTCTTTTTCTTTTGCATTGGTAATAACAATATTAAAAAAGATGAGCGTGAGTTATTCGAAAACCTCAGGCGGCTAGAAATAACAATATAAAATCGTAAGCGTTAGCGTTTCCCAAAGCATTTCCGTTAGGCGATTGGCCCCCTGTTAAGTTTGCAAATAGCAAACACAAACAACCAAGAATTTTAGATTTCATGAAAAAATCATCAATGAAAAGAATGCACTTTATATCATAAATGTAATTATCTGATTAATTATCAGTATCTACTTTAGTTATTTGTTTAGATGTTTATAAATTATTATCTATGACTTCTTGGAACAGACTGCAGGTCAATTCACTATAGTTTATGTATGAGTGTTATTAATTATCATCATGATAAAAAAATAGGTGTTATGAATATGATTAGTATAACATAAAATAAAAAAATCAATAACTGACCATCAACAAAGGACAAATTATATATTCCCTGCAGTTAATAAATCACAGAACAAATAAATAAATATATGACTAAATATTATTGTTTTTAGATGTCACTCTCACAACTTATTTAAGTATTACTTAAAAAAACATTTCTTAACTTATTTTCTCTTATGGAAAGTAAAAAAACAACTCTTATGCTTTTGTCACAGCATTATAGGAAATATTTTTCACTTTATTGAAACCATTTTAATTTCGCTTTCAAAGTAGTATATGAATTTGTACTCAAAAGTAACTTCCTTAAACATTTGACATCAGAAATTTATTTTTCATTTATTATTGTACATGTATCAAGAATAAGCAACAATATTATATTAATTATTCATGGATATTTTTGTATTGGATTTTTAGCTATAAAAACAGTGTACACGAATTGCATTATAAATCAGTGATTAAAGCACAACACAAAAATGTAAGTGCACATATATATGCTTATAGCAGAAGACCACATACCTATATTTGTTAGCCATCTGCAAAAGGTAAAAAATCACATAAATATTTCATTAACTCAAAAATAAGTAACTCAATTATGCATCTCTCAAATTGATATTATATTAAATTTATCTTTCTATGCCAAAATTCCATTTGGAGGGAAGAGCCAATCATCACTAAAAAGCTGTCCAATCATGAATAATTATGCAATGTTTATCAATGAAGGGTTCATTCACATATAAAAAAAGTGAGTCATGAGAGACTTAGAGAATTATGCCTTGCGATTATAAAATATAACAAATAGATAAAATATTTTTTAGTTTAGTCTCTAAATGTTAAAAAAAAAAATCTACTAGAAAGTATTACACTCAGCAAAGATGTCAAGCTAAGAATATTCTTTCATTTTGGTTAAGCTTTAAAGACGAGGGTTCACCAGCTCAAGAGACTGACTTCTTGTTGACATAAATAAAAGAACATAGGTTAATCTTGTCAAAATGCCATCCTATGGTGTTAATAAAAGTTAAACAGTACAGGTTCAAACAAGTGATGTACATTACATACCAGGATGATGCGTAATTTGTGGTCTGCGACGTGGTGGTGGATGACGCCTTCTTGTACGCGCCCTTTCATCTGGCTCTGTGTCTTCAGTATCGGTTGGTGGAGATTCTCGCGGCGCAACACTCAAGGAGATAGCGCCAGGAGCAGCCGCAACCAATCTGGCGACGGAAGCGTGAGGTGCCCTCGCTATATTTGCACCGTCTACGGTAAGTAAAGCATCTCCGGCGCGGAGACCCGCGCGTTCAGCCGGCCCGCCTGCCGCCACAGCAGATACCACGCAAGGCCTCTGACCAGCTATTGTAAATCCAAACCCTCCTGAACCACGCGCCACGATCAAGCGACGCTCAGCAGTACGAGTTAGAGCCGCTCTACGTCGTCTTCTTCGTTGCTGTTGAGGCACCATTGTAAACTAAGACTTTCAGTTAGATTTTGGACTAAACAGTCATGATTTCCATAGTCAATCACGTAATGATATACACAATCCACGTAAATCACAATAATATATTTAGAAATCACTTGAAACTATTGTTAGAAACTAGAAAAACTTGAAATAGGAAAGTTTTTGCTTTCGAGGTCTTGTCTTTTAACTGACGTTTTGTGACGTTTAAAATAGAAAGTTTGGTTTGCTTATCTGTGGCTGTGGCTATTGAGCTCCGTTCTAAACCTACGCTCTAAAACTTTTTAATCTGAATCGTCCGTGTATTACATCTAGAAGTAGCCACTTAAGTGACTTAACTGCTTAACTGAGATAAAAGTATCCAAGATACAAAATACGTATTTGTATTTTGTATTTAAAATACTTTTTTGAAATTAATATTGTAACTTGTATTTAAATACTTTTTTTCAGTATTTTGAAGATCCTTTTTTTTTACTAAGATACCTACTTTTTCTTTTCCTATATAATTTTCAACATTGATTTTAAAAAGCATACATTTTTGTTAATTAGTGCGTTACTATTCTAAGCTTAAGTGCATTACTTTTGTATCAACTTTATTTACCGTGAAAAGAAAATCGTAAGTTCATATGTTGCCGTCTGGGGACGTATGGAATAGCGTCACCTCGGGACTAGGTCTGACAAATAAATGAAAATAACAAAGAAAACACAAACCAAATAACCCAGACCACTGTAATAACGTGACAAAAACCGAATAATAAAAAAAAAGCTTGAAGAATCCTTCAAAGCAAAAGCCGGCGTATGCCTGTATGTTCGGGTGGATGTTTGTTGTCGCCGTTTGAGCTGCCTGGAAGACCCCTCCTTTTCCATGTTGGCGGTACATGTAGACTCTGCTCCTTTGGCCAGAGTCTACGTGTGCCTCTACAGATCCCACATCAGCGACGCTGAGACAACTCGACTGTTTGACCTCCTTAGTAGTGCAGCAGATGATGACATGAGCTTAACAACCATCTGACCCGCTACCTAGAAAATTACTCTCTGATTCACGATCCTCAATACGGATTTAGGCCGAATCGATCGATGGGTGACCTTATAGCGTACGTGGCACACATCTGGGGTGAAGCTATAGACAAGCGGGGGTAGTTTGTGGCTATTAGCCTTGATATCGCCAAGGCTTTTGACAGAGTCTGTCACAAAAGCGTTCTCTCCAAGCTTCCTGCATACGGCCTGCCTGCTCAGCTCTGCGCCTGCGTAGCTGACTTCCTGCATAAGCGTAGAATTTGCGTCCTTACGGACAGATGTAGTTTGCAATTCATGTCAGTTAATGCCGGTGTTCCTCAGGGCTCCGTTCTATGCCCCCACACTCTTTCTGCTGCATATCAATGATTTGATTCCACTTGCGAATATTCATTGATATGCAGACGATAGTATAGTACATGCGAGATATCTTGGACACGCAGCGGCTGGACAAGGAGAAACGGGAGAATCTTGTCGTTGAACTTAATCAGGCTTTGGACCATATTTCCGAATGGTGTACCAAGAACTTGGTTGAGTTCAATACCAAGAAAACTCAGGCTTGCGCTTTCACAGCAAAAACATCGCCATTCCTTTCCCTCTTCAGGGCACAACACTGGTGCTACAGAGCAAGATTATCATGCTGAACAAGAAGCTTATATACAACACTGAATCACCAGACCACAGACATATAAATATGTCTGTGCACCAGACCTGAATCCAAAGGACTACATCGAAACCGTGATCAAAACAGCTTCACGCAAACTTGGAGTCCTGAATAAGATGCGGCATTTTTTCACTCCCGATCAACTGTGCTCGTTGTACAAAACGCAAGTGCGGTTCTGTGTGGAATATTGCTCGCACCTCTGGGATAGCTCCGTTAAGTACTTACTCGATGCCTTGGGTAGGTTGCAGCGGCGCGCTGCCCACATCATTGGCGATGAAGAGGTAACTAAGAAACTCGAGTCTCTACAGTTACGCCGCGATGTGGCATCATAAAGCGTATTCTACCGACTATCTGCGCGTTCTGAGGAGTTATTCTGCCTTATCCCTCCATCACCTTTTCTTTAGAGGACCACGCTCTCAATTCGGACCGCAGTGTGTCTGTCAAGACCAGTGTTTCCACAATGAGGGGAAATTTCCTTTTTTAAGGGGAAATTAGGGTCCCGAGGGGAAGAAAAGGGGGAAAGACATGAAAATGGAAAATTGCGGGAAATTATGGGTAAAGCCTAGCCTAAAATAATGCGGCACGGAAATATTTTTTTATGGACTGTACAGTGGACTAGAGTGTTGCCGTATAAAAGAAACTGTGGCAACACGTGCAGATTTTATATATTTTATATTTATCTTTTATAGTATAAGACAGATTAAGACCTTTTTTTCTTTAGTTACTACAGCAGAATATTTTTTGAGGGGAAAAATGTCGTAAGAAGGGGAAATCTGAAGTGAGGCGTGGGGAAAGGAAATCATTAAAGTGGAAACACTGGTCAAGACAACTGTCAATGCCAAAAGTCAATGTCAAATTGCAATAGCGGCCGCTCCACGTTGTAGTATTTACTTATTTTTGTGAATAAATAATAACTGACTAATAAATTCTGTTGGTCCTTCCTTAAATCTCTAAAGTAACCAACAAAATGGCTGTGAGTAGTGTATTCAAAGAAATATTAAGATTAAAAGAAAATTATCATGTATTTTGTTGCATCTCGATACTAACCCATAAAATTATTGAATTTACAGAAAAAAGGCAAACCTAAGATAAGTAAAGTGAAAAGAAACAATCAAACAACGAACAAAATGAAGAAGCAGGGTAAATTGAAGTTACAGAGGCATAGAACAAAAGTTCAAAAGCAGAAACAGCCTTCTCAGCCACAGGTAGAGTACAGCAGTGATAGCGAGTCTGCGTCCGGTGAAGAGTGGGCTGATATGTTGGACGATGAGGAACAGAAATATATCATGAGTCGCTTGGCCAAACAACCGCAGTTGCTCTCCAACGTTCCAGAAAAGGAGCACGAAAATAAGAGCAGGTAGGAGCTTTTCACAGTTAATTTACTTTATTTAATGCTACAGTGATATTTATATAAAAAGGAATACATTAGACCCCCGGTAATCCGGGCCCCGTCTAAGCCGACGCTCCCTGTAATCTGACATGCTTATCACTGTTGTATATAAAATAAGTTGAAATAGATTTTTTAGATTTATAATTTGTCATATTACAAGGTACTCTTATACAAAAAATTCTGGACTATAGAGGGTGGTCTTAGACAGTACTCTGTCATCAAATTCGATAATCCAACATTGTCCTGCAAAACATTTGTCGGATTACTGCGGTTTTACTGTATGTAGACAGTTGCCCTAACTTTGTTGATGTTCACAACAAAATTTGCTGAAGCTGTTATTCTGATTGTACATATCATGAAACTTTGTTTTATTGGTGCTTCTTCTATAATTAGGCACTATAAATGTGTATATAGATAATAAGACAGTGCTATTTTGAATTAAAGAAACTATATCATTTGACAGGTCAAGAAAACGAAAGAAGATAGACAAGGGTAAAGTACCTAAGAAACTTCTGAGCAATGATAGTGGTGCAGAGAGTGAAGAAGATGGGTCTGATGGTAGTGAGCTCGAGGAAAACTATGAGAAGGAACTGGCTGAGAGACCACCCAAGAAAATGAGACCTCTGCTGCCAATCAAGACTAAAGATGGGGTCCAGGAAAGAATGGAAGAGTATGAAGGTAAATGTCATCATCATCATCATCCGATCTCTAAAGGTGTATGCCAGCAAAGAATGTATAACCTTGACTTGACGACTCTGTATATAACAATACAGGGAGAAAAAAATTGCCCTTGTTGAGTTTCTTGCCGGTTCTTGTCAGTACAAGGTCTCCCGCCGTAGTTTTGCGAACCGATGGAGTAGTAGCTTCTTGACATTCACAAGTGCTTGTAGCAGCCTAGACTGAATAAATGATTTTTCATTTTGATTTTTGCTGTAATGTTAATGGGTTGCAGTTATCAGGTACCATTAGGTGGAAGATTGATGACCTCTGTGACCAAATGGTTTGTACGCCGAGTTTCATGGTGTCGCCGACTCGAGAGGGCCCGGGTTCGATCCCAGTGGGGGCAAATGTTTGTGTGACGTATACAAGCATTTGTACTCCAGTCATGGATGTTAAATATTTATTTCTATATAAATAAACTTATATATGTACAGTATATGTATTCTATCCCTTACCCTAGCATCCCATAACACAAGCCTTACAGTGCAGTGGGGCTAGGCTAATTGGTGTGTGTAGTATTAAAAAAAATGTCGTACTGAAGGCAAACAGGCATAAACAAGACTAAAGTAGGAAAATATACTAGATGAGACTACTTTTCCTACAAAGCATTCTTAGCATTTCTGTAGTTATTTACTGTTTCATGAAAACTTTAGCTATAGCTTTAAAATATTTTGTAAAATGTATTGAAATTTTTTCATAATTGATTAACTATTAATTGGTCATTTTGCTTTTTTAAAACACCCAACCTGCTAAACTTAATGTTATTACATGCATGTATAGATATTGTAAGTTTTTTAAAATTAATATGAATATCTTTCATGATTAAAAGCTTTGTTAAATGTTTTGTTAAGCCTTTCATATCTTTTAGAAAGTGATTCAGAAAAAGAAAATGAAAAAGATGTAGAAACTGAGGAAATTGAAACTGAAGAGGAGGCACAAGATATGGACTCTGACTCGGGGATGGGAGGTACTGAGGATGGCAACGATGCGCAGGGTGGTGAGGTCATTAGCACAGTTCAGCTGATGGCAGCCAGGAGGGATCGACTCAATCACGACAAGCTGAGGATTGGTGCTCTGTGCTCTTCACTGCTTGAATGTCCTGAGAAAAAAGTATGCCTAATACATTTTAGCAAATCTTTTAATAGGTATCTAATGGTATATTATTTTTCAACACATTTGCTAAAAAAGCGCATTCACAAAGGTATAACAGAGCATCCTTTAGGGATTAATTTTTATTTCGATAGTACCTTCTTGGAAGCAATTTTGATCTATACGTTTGGCAGTGAGCCAAGTGATAACTAAAAAAGAAAATAGAGCTGAAATATGTAGTTCTAATTTTCACCATTAGCACGTGGCACTGTGGAAATGCGCGCCATTTACGACTTACAAAATAAATTGTTTCATTACTTAAATATACTCAACTGTTTTCTTGCAAATGTGTTGAAAAACGTATGATGTTGTATGATTTTCTTGCGGAATTGGTATTTACAAACTCATTACTATGGTAAACCCTCAACTTCGTGTCAGGCTTACATCATGTCTACTTGTTTGTAATAAAGAACTTACCGTACTAATATCATTTAATGTTTTCTTATAGCATATATAATGTGGTTGTTGTTAATAATGTGGTTTCTAAATTAAATTTAGTCAGTTAACAAAAATACAGACCCTAGCTTTACGTATTTATGAGTGTCATATAAACATATTAATTAATTCATATTATTCACTCATAAACTGATGTTCCTGTTACGTGTTGTAAGCAACGATATTAAATACCCTAGATACAACATCACGAACAAAATCGTGGACGAAACCTGTCCAAAAGGTACATTTGACGATCAACGGAGCTCCGTAAGATGATCGCGTAGTCAAAACCAATATAAGGCATTACTTAAACATTGAAAGTCACCTTTAATACTGTATAAGGTCTTAATTAAAACGCACACGTCAAAGAATTATGACAGTTCGAAATGCGAGCTCGTAAAACGACTTATTCCTATTTGGGGAAGAATAAAGACTTTATTTCTTTGATTCTGAATGCGCTGTTAGCATTATAGCAGTTACGAATCGCGAGGAAAAGAGACGGCTATACGGTGACATACATACATGCATTTGAAAATCACAAATATTTTTTCTATTAAATCAGTTTATAGTAAGTATAAGAACAAAATTTGCTTCAAATACGTTAAATTAACAAAAATTGATTAGATACCTGTCGAAAAAGGACACTTTATGTACTATAAGTATTTATTTCGCATTTTTTACGGAGCTCTGCGTCAACTTTTCAACGGTCCGCGCGTGACTGTGAACCAAGAAGTGCTCGAGTCGTGTTCAAGCACTTTGTGATTGGGACACATTTTGAGTACACTTGGTGTATCTAGGGTATTTAATACCGTCGGTTGTAAGTCAGAAAACCTTGGCCACCTACAAACAAAGATAGCAAACATTATGATAATAAATAAAACTAGTTTTTAACGGGTTAATGCACGAAACTTTATTTATTTATTGACGTTTCACAGCCTTTTCTGGTCTGCTTCGTCAGAATGGCCTGAACCTGAAAAGGCTGCGAAACGTCAATAAATAAATAAAGTTTCGTGCATTAACCTGTTAAAAACTAGTTTTATTTAACAAGTGATGTGAGGGAAACTCTAAGAAAAAAATATTATGATAATAAGTTGCATCATCCTATTTCAGTTGAAAAATTTCTACCCAATCTTATATCTAATGGAGGAGCGACTCAAAGACGGAGCTCTGAACTTGCACTCAGTCCGTAAGATAGCAACACTATCTGCTTATGAAGTATTCAAAGACATCTTGCCAGACTACTACTTACGGCATCAAGATTACTCTAATGTTAAGTGTAAGTAAATTTGTAAATGCATAGTTACATGGACTTTACTAGTTCAGGTTCAAAATAAAGATGGAAGTTTTCCAACTTGTTAAAGTTCATATTAATTTTTAACTTTTAAATATGTTAAATGAAACAAGTTTTGAACCGATATAAATGCATTTTTAATACTTTTTTTACGTATTTTTTGACGATTCGCATCCTTTTCGGGATTATGATTTTTTTCAGAAAAAGATAAATATTATATATATCTTACGCCGCATCCTGAAATGGATGCGAATCGTGAAAAAATACTGTAAAATACCCCTATACCCCTTAAAACTTGTTTTATTTAAAGAGTGGTGTGCCTGAAAACTTAAAAGACTAATATTATAAATATATCATTGTGAATTTATTTTTCCTGTCTTCTCTATAATTAGACTACAATTTCATATTTTCAGTGAAAAAGGATACTTTAGCCCTGTACAAATATGAGAAGGAGTTACTGGAGTTCTACAAGAGGTACTTGCAGCGGCTGGAGAAGGCTGCTGCCGTGCTGCGCCGTAAGAAAGGTGATAACAGGTAATTTTTTTTTCATTTATTATCTGTAATCGGTCGAGCCAGCCATGAACAGATGTTTTCCAGTACTCAGTACTTACTTGGATAGACTTGGTTTCTCCTTTGAGAATCATTGCTATTGTAATAATAATCACTGTATTTCAGTGTCTTTCATTAAGATTTAATATCTGCCACCTTTTAAGTCATGCAATTTGTTCATCTGTTCGTAGTAAGCCTTGAGCTAAATCATTAGTGTGGTGCTGGAGTCTTACCTTATATTAATTGGAATATTATTTCTTCCTTTATATTTGACATGTAGATATGAGTTTGAACTTCTTTAAAGTAAATGTAATGTTTCTAGAAGGTACAACTTTCTTATCACTTTTTTTACCACATGTAAGATTTTGTATGATTAAAGTTTATGTGGATAATTTGCGTAAAAGATATGTGTTTTTTTATAATTCAATAAATATACCTAACCTACAATAAAATAATGAAATAAATGTTACACTTAGTATAATGCATTCCCACAAGCACACTCAACACAGTTATTCTTTGTCAGATGAATCTAATGATTTATAGAACCACCTAGCTAGGGGGTAAGGCAAGGACAATGTAAGTAATAAATAAAAATATAATAAATGAATGAATAATGAATATATAATGAATATATATTTCCGACACTCACACCAATTAGCCTAGCCCCAAAGTAAGCACTATAAGGCTTGTGTTATGGGATGCTAGGGTAACGGATAGAATACATATAATAACACAATAATTCATCAGCATCATCATAAGCCTATTAATGTCGCCACTGCTGGGGCACAGGTCTGTGGATGGAATAGCGAGACTGGGCCATGACCCACCACGCGGATTTTCGGGTGCTAACGACTGCAGATGCAGCCGGGACCAACGGCTTAAGCCTCCGAAGTACGGAGGAACTCGAGATTTTTTGAGAGAGATAGAAGATTTTTGGTCACTCATCCAATGACCGACCACTGCGAAAGTTGCTTAACTTCAACGATCGCGCTAACCACCTGCGCTATCGAGCTCCTCATCGACACAACAAATATTTGACGACCTCCGTAGTCGAGTGGTTTGTACGCCGGGTTTCATGGTGTCGCCGACTCGAGAGGTCCCGGGTTCGGATCCCGGTGGGGGCAGATGTTTGTGTGATGAATACGAGCATTTGTACTCCAGTCATGGATGTTATTTCTATAAAAAATATACTTATATATGTACAGTATATGTATTCTATCCGTTACCCTATAACACAAGCCTTACAGTGCTTACTTTGGGGCTAGGCTAATTGGTGAGAGTGTTGGACATATTTATTATTTATTTTATTTATTTCTAGAAAACCCGATGAAGCAGCAGTGAGTTTAGCACTGGTATCCCTGAGTTGTATGTCCGGGTTGCTAGTCGCTCGTCCTCAATTCAACTACGCCACAAACATCGCTCAAAGCATAGTGCCTTTTCTGGATTGCAAAGATCCAAAGGCCAGGGAGACTGTTACCGATGCCTGCAAGAACGTTTTCAACGACGACAACAAAGGAGAAATAACCTTGACGGTAAGTCGAAATTAGTAAATCAAATCAAAACTTCAGTAACGAATACCTTTATGTACAACTGTAGTCACAGTAGGGATGATGACTATTTTTTCTCCTTCGTTTATAAGGTAGATTATCAAAAAGTATTGGACACGTATTTTTTCTTTTTTCACATGATATAAACATTGCAGAGATATATTGATTTGAAAAGTCGCATGACGTCACGTTTTGGTACACTTTACGTGAAAATTCACTGAACAGTGACGTCACGAGCCCCTACTCCCAAACTTTGACGCGCTATAACTTTGTCATTTTTTGGTTGACTGCCCAAAGAAAAAATACGTGTCCATTATTTTTTGATCATCTAACTGACGGACTAAATAGAATTTCGTTTACTGTAGCCCGTCATCACCCCTGTTAAGATTAAGTGCATTCCGAAGCACAAAGGAGTTTGATTTGTATAATAACTAGGTGAGCCAGCGAACTTCGTATCGCCATAAAAATATGGATGGTAGAAGGGTGAAAATTTAGGGTTGTATGTATTTTTGTATGATGCATTATAAAAAAATTAAAAAAATGTCCAAAAAACAAAAAAATATGGTGGATCAGCCTTAACATTTAGGGGTTTGATAAAAATAGATGCTGTCCAATTCTCAGAATTACTGAATATGCATATAAAATTTCACGAAAATCGATCGAGCCGTTTCGGAGGAGTGCGTAATCGAACTCCTCCGAAACGGCTCGACCGAACCCTATAAACAACTGTAAATAAATCTAACACAGTTTAGAGTACCTAGACGAGAGCTACTGCAGTGCATAGTCATATTTTTGCAAAAAATAATTGGCTTCTATAAATTTACTAACTCACCCAGCGAACTTCGTACCGCCATAAAAATAGCGGCAGAGGGTAGAAGAGAAAATTTAGGGTTGTATGTATTTTTTAATACCACACTATAAAAAAAAATATTGTCCAAAGAAAATTTTAGGGATGTGTAACGTAGTGTTCTATCAATTTCCTGGTATAACATTTCTCCTAAGCCATATGAGAACACTACGTGACAATACCCAATAGTTGGAATTTTGGCGCGAAGGCGCATTGTAGGTTTCAGAACACTACGTTACAGGTGGACAACCATTATCACTTAAGGATATGAAAAATAGATAGTAGCCGATTCTCAGACCCACGGAATATGCATATAAAATTTCATAAAAATCGGTCAGGCCGTTTCGTAGGAGTATGGTAACTAACATTGTGACACGAGAATTTTATACAGGGTGTAAAAAAACCTATAACAAAGTCGAAGGCCACGAATTTTCCACATCATGACGATCATTTTTTTCTTCTGGACCATACCTGGGAAATTTATGCTTATGGAGATAATGAAGGTCAAAGTGATTTTTTTTTCAAGATTATACATTAATATATGCAAAACGTTATTTAGAAACTTTTTTTATCTACGCACTTACACACACGCACACATATACACACAGGCACATTCTTTGCGTAGCGCCACAGTAGCGCGCCGCGCTATACATTGCGTACTGGAAAAAAATGTATTTTTTTTATTCATATTACAAAATATTCACCTATAATATTTTGTAATATGAATTGTTTTGGTGTACAGAATGCGTAGTTTAAGTCTTTGCCATAGGTTTTTTTACACCCTGTATATAAGATTTAATTTTATTGCTATTTAATTACCAACATAATTTTATTAAGTTGAATTGTAACTGTAACCAACACGTGACCAAATTGTAGGTTGTGCGACTAGTCAACCAACTAGTCAAGCGACGCGGTGATCGCTTACAACCGTCGGCTTTAGACTGTCTCCTGTCACTACGCATCAGGGACGTAGACATGGACGCTGAACAAAACCTTCAGCATAAGAAGAAACAGGAGGAGAAGCACAAGAAGAGGATCATCAACTTGTCCAAGAAGGAAAAGAAGGTACGTTGACGCGCGGTGTGAAAATTATCAATATTTTTTATTGAAAAGATTCCACGTGTACCAGTCTGCTGACGGGACGCAAACCCGCACCCTCAGCTGACCATTATGCTACCGCAGCCCTAATTGTCCGTGTCGAATTTTCTCTAGTATTTCTTAGGCTGCAAGGCAGCGCTATATATCTTCGCTTGGGTGCAGGTTCGAGTCATGTCTGCCTGGTCCGCGTGGATTTATTTTTCTAGTAAAATTTTCTTATGATTTAAACATAAAAAAACGATAAAAATATAGCTGACTAAGTTTTATCACCCGCCAACCGCACTGGGCCCGCGTGGTGGAACGTGGCTAGAGGATTCGATCCCGGGATCCCGTCATATTTTATTCCCGAAATTTTCGGGATTAAATGTAATGAATCCCGGGATTTTCGGGATTGATATATTTCTATATAAGTCAATAAAAATGTGCGTGAAATGAAACGCGTTTACTTTCATTTGAATTTTGACGGCCATCTTGTTTTCACAGCTGACTTTTTTTATTTTTGCTCACGACCGGTACCGGATTATGTTTAACAGTGTGAAAAGAAATCCGCTTCACGTCGTGTAACTTTACATACATCGTGATACATTTTTTGTTAATTCGTGATAATCAAAGAATTTATTAAAAAAAAAACAACCAATGCATTAATATGTCTGAGTAAATATTAACTTAGACACATTAATGCATTGGTTGTTTTTTTTAATGCCGGAATCCCGGGATTAACTGCAGTTAATCCCGAAATCCCCGGATTAGAAAAATCGACTGGGATCAAATCCTCTAGTCATGGCCAAATCTCCCTATTCCATCCATAGGGAAGGTCTGTGCCCCAGCAGTGGGGACATTAATAGGCTGATGATGATGATGATGAAGTTTTATCAAGCAATAAATGTCCATTTCCAGAGAGCCAAAAAGCTAAAAGAGGTAGAACGCGAGCTCCTCGAGACGGAGGCTCAAGAGAGTGAGGTGGCGCGCCGCAAACATTTGGCGGAAGTGTGCAAGACCGTGTTCCACATCTACTTCCGGTTGCTGAAGGCCGCGCCCAGTACGGGCTTGTTGGCCGCCGCACTTAATGGATTGGCCAAGTAAGTCAAAATCAAATCATAATATCTCTATTCAAATTGGATACAACTCTATTGAACAAAAAAAAATCACAAGGTACCACTCCTTATTGGACATATTTTTTATTCAATAATCAATAATCAAAATCATCTATTCAGTGTAGGCTGTTACAAGCACATATGAATGTCTAGAAGCTACGCCATCGGTTCGTAAATCTACGGCGGGAGAACTTGTACTGAGAAGAACCGGCAAGAAACTCAGCAAGGGCTGTTTTTTTTCTCCCTGTTTTATCATTTACAGAGTCGTCAAGTTGAAAAATGGCTTCAGAGATTATTCATGAAGTCACCTTTCATCACATAATGTGAAATAATACATTAATACAACACACAGTATAAATACAAACAGAGTTATTTATAATAGGTGTAATTAAACATTTATATCTTAAATATCAAAGTAGTTAGGGCAGACTCATCTCCGCTGGCAGCACCCGTTCAGGAGCATGACGCATGAACCAGCCATCGTTTCGCTCAACTATATTTTAGGGAACGTAACGACCCGCCTCACACGACACGATGTAACTGGCCATCTAATAAATCACACTAATATTATAAAGGCGAAAGTTTTGTGAGTGTGTATGTGTGTTACTTCTTCACGTATAAACGGCTGGAGCGATTTTGATAAAATTTGGTATGGAGTTAGCTGACACCCTGGATTAACACATAGGCTACGTTTTACTGCGGGAAAATATACCTAATAAACCGCGGGTAACACCGCGGGGCACAGCTAGTCGTTTATAAACATTATTTTGTAGAATGAACCTATATTTTCATGTTTCATACAAAAAGTTCATTGTCATCCATTAAATGTAAATCGATCTAGATAATTTTCAGTCGATAATCTGTTTAATGTAGGTCAATAAAAGTCGTTTATTTTCAAGTAATGATTAAATCGCACACGTCTCTTTACTGCTTCGTAATTTCGTTAACGTTGATACAGTTTCCGTGGTGTAGCGGTTATCACATCTGCCTAACACGCAGAAGGCCCCCGGTTCGATCCCGGGCGGAAACATTTCTTTTTTACTAATGTTGAATGTAATTTGAAATTGTCTATGTTACATGCATGTCAAAGTAGATTATAAATATCGATTTTATTCAGTTTGTTAATTTTTTTTGATGAATTCACTTTTTATTGCATTAAATTTACATATTAATACTAGCTGTCCCAGCGAACTTCGTACCGCCATAAAAAATAAGGGGTTGGTGGTAGAAGGCTGAAAATTTAGGGTTGCATGTATTTTTGTATGATGTGTCTTAGTTTTATGTGCAAAAAACCGCGAAATTCATTAAATATAAATGAAATTTATTATCCACTTGTACTGCATAAAAAAGTTGTTTAAACAAATTAATGCCAACATATTATGGTAAATAATTAAACATCTTTAAATTGATTAAAATAAGCAACGAAAATCATAAAAAAATTCAACTTTATCGGCAAAAGCTTGAAACATAATATTTATTATATTGAAAGCCCTTGATGGGCTTAAATAAAATACAAATAATAAAATTGTGTGGTTTTGTGAAACCATGATGCAAGTCAAACTTTGAAGAGCGAACGCGAAATGAGAGACATTTGAGACAAGGACAACAGTAGCTAACGCTGAAAATTGCGTATAATGCGTATAAAAATCGCAAAATTCGAGGTTTGCGTCTCTACGATTTCCTCGCAATAGATTTTTGCGATGGTTCTTCATTCCCTTTATAGGTATTGAAGTCTTCCATCGTTGGACTTACGATCCCTTCCCCGTTACTTACTGTATAACAAGTTAACAACAAATTGTTCTTCGTACGCTTATAGTAATGCATGAAATTTCTTTGTTAAAGTTCAAAACTTAAAAAGAGATCTAAAGAAAATGTAACTAGAAAAAATTCCACGCGGACCAGGCAGCAGACGGGACTCGATCCCGCACCCTTCGCAATCAGGGCGAATGCACTGACCAATTATGCTACCGCGGCCGTCACGGACCGCGTCGAAATTCTTCTAGCCATTCTTAAGCTGCAAGGCAGCGCCATTTCTTCGCATTATAGGTAACCCACAATGTCAAATGAATACTTTTACAAGTATCAAACATTTGAAAGAAGAAATAGCAATTATAGTTATAATTTAAATTTTTAAAGCATGTAACTGCTTGATGATTGCGAAGGGTGCGGGTTCGAGTCCCGTCTGCTGCCTGGTCCGCGTGGATTTTTTTCTAGTTACATTTTCTTTAGATTTAAACATCAAGCAGTTACATGCTTTAAAAAATTAAATTATAATTAAAAAGAAATGTTTCCGCCCGGGATCGAACCGGGGGCCTTCTGCGTGTTAGGCAGATGTGATAACCGCTACACCACGGAAACTGTATCAACGTTAACGAAATTACGAAGCAGTAAAGAGACGTGTGCGATTTAATCATTACTTGAAAATAAACGACTTTTATTGACCTACATTAAACAGATTATCGACTGAAAATTATCTATAATAGGTATATAAATTACTAGCTGACCGAGCAAACTTCGTACCGCCATAAAAATAGGTGCTGGTGGTAGAAGAGAAAATTTAATGATGTATGTATTTTTATACCACATTATAAAAAAAAAACCAAAAACATTTTTTAGGGGTGTGTAACATGGTGTTCTATCAATTTCCTGGAATAACATTCCTCCTAACCACTTAAGGATGTGAAAAATAGATAGTAGCCGATTCTCAGACCCACGGAATATGCATATAAAATTTCCAGTTACAATATTTCAGATTGGGTTGATCTCAGTTTATCTAGGCGCAGTGTAACTAATCCCTATTAATGACTATATCGCAAAATGACTATAAATCATTTCGGCTAGATCTTTAATAGGGATGATGACTAATTTTTTTTCTTCGTTTGTCAGGTATATTATCAAAAAGTATTGGACACGTATTTTTTCTTTTGTCACATAATATAAACATTGCAGAGATATATTGATTTGAAAAGTCGCATGACGTCACGTTTTGGTACAATTTTCACTTAAGAGCCCTTTCACATTTTCTGCAAAAAATCGTAATTTTTTAGCACCTTATTTACCCCCTTAGAAAAGATTTTGACTATTTCCAATAGAAGTTAACAGTAGAATTATTCTTCTTATTGAAACTTAATGTAGAATATTTGCAAATACTATTTTCCTTTTTTTGTACTGATCGTTCTACTGCAGCTAGTTTACGGAAAATACGATAATGCACAACTTAAAACGCCTCAATCTCTCAATAATGTTTAATAAATTAGATCAAATTAATTACTACGACATCAGAAATATGTTTTTGTTGTAACATTAGTATTAGAATTTTGATTTTCTAACTCATTAATTATCAAAAAAAAACATCTAACCTCCTGAGTTTTCCCAAAAAATAATGCAGGTTTACCTCGTATTTTGATATTGAATTAAATAAAATAACTATCAAAAATTTTCATAAAACTAATCTACCATCATTGAACTACTGAAATATGTATATATTTTTATAATTAGTTCATTAATACTTATTTTATAAGACTCTAAACATCACCCGTAAAATGCAATATATACTAGTGCAAATTTACCGATTAGTACAATCGGCGCGTAGGTAGATTTGCACTAGTATAGCAGCGGTGCAATTTTGTAAAAGGGCTCTTAAAAGTGACGTCACGTTCCTACTCCCAAATTTTGACGCGCTATAACTCTGGCATTTTGTAGTTGATTGCCCAAAGAAAAAATACGTGTCCATTATTTTTTGATCATCTAACTGACGGACTAAATAGAATTTCGTTTACTGTACCCCGTCATCATCCCTAATGACTACATCGCATAATGCCTAAGATTGCAAAATGACTAGATCTTTATTTGACCACATAAATAGATGTAAGTGATTATTAAATAAATAAATAAATAAATAAAATAATGACTAGATCGTAAAATCATCTCTATTTGACCACATATTACAATAACAGTATAATGATACTGTTGATTTTAAGTTGCTTTTCTGACCTAGTAATGTTCCTCATTGTTTCATATTATTTTCCCTATTGCTGTTAATAGGGTATTTGACTGTATTAAAAATAAAGTGCCATTTGTTAGCATCTGTGTTTAGAATGAATATTGGCAGGGGTTTTTACTATTTTTACAAAAAAATATTTATAATTTTACTAAAAACCCACTACAAAAGATAATAGTTTTCTTATCTATTGTCACGTGACTCAAAACGCTTGGGATTGGCGGAGCCTAAAATGACGTCACACGCAAGTAAACTTCCGGTAAAAGTGACATTACATTTGTATCGTTTGACGTTTTAATAACAGTCGTGTGACGTCACACAGTAGTAAGACGCCATATTGTCCAGAGAAACGTTTTCGCGGCAACTTGAAAATGGAGTTGTTGACATGGTTATTTTTACTGAAATACACAACAGAATGATGAGTATCCACTTTTTACGAAATCCATAAACATTAGTCAATAACGTGAGATCGTTTTCTAAAAATTGTCAAATACCCTATTAGATGAAGCTGCTTTTTATCCTTCCACAGTATACATAAGTATGTGTATTATATTTAGGTTCACCCACGTGATAAACCTGGAGTACTACTCGGACCTGGTGTCTATAATGTCTCGCCTGGTGGGGGACGAGCTAGTGGGTCCGCGGGACCGGGTCCTATGCGTGCGTGCGGTGCTGGCCATCCTGGCCGGCGCCGGGGATGCTCTCAACCTGGACCCGGCCAGGTTCCACGCCTATCTGTACACGGCGGCTATTGGAGTTCATGCGGGTAAGGAAAAATCTATCTTTATATATATAATTCTTCTGTGAGTGTGTATGTCACTGAACTTCTCTTAAACGAATGGACCGATTTTGATGAAAGTTTTTGTGTGTGTTCAAGGGGATCTGAGAATGGTTTAGATTCACTTTTCACCCTTCTACCACCAACCCTTACTTTTTTATGGCGGTACGAAGTTCGCTGGGTCAGCTAGTATATATATAAAACTCAAAGGTGGCCGACTGTCATAGTGATCTATCAACGCACAGCCCAAACCACCGGACGGATCGGGCTGAAATTTGGCATGCAGGTAGATGTTATGACGTAGGCATCCGCTAAGAAAGGATTTTGATCAATTCTACCCCCAAGGGGATATAATAGGGAATGAAAGTTTGTATGAAACTTTGTCAATTTTAAACCGATCGGGCTGAGACTTTGCATGCAGGTATAAAAAGAATCATAGATGAATGTCATTGTGTATAATACAAGCCTGAGAACAAAAACTGTAGTCTACACTTCAGCTCTACACCGAAGCGAAGCGAGAGCGGGCCGCTAGTCTATACATATAGTGAAAAAAAACGAGCGAACCTTACTGTAGTCGCATATGATATGTAACATTCGAAACCTCACTTTATATTAGTAAAAAAAGAAATAAAACCAACTACAAAAAGAATAAGCCATTTAAACATTATGTTCAAAAACCAAATCAAATAGCGCGCGCTTTCGCGACTTCCTGTTACATACTTCCGTCCCATTTCACGTAATCACTCCCACAAATTGCAGGAAACCGAGAGGTAAGATGTTACACATCAAAATGGTAGGAAAGTCAACTGTACATTGAATATTTTTTTAAAAGAATACTAATCTAAAATCAATACCGAAGCCAAAAATATAGTTATTAATATTTTTGTCCGTCTGTTTGTCTGTATGTATGTCCGGGATAAACTCAAAGTACTGCATGGATTTACTTCAAATTTGGCACGAATATTATTAAGAAAGTCGGGTCAACATATAGGCTACATAGTATCACGCTATCACCTACGGGGAACGAGCAGTGACCCTTTATATCTAACTAACTCCACGCGTACGAACGCGGGCGGTCGCTAGTTATAAATATTTTTAACACACACACACTCGGGAACTTGATAAAAATGCAGCTTCGAAAAACCCGTGCTAGCTGCGCCCCAAAAACCTCGCAATTTCTCGATCTTTTTTCGGCTTCTCGCTTATAACTTTCGAAAGGTCCGTTCTATCTCACAAATCATTTTCTACATTTTAATGACAAAATTCTGTACTATATGAATACTCCACTGCTGCTCCAATGATCGATCCTTTGCCAATCATCATCATCAGCCTATTAATGCCCCCACTGCTGGGGCACAGGCCTTCCCTATGAATGGAATAGGGAGATTGGGCCATGACCCACCACGCGGGCCCAGTGCGGATTGGCGGGTGCTAACGACTGCAGATGCAGCCGGGACCAACGGCTTAACGTGCCTTCCGAAGCACGGAGGAACTCGAGATAGTAAATTTTTTGGTCACCCATCCAATGACCGACCACTGCGAAAGTTGCTTAACTTTAACGATCGCAGCCGAACGCTCTAACCACTTGCGCTATCGAGCTCCTCAATTGCCAATGAATTCATATATTACAGAATCTATCAGACCTACAGAGTTTAAGAGGCATTCATATTGTAGAGAATATTGTCACCTTTTTTTTCTAGTCGAAAGAGGTCAGGAGAAGAGTTTTTGGGGCACTGCGTAGTGAGATCTTTCGAGCTACAAATTTGTTGTTTTAATATTTTTTAAGCATGTAACTCGATGTTTAAATCTAAAGAAAATATTACCAGAAAAAAATCCACGCAGACCAGGCAGCAGACGGGACTCGAACCCGCACCCTTCGTTATTCCGGGCGAATGCACTGACCATTATCCTATTAAGGGTGCAGGCTCGAGTCTCCTCTGCTGCCTGGTCCGCGTGGATTTCTTTCTAGTAATTATTGAAGTTATACTTCTTTAGGCGCGTTATGAAAAAATGATGAGAGTGAAATTTTAAGATGCGCGCGCATCACTGTAACACAAAACTTCATGCGTTACTTTTGTGTTTACCGCACATTAAGAAAATCTACCAACAAAATAGAAATACAATCTCTATTTAGTGGGTACTAACGACTGCATTGTGAAGGCCTATCAAAAGTATTTATTAATCTGGAACAACGGAACCAAAGCGCGATTCAGGAGACTACAGCGCCATCTCTTGACCATTGGTGTAGTAGAACCAAAAACCACATCTTTATTTTTTGTAATAAAGTAACAGTTATAGGTATTCATATTTATAATGTTTATTCACATGTTTCTAGTTTGTATATTCGGAATACGTGTTTGAGTTTCATACAAATGCAAATCACATATGTTCTAATAAATTATATTCAGTAGCGATTTTAATTGAATATTTTGATTATTTTTTTATATTTTTTCAAATTAAAACTGAACTTTATTGACTGTGTCCTTTTCCAGACTTTTTATTAATTTATTGTAATTAATTATTTGCATGCAATTAAAAACTAATTTTAAACGATGCCAAAGAAGGATAACTTCTCACGCGCCTACATAAGTACACGCACCCATTTTTTTTCTTTACAAATTAGTTTTACACTACTGTTAAGCATCCTATCAACACATCTAAAAACCAGTAAAGTGCAATTTATTGTAACCAAACGCTGTTTTTTGTATACGGTGACGGGACTAATAAGATTTTTCCACTTTTCAAAATTACACACATTTTCAAAATCTCTTGTCTATTAGACAAGTCTGTCCGTCTGTCTGTGGTGCTGTTTCAGCGGCCAAACCGTAAAAGATAGATAAAGAGAATGTTTAAGTTATAAGTTAAGAATAGTCTGATAAGACTACAAACCGGATTTGAGTAACGTAGCACTTCCGGTTTTCGAGAAATCACGAATTTCAAACGAAACCACACAAAATCTCCGAAGTTCTCAATTATTTTTTTTTTTTAAACCACCACAAATGTTCACCACATTTGGTTCACTGGTTTGCTAGTTTTTAGACTATTAAATCAAATGAAACAGTGCATTATTAAGACTCTATTATTATTAAAATTTCGCGTCGCATTCTAAAATTTCATATACATCAAAAACACCGGGTGTGGCAACGGCCGGCCCGTGACTACGACCGGTATAACCTGGTCGAAACTTTGAGATAAAGCTGGTACGAAAACCTTTAGTAAAGTGCACATTAAATAATCTCTTATCTATTAGGCAAAGCCGTCCGTCTGTCTGTCTGTGGTGCTGTTTCAGCGGCCAAACGGTAAGAGATAGATAAAGAGAATATTTAAGTTATAAGTAAAGAATAGTCTGATAAGACTACAAACCGGATTTGAGTAACGTAGCACTTCCGGTTTTCGAGAAATCACGAATTTCAAACGAAACCACACAAAATCTCCGAAGTTCACAATTAATTAAATACATTTTTTTTTAAGTCAGGTTTTGGTGAACATTTGGTTCACTGGTGTGCTAGTACCTATATAATTAAAAAAAACCGGCCAAGTGCGAATCGGACTCGCGCACCGAGGGTTCCGTACTAACTCAATTTAATACCTCCACACGTTCCTGAGAAAAACTGTCTTGACGGACGGACGGACGGACAACAAAGTGATCATATAAGTGTTCCGTTTTTTTCTTTTGAGGTACGGAACCCTAAAAATGCGTGAGCGTCTCGGGTCACACGTGAGAAGTGATAACTTATACTAATCTAAGCGACCCTGCAGGCTACAGTGAGACAGGAGGAAGATCTACATTAGGAAGAAGTTAAATTAAATGAGCACAGGAAATTGGTAGTAGAGATAGAAAAAGGGGATTGGAGAATGTAAAGGGTATTCAAGGGTGAAAAGGGGTATTGGAGGGTGAAAGGGATTGGAGGATGATAAGGGGATTAGTGGGTGATAGTGTGGATTGATGGCTGAGGGAGTGGGGTTGGTCTAGGGACACCCCTCTGGTACCTGGTTCTCCTTTCACACCGAAGGGAAGCCAGACAGACTGGCGCCGTAACGCGTTACGTAACGAAGCGCTTTACCCTTCTATAACAAGTTATCACTTCAAAAGCGATTTTTTCAGGTTCCTCATCACAGGACCCCAAGATAGTGTTAGAAGCGGTGAGCCAGATCTGCGCCCGAGCTCGCCGCGTGTCTTCGGCAGTATTGCAGGCGTTTGCGAAACGATTGTTAACAATATCCACACAACTGCCGCACAATTACGCGATTGCGGCACTTTCTCTGCTGCAGCAATTGGCACAGGTACACTTGTATGGACCATAGGCAAACATCTAGCAGTTAAATGCTAAAAAAGAAAAAAAATATACTGTGATTCAAATAAGAATATAGGAAAGCCAATGACCGCCATCTGTCAAACGTCGCTTGAAAAGTACGGTTCGCAAAAAAATCTTCGAACCCTTTTTTAACACTCTGCTAATTCTAGAATAAAAACCAAATTAACAAACTAACAAATATTGATAGTTAATATTGGTTGATATTTTTTTTCATTTATTAAGCTTTGGCTATGAATGGTTCATAACCTAAACCGTCAACCAAATGTCACTTTAAGTTGCAATCAGAAACTCGATTTAAAACTTTCGTTTACGTAAAGGATGCATGTTCGTAGGTGACCTAGTAATAGTGCATGATTGTTCAAAACTACTCCGGCGGTAATGTTGGGATGAGCGGAATTGAAGAGCCAGATTCTGATAAATGTTTTTTCTCACATAAGACTGTGAATGTGAAATAAATATTATTAAAAATCGTTTCGGTTGTGTTTTTCCCTCAATCTTAGTAAATAAATTATATTAAAAAAAAACTGATGTTTTTTGTCACTTAATGTTAGTAAATAAGTTTTATTAAATACTCTACCTATTCGGTTTGAATTGACAGCTGTGACGTCACAACATGGCGCCCAGTCGGTCCTGTTCTTAGTTGAATCGCATTATATAACTCATTTCCTAGTATTTTAACGCAATTTGCTCTCCTTCCTTGCAGCAAAGTAAACCCGTATCCAATCTAGTAGAAGCCGCGGTCACTACGGAGATAGAATCAATAGGTTCCGGACGATTCGACCCTCTACTGAATGACCCGGAACATGCGCGCGCGCAACAATCCTGCCCGCACGAGATGAGGGTATTAATGGCACATTATCACCCCACTGTCAGAGAAACGGTTAAAGCTTTAGCTACGGGGAATAGTGTGCAGGAACTGAACAAACTGTAAGTACAAGTGTCATTATTAACTAGTGGTTGCCCGCGTCTTCCTCCGCGTTATATTTAGTTTTTTTATCCCATAGGAACAAATAAAAAGATGTCGATTCTGTAAACCTAAACTTAAATTGGACAACTATGGTGTCAATTCTGACACGATATTCTAAACCTAAACTTAAATTTGACAACAGTGTATCCTTGTCATTCTCTATACAGAATGAAAAGGAAAGATTGATGTTAAATTTAGTTTTGAGTCTAGAGAATCACGCCAGAATCGACACCAGTCATCCTTATACAGAATGAAAATATAAGTTTAGAGAATCGTGCTAGAATTGACACCTTTGCCTCAATCCAGGTCATAAACTATATGCATACCAAATTACATCCAAATCAGTACCCCTAGCACGAACCAATATCGAATTCGTATCGTTTGCGAGTCCGAAATGTCATTGTCAAATGTGTACTGATTTGTAGTTCTCGTTACGTACTTTGTGCCGCTGCTGTTCAAGTTTCCATACAAAATTTGACATTGACATTTCGGTTTGCAAACTATTCGAATTCGATAATGGTTCGTGCTAGGGGTACAGTTCAGTACTTTTTACGTGATTGAATTACAAACGTACAAAATTTGACATTTCTTATATTAGTAGGATCTAAGTAGGTTCTGGTAGATTCGATCCCTTACTGAGCAACTCTGAGATGCGAGCATTAGGACGCAGTTAAGGAGTTAATTACGGGGAATAGCGTGCAGGAACTTCATAAAAGGTACAGGAACCTAAGACTGCCAGACCTCACTCATTTTCTCATGGACGAAATATGGATTATCGAGTAGTATTAGTGTGTTCTACGAACGTATACATACTTGCTAACTTGTGCTGTGGGAACGAAAATCTCGCGAATGAAATGACGTATTCAAATAAATTATATGCCAAATTTTAACGTATTTTCTGTATACTTTATACTAAGAGGTTGTTTTCTACATGCGTTTATAAGGATCACTCAGTTCAGCAAATTAAAAAAGGTTTGATTGGTCATAACTTTTTAACTATAAGCATTTGTGGTGTGTTATTAATTTGTACAGATATTTCCAAAAGTTACCTTCAAGGTGACAAAAAAATATTATGCAAATCGTAAACATAACGCCGTATTTCTAGGACTCAATCTAAATGCGTCAGGATTGAGTGATCCAATGAATCTATCACAGATTCCTGGATTTACGTTGAAGTAACTTGATTTTTTGTAAAATAATGTGACAAATTCTGTACATTTTTTAATATCAAAATTTCGTTCACAGCGTTAAAGTTTTCTGAGATTCAGCGTATACTATTTTGCCTAATGTCTGAATTGAGTGATCCACATTTTGGGCAATATCTTCGATCGCCTGAGAGTGACAAATTTTTGGATTTCGGTTATGAGTTGACAATTTTACACTAAACGTACGTCTTGGTTTCATTGAAAACTAAACAAGGATCACTCAATTCAGATGCACATGTGATATTATTTAACTACGGAGCCGCAACAAAAAAAAAGAACTATATGATTTGACTTTATGAGTTGAATTTAAACTCTTTCTATGGTTTAGTTCTTTTTCTAAGCCCTAGCTAGCTACGCCTTTGCTAGATATTGTTTATTGAAACTGGCCTATAATGTAAAATTATCCATTGTTCAGGTCACTCTCACAAATCCTGTCGAGTTACGACGGGTCCCAGATGGTGTTCAAACCCGCGATCCCTCCGCCTCGGGCCGCCGCCGGCCGCTCCACCAACGCTGCCCTGCGGCCCCACCACTGGGCACAATCCGATCTAAAGACTATGTGCGAAACGGTCGAGAACGGGGTTGAGTTAATATTTAAACATGGTGACAGGTGATCATGAATAAATAATGCTTTAATAATAAATTGTTTGTTGCAATTATTTTTTGTGTAATAATTTTGACTACAATCCTTAAACAAACTAATAATAATCAATGTAAATGTGTCTCTGTCTGTTACCTTTTCGCGCTTAAACAGATGAACCGATTTAGATGAACGTTGATCTAAAGAAAATTTTACTAGAAAAAATTCCACGCGTACCAGGCAGGAGACGGGACTAGAACCCGCACCCTTCGCTATCCGGGCGAATGCACTGACCATTATGCTACCGCGGCCCTGACGGTCGTGTCGAATTATTTCTAGCCTTAGGCTGCAAGGCAGCGCCATCTCTTCGCATTGTAGGTAATCCACAATGTGAAATTTGATGTTGAGATAGTGAGATAATTTTTATACCAGAAATCATCCTTGAAGGGGGTGAAAATACAGAAAAGTCATGTAGACGAAGTCGGGCGAAATAAGTGTGCAATGTAAGTAATATATATGTAAATAAATCTACCATCTATGTAGCGTAAATAAATAGCAAGTGTGACCCTTACCGTAGAGTTGCTGTAAGGTTTGTAACATACTATCTGTTCTAAAAATAATTAAAAACTTAGAAACATTATGATGTTATTTACAATATTCTTCAAACTTTTTAAAACGACCACCGTGGCTGAATGGTTTGTACGCCGGGTTTCATGGTGCCGCCGACTCGAGAGGTCCCGGGTTCGAATCCCGGTGGGGGCAGATGTTTGTGTGATGAATACGAGCATTTGTACTCCAGTCATGGATGTTTAATATGTATTTCTATATAAATATACTTATATATGTACTGTATATGTATTCTATCCGTTACTCTAGCATCCCATAACACAAGTCTTACAGTGTTTACTCTGGGGCTAGGCTAATTGGTGTGATTGTTGGAAATATTTATTTATTATTTATAAGTATACATTCCAGCAAAATTCTCGAGCATCAACCACAAACTACGTAGCCTGTGCAGTAGCAATTTATCATACAAACACATCTACAGCGCAAGTTTATTTATCCGGTTTTGCTTAAGGAATTTGCAATTACTTATACAAGCAAGCACGCGGAAAAATAGGATATAACTTCTCATATAGTAGCAGCCATTTGCACAAATTCCACTGCCTACGTAAAATAACTAAATAACAAATGAATCAAACACAAATAAAATTTTCCTTATAAAAATAACAATTTATTCAGAAAATAGACATGCAAATAATATACCTACCTATTTACAAAAAACACTATTATCTTAGTGGCTAAATCAACATTTGGAACTAACTTTTTAATGGCTTTTAATTTTATTATTATCAGTTGCTGGTAGTCTCTAGCTTGGTCTCCCAATTAGCGATAGTTTCGACTAAAAGATTGATTCTTTTAGTGCGCGCAGCTTCTAGCAAATGAGCTGCTTCCGTGTGTTGACTCGCTATGTACTCTTTCAGCGACAATAATTTGCTCTGCCATCTGAAGTAAGAAAGAGAGTTAAATTTTAGTTTGTTTTGTGTGAAAACTAATGCCATAGGCATTCTCTACCAGTCAACCAGTATGATTGTTGGAGACACATAGTACGGCGGTAGGGAAAAGTTGCTAAAAATTAAATAAAATGAACATTAACATAATAACAGCAATAAAATAATAATACTTAAATACAAATTGATAAACATATATAAAATACTCATATAACCATAGATAAACATGCACATATAAATACATATAGAGTCTGTGCGGAAAGAGAATGGGCGTGGTGAAAACCGGAACTAACAATAAGATTTTTATTTGGCTATCAAACCCAGCAATCTGTAAAACGTCAAAGTTTTGTATTGATATGGATTTGTTTGTTGTTGGGGATTTCTTGCGGTTTTTTGTATTTTATCATGACCTTACAAATACGGTAGAAAAGCACTACAGCGCCCTCCAATCTAAATCCCATTCTCTTTCCGCACAGACTCTACATACATATATATGCTTAAAATACATCTAATGGTAAGCGGTCACTGTAACCAAAGAAAATAATACAGTTTTAATTTTTAAAAAGGTGGCAAACGAGCATGTTGTCCGCCTGATGGTTAGCAGCCTCAATAGCATATAGACGCTTGTGATACAAAAAATACATATATCACTCGCACCATTGGGCCTACCCTGACCCAATCCCCGTGGAGCTCTGGATCCTTAACCACCGACAGAAACAACACCACCAGAAGGTAGTGTCTTTTACTGTAGTCTTCTGTAAGGTGGAGTTTATTTCCCTAAACGGACGCTCCAATTCGAGCTGGAAAACAACCTTTCTCAGAACATAAACAAATAATCACAATTTTCTAATTCTGGGTATTTTTTACTTTTGGTCGAGAATTTGCATAATGGGATATAGGTTTAGGATCCAATTAGATTGTCAAAATCTTTTTTTCCCAAAACTCCAGTTCTCCATTTCCCACTAGATTCCTACTAGGGGTCATGTCCATTACTCATGTAAGTAATATAACTCACGCATCGTTCTGCTTCTCCCAGAAATCCAGCTCGCCTTCAACCCGCTTGTACTCGGCACTGTTCGCTCGCAGCGCTTCCAGCGCTTCGGTGAGCGATGCCCTCTGTTCATTATGAGCGGCAGCTTCTGAAGCTTCGGCGCTAGATTCTTCGTCGATTGAGTGCTGCGTGCGCTGGGTGTTGGATTTCAACTCCGCTATTTTAGCGCGAGTCTCTTCCTGTGAGAGAAATTGGTCAATTTTCATGTTTCATAAAATAGGGTAATCGACAACTTTTTGAAAACGATCTAAGTTATTTATTAAGTGTTTATGGCCTTCATAAAAATTAATGGTAATTTATCATCCTGTTGTGTATTTCCGTAAAAAAGTAAATCAAGAACACTGCCGGAAGTTGAGCAATTTAGGTAATGAACTGTAGCCATTTTGTAACGTTATGGCACACTTTATTTATACCTTTGGTCTTATTTTTGATGTGTAACATCTTTCCTCTCGCTTTCGTGCAATTTGTGGCAGTGATGACGTGAAGTGGGACCTATTTGATTTGATTTTAGAACATTATGTTCAAATGGCTTATTCCTTTTGTAGTAGGTTTTATTTCTTTTTTTACTAATATAAGGTGAGGTTTCAAATGTTACACATCATACGCGACTACTGTAAGGCTCGCTCGTTATTTTTTAAAGATTAGATTGTTAATTTTCTCTAAATTCTTATAAATATGTGCCGTTCAAACAAATAGATGTCTAATCTATCTAAATTAGGATTATTAATTCTATTGGAGGAGCTCGATGGCGCGGGTGGTTAGCGCGTTCGGCTGCGATCGTTGAAGTTAAGCAACTTCGCAGTGGTCGGTCATTGAATGGGTGACCAAAAATCATCTATCTCGAGTCTCCTCCGTGTTTCGGAAGGCATATTAAACCGTTGGTCCCGGCTGCATCTGCAGTCGTTAGCACCCACTAATCCGCACTGGGCCCGCGTGGTGGGTCATGGCCCAATCTCCTTATTCCATCCATACGGAAGGCCTGTGCTCCAGCAATGGGTTGATGAACATTAATAGGTTGATGAGGATTATTCCAAACTTATCACTATCATTACAAGTGTAACCTAATGCGATATTTATAAATGAGGAGCTGGCGAATAAAAAGGGTACAATTACATAAAATTAAATTTCACAGGAGCTGTTTAAAACTGAATGACATACCTCCAGTGAGCTTTAGGCATGGTTTTTGATTTACAAAATAAGTAATTTTTACACTGTTTTAGGCGGTTTTGATTGAAAACTATTCGAGATTCAAATTCAACCGGGCCCGAAAACTCCGGAGTGTAAAAAAAAACGTAGTTTGACCAGATGCATAATCATACCAGTTTTGTTTTGTTTCATTCAGTTGATTACTCATCACAAAAGCTATAGTCAAACTTATTCACCTGTATTATATTTTTGTAAATTATCAACCGAGGAATCACTAACCCTGATAATACGGTTTTCACTAAGTTTCCGGGTTTCCGGGTTAGGGGTCCACTTCTTGAGCTTTTTGTATGATATTAAATACTCTAGATACACCAACACGAACAAAATCATGCCCGAAACCTGTATAAAAGGTACATTGGACGATCCACGGAGATCCGTAAGATAATCGCATAAGCTTAACAATATAAGTCATTATTTAAACATTGAAATCACCTATAAAGTACACTGTATAAGGTCTTAATCAAAGCGCATGACCAAAGAGTTATGACAGTCCGAGATGTAAGCTAGTAAAATTTTACGATTTATTGCTATATGCGAAAGAATATAGACCTTATTTATTTGACTCTACGCGCAATTCTGAATGCGCTGTTAGCAATACAGCAGGTACGGACTGCGAGGAAAAGAAACGGCTATATTACCGACCATGCATTTGAATATCACAAATATTTTCTATTAAACCAGTTTATAGTAAGTATTAAAACAAAATTGTCTTCAAATTCGTTAAATTAACAAACATTTATTTATCGAAAAAACGACATTTTACATACTATAAGTATATTTTTTATTATTTTAAAGCATGTAACTGCTTGATGTTTAAATCTAAAGAAAAAATAACTAGGAAATAATTCCACGCGGACCAGGCAGCAGACGGGACTCGAACCGGGCGAATGCACTGACCAATTATGCTACTGCGGCCCTCACGAACCGCGTCGAAATTCTTCTAACTATAAGTAATTCTACTGAATACTAAGTATTCATTTTGCATTTTTTCACGGAGCTCAGCGGCAAGTTCACTTTTCAACGGTCCGCGCGTGGCTGTGAACCAAGAAGTGCTTGAGTCGTGTTCAAGCACTTCTTGATAGGGACACATTTTGAGCGCACGTGGTGTATCTAGGGTATTTAATATCGTTGATGTATACGTCTAGACTGAACTAGACTTGCAGCAGTCTACCAAGGTTGCTTTCCTTCTGGACCGATATAGGCTGGCTGGAGTAAACGGGAATGTTTTTGAGACACGCACAATGGTCCAATAATTAGGACTAAGTGCGGAAACCGCCCTGAAAAACTAACTAACTAACTAAGTATACCTCTAGACTCAATTAGACTAATAGCTACTTAAAATGCGAAATGTTGGGTTTTAGTAGATGATGATCTCTTATCTATTAGACGAGTCCGTCTGTCCGTGGTGCTGTTTCAGTGGCCAAACCGTAAGAGATAGATAAAGAGAATATTTAAGTTATAAGTTAAGAATAGTCTGATAAGACTACAAACCGGATTTGAGTAACGTAGCACTTCCGGTTTTCGAGAAATCACGAATTTCAAACGAAACCACACAAAATCTCCGAAGTTCTCAAAATTAATTAAATACATTTTTTTTTCGCCAGCTCCTCAAATGTGAATAACCAGTTACCAGTAAGGTAGCCCGATGACGCGCCAGCTCTGACCGTTGCTTAGTGAGGCGGGCGCGGTCTCCGGCCAGACTAGCGGCTAATTCTTTTAAGGCTTCCAGCGCTGTACACACGTGGGCTGCACATTCAGCGCCCATTAACTCCCTGAAAAACAAAAAAGTTTCCGGCATGATGGAGAAATTTTAGCTCTCATCACACACTTCAAATAGGTAGGAATGCCAGACTCTTCCGGCAAGAAAAAAGTGTTTTGCGTGATTTTTCTCTAAAAGCCAATAAAATTTACTGTCGAAACATTAAAAAAAACGCGATGACGGTAAAACATTTTTTATTTTTTTTTATATATATAGTTTCGGCAATAGGAATCCACGCATACCGTAAATATGCATAGCTTAATTTATTCCTATACCTATGTTCTATTATATAATTAAAAAAAAAATTGATTCCGCTATGACGGGACTTTTAAGTGTAACCGGCTCCCCCGCCTGTAATATCGAATTCGAATAGTGTGCGAGTGAGAAATGTCATTGTTACATTTCGTGTGGAAACTTGAACAGCAGCGCCAAAACGGACGTAACGAGAATCAGTACACATTTGACGTATAAAATAGATCGAATTCGACAATGGTTCGTGCTTAGGGTACAGTTTTAACAATCAACCTCCACTAACGAAGTTAGACGATCTCCGTGGCTTTCTCGTTCACGTTCTTTTCTTTATATTATAATAAAAAAAAATGAAATGATTAACAAACTCATAGCAGTATAACAATATCTTTACCTTTTTAATTATTAGAGTAAAAGTAAAAAAAAAACAAAATTAGATGACGTTTATTCAATCTCATCATCACTAAATTAATATGGTATCATTCCACCGAAAAATATATTCAAACTAAAAAAAGAATCGTCAGAATCGGTCCTCGCACCTCGGAGATGCATATCTCTAAGAGATTGAATAAACGCGAAAACAAATAAAAAATAAAATGGCGAATAGGGATGAATAAAGATTAATAGGGATGACGACAAACTTTTTTTCTTCGTCTATCAGGTATCAAAATAAATGTATTTTTTTCTTCATTCACATAATCAATAAATTATAGAGAGATATATTGTTTTAAAATGTCAAATGACGTCACGTTTTGGTACAATTTTTATTTTAACGACGTCACGAGGGGGAAACTTTGCCGCGCTTTATCTTTGCACTTTTTTGGTTGATAACCAAAGATAAAAATACAAAAATACGTGTCCATAATTTTTTGATAATGTAACGACGAAGATGCCCCCCCCCCCCCCCCCATAAACGTTACTTAACACCCAACTGACCATTTTTTACCCGAATGTCACAAGTATGTTGCGCAAACTACCGGGAAGTCGCTAAATTACTATTGTTATTGTTTTAATCGCGTTTGAGGCACATGAATTTTCCTTTTTATACCTTAATTTTAATACCCCCGTCTTTTTTATTTAATTAAAAACAATGTTACATAACGCCTTGATCGAATCCCTCTCCCGCCCCTGTAACTCATCGTAACGTTTTACAAGAAAAAATTGCGTTACGTAATACTTGAACGCCCCCTTGAAAACCTCCTCATCATTGGTTAAAAATTAGGCTTGTGAATATTATAAAGACATACTTTTCTTCAATGGCGAGCGCAGCCAGGGACGGGAACTGCGACGACAGGTGTATCAGCCCCTGCTTGTACTCCCTGCAGCTGTCCAACGTCTTATTCTGCCACAGTGCAAGATCCGTCTCCTTGCTGAGCACCATCTGTACGACAACCATTGAATGGACTGTTAAATTATAACAAAAACGGAAGACACGGTACGCTCATACTAGCATCAAATAAAATATGCTCAGATTCAACTACATAAGCAACTCTCACACACGCACACTTCTGTAAATAAACATTTAATCGAGCGAGCGAAACAATACTAAATACCCTAGATACACCACGAGCGCTCAAAACGTGTCCCAATCAAGAAGTGCTTGAACTCTACTCAAGCACTTCACACATACATTTTACGAACTTGCATTTCGAACTGTCAGAAATCTTTGACGCGTGAGTTTTAATTAAGACCTTATACAGTATGCATTAAAGGTGACTTTCAATGTTTAAATAATGCCTTATATTGTTTTTGACAACGCAATCATCTTACGGAGCTCCGTGGATCGTCCAATGTACCTTTTGGACAGGTTTCGGGCACGATTTTGTTCGTATCGGTGTATCTAGGGTATTTAATATCGTTGGAGCGAGCGAGACAGTACTGTAGGCTTCAACGCAGCGCGAGCGAAACGGCGAGTCCGCGTCGCTTAGCAACCGACTGCGTTTTCTATTCTCTGTCTACAAACGTCTGAGCTGTATTGTTGTCCTTATCTCAGAAATGGCGAATTAGTACATTCATGGCACCATGAGTGAAAAATGTTTTTATAGCTTATGAATGAAAAGTTTTGCCGAGGAATTTGTTATTTGAAAGTGAACAATTTGTGTTCTTTTTAAAACCAACCAAACCAAAGGCATTTTTTTATCTTTATAACACAGAATATACGCAATATTGTTGTATTGAGTGCACATGCAGCGTGTTTGGATGTCTAATTGTGTTCATGCATCACAATTTAAGAGGTACTCTTTTGAGCCGCGAGTGCCGTATGTTGATTTTTTGTTTTAATCAAATCAAGTTAAGAAAGATGATTTTCAGCTTGAATTGAATGTTTGACATTCAATCAGCCCACCAATACCATACCTTCAAATAACAGACAAAAGGCAGATGGAACGCACGGAACACGTAAGTGCGGCTACCGAAACAAATACGAAGACAAAAGTAAAGACTTTTTTATCTGCCAAAAGAGTCCATTATGAAAACTAAAGAAAGTTTTACTACTTTTTTTTTCTAGTAAAATTTCTTTCCACGCGGACCAGGCAACAGACGGTACTCGAACCCTCACCCTTCGCTATCCGGGCGAATGCACTGACCAATTATGCTACCGCGGCCCTGACGGCTATGTCGAATTTTCTCTAGCCTTTCTCAAGCTGCAGGGCAGCGCCAACTCTTCGCATTGTAACCCACAATATCAAATGAATACTTTTACAAGTATTAAACATTTGAAAGAAGAAATAGCAATTATACACAGTCAGGTCATAAGTATTGCCACACAGTAAAAACTTTTCTTTTAGAATGCTGGCCACAAAAAGCTTTATTGAATTAGATTTTCTAATTGTTCATGAAAATAAAAATGTATACTTTTTAGAATTTTACTCATTTTTAAATATGGAGTGGACGCTTAACGAAGACCGTGTGGCAGTTCTTGCGTTGCATCGTTGTGGTTACGCACCAATTAAAATTTTTGACATACTGAAAATTTTTAATATAACCAAAAGAGTCGTTTATCGTACCATCAAACGATACAATGAAGACTCTAGTGTAGATGACAGGTCAAGAAGTGGTAGCCCTCGGTCTGTTAGGACTCCAGCAGTGAAGGCGCGAATTCAAAGCTGTGAAGGCGCGAATTCAAAGAAATCCTAAACAGAAACTGCTGGCCCTTCAGATGGGGTTAAGCAGAACCACGGTGAAAAGGGTGTTAAATGAAGACTTAGGGCGTCGGGCATATCGAAGAAAAACAGGACATCGTTTGAATGCTCGTCTAATAGAACTGAGACTGAAGAGATGCCGCGTTTTGTTGAAGCGGTACGCGGGGAAAAAATATGGGGTAATTCTTTTTTCGGATGAAAAAATAAGCGTGCTCAAAGCCTCATCCCAATTTGGAGTCACTCAAGATATCCTTGATTAAGGCAGCCGCCGATATTGACATGGACCTCGTTCGTGCTGCGATAGACGACTGGCCGCGCAGATTGAAGGGCTGTATTCAAAATCACGGAGGTCATTTTGAATAAACTTTATTGTCATAAGGTTTTGTTAAGTTCATTTTGGTATATAAATGGTTACATAATGAATAAACTTGATTCAATTATTTTATATTAAACATGTGACAGAATTTATGACCTGACTAGGTATTTATATTTTAAAGCATTTAACTGCTACTCGTAGGTGTTTAAATCTTAAGAAAATTTTACTAGAAAAAAGTCACGCGTTCCGGGCGGCAGACGAGACTCGAACCCGCACCCTTTGCTATCCGGGCGAATGCACTGACCAAACATTAATTAGTTCGCCCGGATAGCGAAAGAGTAAGTCCATTTTCTACGGACAGAGTAACTATCGAATTGATAATGTTGGAATGAACAAAGCCAAAATACGTCTGATTTTATTGTCACAATGTTTAATACAGTGATGCTGTTCGGTGGTACTTTTTTTTATAGCGAGGTAGGCAAATGACTCTACCCCACCTGATATTAAGTAGTGATAAAGTCCAAACTTTGAGGAGCTCGATGGCGCAAGTGGCTAGCGCGTTCGGCTGCGATCGTTGAATTTAAGCAACTTTCGCAGTGGTCGGTCATTGGATGGGTGACCAAACATTACTATCTCGAGCTCCTCCGTGCTTCGGAAGGCACGTTAAGCCGTTGGTCCCGGCTGCATCTGCAGTCGTTAGCACCCACCAATCCGCACTGGGCCCGCGTGGTGGGTCATGGCCCAATCTCTCTATTTCATCCATAGGGAAGGCCTGTGCCCCAGCAGTGGGGACATTAATAGGCTGATGATGATGAACGTCCAAACGCGAAGATAGCTGGTACAGCAATTATAAACTGCTACACCAACCATCCTCACCTTGCCGGCCTGCAAAAATGCTTCTTCACGCCTCTCTTAAAGGACTCAGGAGCTCCAGAGTCCCAATTATAGAGGTAAACATCGAAAAAATCGTAGAAATCAAATTTTATTTAACCAGATTCGAAAAGTCCCATTAGCAGAGGTAATTCGATGAAAAAATGCCGGTACCACATTGTAGATCTCAATAATAGAGGTTTCTCACTTATCCAGGTCCCAGTTAACCAGGTTTCACTGTGTTGTTTAAGTTATGAGCATTTGCTCACACATAACTGTGGCCTGCCCTGCTTACAAGGACCTCGTGACCCTTGTGACCTGTTCCTGTGTTCCGTGGTACTCACCTTGTCTATCTGTTGCGCGAGCGCCCGCTTGGAGTCCTGCACGCGGTGCGCGTAGTCCACCTCGTCGAGGAGCATGGCTCGCTCTGCCACGCTCAATGGCTGCTCTTCCAGTTCCCGCTTCAATTGTTGACTCTCAGCCCTGATTTTGTTGAATAATATTAGTTAATCTTAGGCTGCGTTGTTTCATATAGAGTTAAATTAAACTTTAGTTAATGCCATATCGAATCTATACCAGGGATGTTGCGAACATTCGCATCTGCATCCGCAAATGCGGAACATCCGCATTGATTTGGACATCTGCATCTGCTTCCGCATCCGCATTAATCAATGCGAATGTTCATGCGGATGCGAATATTATACAAGTAGCGACAAGAAAGAAATTGGGCGGGGCCGGTGATTGACTCGTGCCGGTCGCACGTGACAATAACCAATGGGAGCGAAGAAATTGGGGACAAGATTCGACACGTTTGTTTGTTCTAGCTAGTGCATCATTTGTTTCTTGCAAGTGAATAAATATTACGTGTTTGTTTGCGCTGTGATGTGAAAGTGAACTACTTATCGTATCATAAAGATAGATAGGTATTTTTAATGTTGTTGTGATACAGTGTGTAAATAAGAAGAGTTTACAAGAAAACTTTATATTATTTAAGACTAATATCCATAAGATCACAAGGTAAATTCTATTATATTACGCCGGTAATACGTTTTATTGTAGGAAAAATTATCGTTTTATGACGAAATTCGTTATTTTACCAGTGTGATTCCCGTTATTGATAGTTTATCTAACTATTTAGTCAACAATGTCACCACCGACCAAAAGTAATGTATGGGATTATTTTGAACCAAATATATATAACCATAATATCTTATACATCCGCATCCGCATCTGCATCCGCGGATGTGAGCCTGCTAAACTCCGCATCCGCATCCGTATCCGCGGATGTGAAAATATCGGCATCTGCAACATCCCTGATCTATACATATAATAAAATGGTAGGAAAGTCAAAACTGTACATTGAATATTTTTTTAAAGAATACTTGGGGTGTGATCTACAATCGATACCGAAGAAAAAAAATATAGTTTTTAGAATTTTTATCTGTTTGTATGTCAGGGATAAATTCAAAAAGTACTCCATGGATTTACTTAAAATTAAGCACGAATATTATTAAGCAGTCGGGTCAACATATCGGCTACATATTATCACGCTTTCACCTACGGAGAACGAGCAGTGAACCTTTATTTCTTACCAACTCCACGCGTACGAAGTCACGGGCAGCCGCTAGTATATGAGTATAATGGATAAGAAATCTGCAAAATTTGGTCACTAGGAGCGCTGTAATCGCTTGACCCAAAACTTGTATCAAATACATACCTATTAGCTTATATTCATTTTTAAGCTTTTTATTAAACAAATTACGAATGGCGCGTTGTGCAGTTCTTGGTTTTTGTGAGAAAACTGCATGCTCACAGACTAAAATATAATTTTATATGTTTTTTTGAAAGGGGGAGTAAAACTAAGCTGCTGTTTACATCATGGTATGTATCTGGGGCAGATAATTGCATCTGGTGTAGGAAGGCCAAAGGGAAAGATCTTCCTCTGAGCTGGGTGATGTTAGCTCGGGGGCCGCGGCCCGACTAATGTTGGTCGGGCATGGTATATATGAAGAGTCAGCCTCCGAATTTCATTTGCGCGATGTAGGCTTTTCCGTACGTTTAAGATCGCAGTGCAGTGCAATAATCATGGAAAATGCATCTATGTACCGAGAAAGAGCATAAGAGTACCTTTCTACTAGATCAGCTTTTCTGCCTTGCATAGATGCTCCTCTCCTTTTCAACTCTGATTTCAGCTATATTGCAGACCATGTTGAATACATTTTCACCACTGATTTAATATATTTAACAATAAAAATACACGTTCAAAATTTGACAGCTGCAATATACGGCTGTGGTTTGCAGCGCCATCTATGTCGAGCTTTGCGTATACTTCTCCATTAGAGTGTAATAATAGCCCAGTAGTATAGTATTGTATATGAACGTGGCAGTATCGATGTCGTGATCAACAGCCCGCCCCGACACCGCAATACCCTGACCCGACCGTGGACTTAAACACGGCTAGTTTCGCAGCATTCACGATGAAGAGCCAATCGCAACTCGCTCAATATGAGTTCGACGCAGCGATGGTCTCCAGACTCCTGGACTGCGGACTAATCCCAACGAGATTGAAGATCTGGTTGTGGACCCACGTCCGTTTCTTGGCAAGAAACGATGGCGCAACCACCAGCCCCCACCCCGGGGACTGGGCAACCCTCGAGGTGATAAAATCCGTCAATCTCATGCCACTCACTTCCGCCGCCGAAAGAAATCGACCTAGTGCCCCAGTCTGCATCGCCCGACTCGAAGGAGAAGCGTCGCCCTCGCCCGAGACACCCAAGCAACCCAAGAACCACCGCAAATCACAGAAGATGCAATTAACAAGCTGCTCCAGTTTAAAAAAGAAAAAAGAAAGAAAGGAAGAAAAACATTTATGTGCAACCAGCACAGCATACATACATTGTAAACAAAAACAGAATTTAAAGAACTTAACAACAAAGAAAAAAACAATTAATAATAAACAAAAACAACTAAACTAATCTGCTGGTGTTGCTGTGTAGGGCCAACAGGTCGCTGTCTCCGCTATGCTACTGTGGTAGTACTTTCGCTATACCATAGCAGCGCTGAGTTTACGGAACTGTTCGCAAATTTTATCAAAAAAATCGGGTAGGCCGAAAAAAGAAGAAAAGGAACTACCCTCACGCTAAGTCCGTCACCCATTCGCAGGTCGCTCACCGGGCCTCCCTCATGGGTCACACCTGGTAGGCTTGACCGCGCCGAGGGCGACGCGTGAAGAGTGGGGGGCTATGGACCCCAAGGACCGTGCCGTCCCGATGACGGGATGCGAAACCACCACAAGTGAGGTAGGCATCCGCCCTGAACAATTTCCCCGCACAGAAGACGCAGTGTAGTAGTTCTCCACGTGTCGCCGTCGCGGTAGGTCGCGGGACTCCGCGTATATATATATATATATATATAGTACTGTATACGCACGCGGCGCGCTCCATGTCGTGGTCCAGTTGTTGTACGGCTCGCGCGAGGTCGGCGGCGCGCGCTCGTGCGGCGGCGCGTTGCGCGCGCGCGTGCGTGTTGGCGGCGCGCGAGGACCGCAGCTGGGAGAGCAGCGAGTCGCGGCGTTCCGCGAGCTGAGCTTCTTCCGCGCGCGCCGCGACTTCCGCTTCGTCTTCGAGGCACGCTTCATACTCTGTGCGATATCGAAAGCTATCAATGATCTTGTTTGGAGTTCCCCCCAAGCCCCTTAGAATTGAATCTATTTTAAGTATCCCCCTATTTCTACGAATCACCAAGGGCGAATCCAGAGGGGGGTCAAGGGGGTTATGACTCCTCCCTGGGCTGGGTCCATCTGTATCCACTTCACAATCTGTACCCACTGTTACTTGACCGCGACTATATGACCCCCCCCTGGCGCCAAAGCTGGATCCGCCCTTGCGAATCACACGAACATCCGCCCCCACCGGGATTCGAACCCGGCACCTCTAGAGTCGACGACGCCATGAAACCCGGCGTACAAACCACATGACCACGAAGGTCGCCAAAACTATTTTGATATGTAATCAACTGTTTAAAAATGTTCCGAATTATGTTATAATGTTAACGAGTACAACTAATTGCTACCGCGAAATGTATTGCACTGAAGAGTTATAATGCACGGGGGACTATAGCCCAGTTACCGCGAGCTGCCCCGTGCGTCATCCTTATATGTCGCAATACCGTAGTGTTCGGTTTTTAACCGAACAATAGTTACAATCTTCATTGTTTTAGTTCTTGTTATGAAGTCTAAACTCATCTCTCTCATCACTATGAATTAATTTGAATGCCCATTCGATTAATTCGCACTCAAAGGGCTCATGTCATAGTAGCGCCAACTAGTACCGTGAATTTTCCTAAATTATTTTGAAAGGAGCTCGATGGCGGAAGTGGTTAGGACGTTCGGCTGCGATCGTTGAAGTTAGGCAGCTTTCGCAGTGTTCGGTCATTGGATGGGTGATGGATGAGTTTAATATTCATTCTACAGTATCTATAATCTGCATAGTAAAAAAGTACCCGCCATTGTACAGTAGTAATTTTCATATGACACCGGCAACCGGCAAGTGCATAAACCTATGCTTATGCTTATGAAGTTATTTATTATATACTTTAGCCGCCCCTTCTACAGCAAGACCTAATATCGCAAGTTTCTATTCTTCCCGTATCACACGGCACATTCACTTATTCATTCGTTTATTGAATAAACCATTTTATTTTTTCAGGCTGCGCTGAACGAAGTTCAGTACATGTGCTATCGATGTTGGATAGCAGCTAATCGCCAAGAAGCGAGATATGCAGAACGAGTAGATCAAGATCAAGCTGAACAATCTGTGGAGGAGCACTTTCATTCTACTGCAGTCCCATCTTACAAAAGATAAGCGAATACGTCTCGTTGCTGTGTGTTTCGTGACTGTCAACATGGAGATCTTCACAGAGTGCCTCTATTTTAAAATCTTTGATTGAATATAGCCTCTACGTTCCTGATAGTGCACGGATTTGTTCAATGCATATGCAGACAAACGACTGAAAGACATTGTAGTAGATCTTTTAAGAGATGCATATAAAACTAAGTCATCCATAGATTTTGATAACGTAGAGTCTATTTCCCCAGAGGAATTATATTTCCGAACTGGGCTGACACATGAGCAGTTTGCTAGTGTCCTTAGTGAAACGCTATCACTAACACGAGATACGAAACGGCCAAAAACAGTGTTAGGATGTTTTCTTATGAAAATAAGGTCTTGAGAACCAGATGATAGAATAGCGTGTCACTTAAATATCAACAGAAAAACCATGGGACGTTACTTGAAAAAGGCACGTGATTGTTTAACAGGTCAATTTGTGCCACGCCATTTAGGTTACGATCACATCAGCCGCGAGGAGATAATAAACCATAACCTTACCATACCTACGGCCCTATTTGGGAGTCATGTTGACCCAAAAGCCACCATTATGTTTGATGGTACCTACATCTATATACAAAAAAGTAAGAATTTCTGGTTTCAGATAAGGACATATAGCTTGCATAAGTTTAAAAACCTACTCAAACCATTTGTTTTGGTATGTGCGGATGGTTACATAGTAGATATTCTAGGTCCCTACGCCGTAACTTAGTACAATCAATCTGTCGAAAAAAAAATCGTTTCAGTGAAAAAAAAAACTAAAGGGTAAGTCTTGTTTTTTCTGTTGCCAAATAACGTCAGTAACCTTGGCGATGGGCATGTTCAACTCGTAGGCGTTTACTGAAAAACTCAAAAAAACCCTCAAAAATTTTTTGAAACGCGTTTTTCTTGTTTTGTATGCATTTTAGAAACTTTTTTTTCGACCATAATTGTAGAGGGCGTTGAGTACTACAATTTATGTCATTGTTACAATCTCGTTTAACAAAAAATGCGCATTGTAGGTGGCGCTAAAGTCTCAAAAATAGTGTTTTTTCACTTTTTCACCCTGAAAATATCATTTTAATGGAAAACTTTAAATGGATAAGTTGTTCCGTACATAATTACCAACAACTTTTGTATACACAATTTTTTTGTATTAGTTACCGTTTTCAAGTTATAAATTGCGCAAGTATGAAAAATCCAATAGAGCGGTTTTGAGCAGTTCAAGTACACATTACGTTACCGTTAGTAGCACTGTGTTGTATACGTAGCGCTGTATTGCACTGTAACTTGAAAACTGTAAGTAATTTAAAAAAATTGTTTTTACAAAAGTTGTTGGTAATTATGTAGGGAACAACTTTTCCATTTAAAGTTTTCCATTAAAACGATATTTTCAGGGTGAAAAAGTGAAAAAACACTTTTTTTGAGACTTTAGCGCCACCTACAATGAGCATTTTTTGTTGTACGAGATTGCAACAATGACATAAATAGTAGTACTCAACGCCCTCTACAATTATGGTCGAAAAAAAGTTTCTTAAATGCATACAAAACAAGAAAAATGCGTTTCAAAATATTTTTGAGGGTTTTTTTGAGTTTTTCAATAAACGCCTACGAGTTGAACATGCCCATCGCCAAGGTGGCTTACTGACGTCATTTGGCAACAGAAAAAACAAGACTTACCCTTTAGGTTTTTTTTTCACTGAAACGATTTTTTTTTCGACAGATTGACTGTACTAAGTTGCGGCGTAGGGACCTAGAATATCTACTATGTAACCATCCGCACATACCACGTCTGTGCCGACTGACGTCATTTGGCAACAGAAAAAACAAGACTTACCCTTTAGGTTTTTTTTTCACCACAACCTACAGATTGACTGTACTAACTACATCATATGCTCAGATAATGACACAGATGATGAACAATGAGAGTTCTCCAATTCATTATTTGCTCCAACAAAATGACGTCTTCATTTTGGATAGAGGTTTCAGGGACTCAATATCAGATATTAAAAAACCTGTGGTTATGTGCCCCATATGTAACCAACAAAGGATAGGAATGCAACTCAGTTTTCAAATGAGCAAGCCTTGATCACAATGAGGGCTACCGTTTTCTGTCTCACCAGATGGCGCCACTGTTGAGTGAGGTCCGGAATTGAAACTTTTAAAGTTTATTAATACGCACGTGAAATCAAAGTTTACATTTAAATCATATTTTAATACAAAAGAACCGTATCCGAAAAATAATCGGCCATGCCACAGTGATGCGCAGTTCCGTTTTGTTCGGAAAAAAGGAGGACATACTATTTTTTCTTAGCTCCGCTTTTAAATAGCTGACATTCGTTGCCACGTAACTCATATTTGCCATAATTATGCCGAGTTATTACCAAATATTCACAACATTATTTTAATTAGAAATAAACCCGCGTAGTCAACCCACAAGCAATAACATTTGACAGTTCGGAGACCTCACGCTACACTAGCGCCTCTAGCGGCGAATTCATATGCGATAGCCCTCATTGTGCGCTGGGTCATTGAAGCAATAAATGGCCGATTTAAGCGTGATTTTAAAATATTTCGAAACCAAATGTTTAACAAATCCTTACCAAACCTATTTATCGATTTTAGAATTGCCGGTGCACTACTAAACGCATTCAGGGAGCCTTTCCATGACAGTGTGTACGCTGAAACGTTTATTGTACAAATAAACACCCGAATGAACACTATAAATAACTTAGGTAATTACGTCGTTGCACATAATATGAACAGGCAGCGAGCAGCTTTCGTGACAATGAATGACGGATCACTAAATAACCATCCCCCATCTCACAGATGAGGATATCATTTTGTTTAGCTTGGGGACCTACCATTTAAAACTAGCTCGTTCCTACGTAAGTGAACATTTAAGAGGTGGTGTTTACAATATTGAGGTGTAAATAAAACTAGTTTTTACGGATTAATGCACGAAACTTTATTAATTTACTAGCTGACCCAGCGAACTTCGTACCGCCCTAAAAAAATAGGGGTTATCCAGCGGACAAAATTGTGAATCTAAACCATTCTCAGATCCCCTTGAACACACACAAAAAATTTCATCAAAATCGGTCCAGTCGTTTAAGAGAATTTCAGTGACATACACACTCACAGAAGAATTATATATATAAAGATTGACGTTTCGTAGCCTTTACAGGCTTCGTCGTCAGAATAAAACTTTTATTCGATTTGTCGAGGTACCTTCGACAATGAGAAATGAGTGATGTGCGTGAAAACCTAAGAAACAAATATAATATTGAGGTGTGTTCATCTCCAAGCCCAAAATTAGCAGAATATGGAGAATGAAAAGAGAATATCTAGAAACGGAGGGCAGCATATTATTGAGGGGTCGCATTTTATCCCGTCACCGTTCAAACACTACGTACTATTCGTATTTATTAATTCGGAACGGGAACGATTTAAACGCCATCCAAGCGTACTACTGCTCCTGTTTGACTGGGATGAGGGCAGTCGGTGCATGTGCACATGTTGTGAGCATCATGTGGTATTTTGGTGTTGGTAGACATTTGCAGAATTTCATTGGGCCAGCTAGTGCCTGGGATGACATAATCATTGATAGTGCAAATACAGAATAACTGAATAAACATAATATCAAAAATGTATTTTATTTCTTTCTTTCCCAAAAAAATTAAGAATGGTTTTCATTCCTTCATTGTTAGAATTTAATTATGTAATTCTTCTACCAGTGCAGCAGTAGTAGCAGAGCTTCGTAGCCCGTAAAAATAATTAATTACACATTAAAGTATAGAAAATTACAACAGCCCTAAAAATTTTTTTGAGTTCTTTTTATTCATTCACTCACTCATTTTCAAATATTCATTCATTAATTCATTCAATCAATCTCACTCTATAGTGCAACAAAGGTGGGGACCGAGTTCATACATTTTGTCCCATTGTTCTTTAATTTTAATAAATAATTTTTAGGCTATACATTTTAAACACTAAAAACGCTGTTCGCCACATCCGCCATGATTGTGACGTCTTTTTTGTAGTAAACAACTCAATGCCATTCATACATAACCTTAAAACTTCTTTTATTAAAACTGATAATAAATGAAGAGACTAAAAATATTTTTCAATGAGTACTTACGTCAAAGTAATCTTCGCAAAAATAAATTTTACTATGAGTCGATAGTTGCAGGATCCCTTTTAGCAAGTTCTAACCAGGCATTGCGTAGGTTAATTTCTTTCGGCACTTTAATCCACAACTTTCCTGAAGTCTTCAAGGATGTGTTTTTACATTCTCGTACAATACAATAATGATAATTACTATATTTTTCGTGGTATTTATTAGAAATCATGTTTTTTTTTATTATAAACTCAGATAGGTTATTTTCTACGTACTTACGAGTTTTTGTTTACTACCGGTTGACGTCATAGCATAGATAATCTATAGACTAAAATGGCCGGCAGCGTTTTTGTATGTCCATGAAAAGTCTATTTTAAAATTAAAGATCTCAAAAAAATATAATACATTTTTTTCGGTCTAATAGAACATCTATTAACCATTTAAAACCTTTTTCCAAAAAGGGTCAACCCTATTGTCGCCAAATACTGAAGTTTGAAAACGTCCAAATTTATATTACGTTAATATCAATATGTTTTACTCACTCTTAATGATTTGTTTCAGATCTGCTATCTTCTCTTCATCATTCCCAAGCAACAATTTCAAATTCTGAAGATACTCCTCATTCAGGTCTTCAAACTGGTGGCCTGGGTCTTGGAAACTGAATAAAGCATAGATGTCCTATTAAAATCAAACGAATAATCCAAAAGAGAGGCAACTTTTATGCAACTAATAAAAATGAAGACTTTCCTTGAAAAAAAATATAAATTCTAAGAAAGAAAACAATGGAGGAGCTGGCGAACAGAACCAGATTAGTCGACGAAAATAAATTTTACATAGTGGTGTCGATTCTGACATGATTCTCTAAACGTAAAAACTAAATTTTACATCAGTCTCTCCTATTCATTCTGTATAGAGAATGACAAGGATGCACTGTTGTCTAATGTAAGTTTAGGTTTAGAGAACCATACTAGAATCGACAACAGTGGCTAAAAAACTAATATCAGTATTATAGAGGTGACTAATAACAAATCGGACTTGTCCGGTTTTGTTTGAAAATGCACTTTTTAAAGCCCTTTTTTTGCCTACTTCGAGCCGGTTTTGATTGAAAATATTAACAGGGATCGACGAAACTGGGTCAAGATATCATGATTCGAAAAAAAACTTCTTTTTAATGGTAGTGGACAAGTCCGGTCCTGTTCTGCAGCTCCTCAATGTATCTATAAATGTAGTCCGCAATACCTAACTTTACCACAAAACGTCATATTTGTTCAATCGACAGTGAAACTTATAAAAATCAAGATAAAGATCAAAAATGTAAGTATTTTTCAGCTTTTTGATAAGATTGATCTTTGGCTGCTGTGTAGTTGAGAATCTAAAACAAAACCAGAGACCACACATACATAAAATGTCCTCGAAATCGGTCCAGCCTTCAAGAAAAGGTTCAGTAACTGTTTGGCATTTCTATACGAGAGGGAACGCACCAAGTTAAGGTTCGGCTCGGTCACCAATCCGTATGGTGCTACATGACGCGATATCAAAATCGACGCTGCCATTGGTTACAAAATATTGTCCCCAACCCCTCTTCCTTTTAAAGGTCATCACCTCTTTTATTTAAATAACAAAAATCTCAATCTAAAAACTCTGTCGCTAAGCTGCGACGATACGAAAACCAAGTACTGGTGTTATTTATTTTTAAGCATTTAACTGCTAGATGTTTAAATCTAAAGAAAAGTTTACTAGAAACAAATCATTGCAGCTTAACGCTAGGAAAATTTCGACGCGGCTAATAGGGCCGTGGTAGCATAATGGTCAGTGCATTCGCCCGGATTGCGAAGGATGCGGGTTCGAGTCCCGTCCGCTGCCTGGTCCGCGTGGATTTTTTTCTAGTAAACTTTTCTTTAGATTTAAACAAGTACTGGTGGTCGCTATCCGGCACAGTAACATATTATAAACAGAAGAAATTTATACTAGGGGCAGCCCACGTATTTGTCCGAATTAACTTTAAGTGTTTTGTGAATCTCACAGGAACCAAACCTTTTTAACGAGATAAAAAGTATCCTATGTCTCAATCCAGCTTCCTTTAAATAAAAGGAAAAAATAAAACTATATGCATACCAAATTTCATCAAAACCCGTTCATTCGTTTTGGCGTGCTCGAGTAACAAATATACAGGTACAAAACTATCACATTTATAATATTAGTAGCATTTGCTGTTCCTTAATAAGTAACAGTTTAGGGTAGCGGCAAACTTCTTGAGCAAAACCATAGACTAATTAACTTGCGCAGTAGACGTTTTTGTATGTGAAATTGCTACTGCGCGAGATTGCTTGTCATATGATTAAGAAGTTAGCCAGGATGTATACCTGATCCAACATTTGCGCAGATAGTCGCGTCGCAGACGAGATAGCTCATCTTTACCGACGTAAACCCAGTCGTCATGAACCGGCATTTCCTGCGCAACATCACAAATGTGTAATAGATAAATTCAACAAACTAAATGTTTCATTATACTATTACTAGCTGACCCATCGTACTTCGTACTGCTTACAATAATTAGGAAGAAATGATAAACGACGATCGTCAAATGTTTCAAAGGAATATAGATAGAACAGTTTACATGAAAAAATGAAATTGTATTTTTACTATCTTCCTCGCAATTTTTACATATTTTCTCACCCTTTAAACCTTCCCTAGTCCTCCACTCCACGAACATTTCAAGACCAAGATAAGATAAATCCGTTCAGCCCTTCTCGAGTTTTAGCAAGACTAACGAACAGCAATTGCTTTATATATATATACTAGCGGACCCGACAGACGTTGTCCTGTCTAGTATGGTAGCGCCGTCTGTCGGATCCAATGTAAAACATTCCAAAATCAACAAATACTAATAAATTAAAAATTAATTAAAAAAACATTGTCCAGCGGACAAAATTGTGAATCTAAACCATTCTCAGATCCCCTTGAACACACACAAAAAATTTCATCAAAATCGGTCCAGTCGTTTAAGAGAAGTTCAGTGACATACACACTCACAGAAGAATTATATATATAAAGATATATATATCTGATAAGATGAGCACAAGTGAATTAACAAAAAACTTGCATTTATTTCTGATCACAAATAATATAATGTAGGTTTTTAAATAACTATTTACTAATCTAATCACATCATAAAAAAGTTTAATGCAATGGATTTTATGCAAAGTCCGGATTATATCAGGGTAGTTGACCAGGTCCAGCAGAGCTGTTGTTCACCATTTTCAACCACAACTTGATAACCAATCACCATATCTACTCCCGTTGTTGTTGTCGACTGTAGCTACATATGGAGGGTAATAAAGGATAAAATAATCACTCACGATATGGTTGACGAGGTCAAAAGTTGATCACGTCCATACGCCGCTTATACCTATAGATCTATGTTAACCCGTGAAATCTACAGGCACTGAATCTACATATGGAGAACCTCGTTGGCGCAAGCGCTTTTGGCTGAAGTTAAGCAACTTTCGTAGTGGTCTGTTATTGAATGGGTAACCAAAAATTTACTATCTCTCCCTCCTCCATGCTTCGGAAGGTACGTTAAGCCGTTGATCCCGGCTGCATCTGCTGTCGTTAGCGCCCACCAATCCGCACTGGGCCCGCGTCATGGTCCAATCTCCCTATTCCATCCACAGGGAAGGCCTGTGCCCCAGCAGTGGCGACATTAATGGGCTAATTAATGATGATGACATAGAATCACTTACGATGTGGTTGACCAGGTCCAGCAGGTAGGCGATGAGACCTAATGCGTGAGGAAACGCGTGAAGAGTGTTGACGGTCTTCAGCCATGATTTCGCTACTGTGCCCGGGTACAAGAGGCGTTTCGATAGATGCGGCAACTGCATAAATATATCAGATCAATCTCTAATAACTGATCACATTCATTTAGTTTAAGTTATCTAAATATAATTAAATTATCTCTTGCTTACACACATATATATGTTATGGGCCAAGTGATTAATGCGGGCAGTATTCATAATGCCAGGGCAGTATGAATAATGCCCAGCCATATCGGGCCAAGGGATTAATTACAATCTAAACTCACCTATTTATCACATTGCCCGGTCATTATTAATAATGCCGGACGGCTCGTGGTCCATGTAATAAGTCAGTGTTTAAGATAGCTTGAATTTATCGCTTGGACTGGGCAGTATGAATAAATTCAAAAAGTTGGTACTATTGTCAAAATGACAGATGTCTCGCCATTTTGTGTTTGTTTTAGATCTTGGTAAATAAAAAATAGTATGGCTCAACACTTAGAAAAAAAGATATATGTGGCTTTACAACAGTGTTTAATTCAGAACCGACTTGGTCAACCCCGACACGCCGTGGTCTTGGTCTGCCCTACCCCTAGTGTTTTTAGAGCCCGGAGAGCAGCCCCTGAGGTAGCGCCTGAGGCTGGTCGCCGCAGGAGAACATATACACATTAAAGGAGACCTTGAATAACATAAATAAGTTTTTGTCTTTATTCAATATACTGTTTTTACACACACAAGTTCCTCAGCAAATTATTCCAACTCAAAGTGGTGTCGTTACATTTCCATTAATGATGTGCGCTTAAATTGGTTGGTGCATTTAATAAATGAGTTGACCTAAACACTCTCCAAGGTCTCTTCTAATAGACTTTAAAATGACTTCCCACAGTTTTTGGTTTGGCAATTAGAGGTAGACAATATTATGTAAAATAAATACCCCTTAAATCACGGGTCTGTAGTCGGTTCACCACGTGGGGTGTATCGCCCATGTACTCTTTTTGGATTAGGCGTTCCGCCCCGCATCCAAGGCGAGAAGCTGAACGCTCAAGGCATCGTTCCTTTGATGCGGGGCGGAAGTGACGTGGAATTTAATCAACTTTTGCAATGGTCAGTCATTGAATGGGTAACCAAAAACTAAAAAGGTCGAGCTCCTCCATGTTACGGAAGGTAGATTAAGTCGCAGTCATTGGTAGTCATCGGTTGGTAGGTCATGGCCCTCTCTCCCTATTCCGTCCAAGGGGAAGGCCTGTGCCCAAGCAGTGGGGACATTAATAGGCTGAGAATGATGTCGATTCTGGCATGGTTCTCTAAAGCTAAACTTAAATTTGACAACAGTGCATCCTTGTCCTTATCTATACAGAATGAAAAGGACAGACTGATGTTAAATTTAGTTTTAAGTTTAGAGAATCCTGCCAGAATCGACACCATTGATGATGAATATTGATGATGTATGCGTTGGGAAAGCTGTTTCTAGAACATTAAGTATTAGGATGGCTTCCATATTACACGCTATAACGACGCAATAGAAATATGACGAAATATTGCAATAACGCACCCGATATTATCGACCGATAATAAGGCTTAAAAATCACAAGTCAGAGAATTTTCTTCAACTCTTTTTCAAAGTGTCTTTGGCTTTAAGAGTTTAACTTAGTGACGGGGAGTTGTCGGCATAGAGATATAAGAATATAATAGGGAAGATAGACTCTACTACAAGTGGAAGTGACCCTCTAATAGAAAAAGAAAGAAGTTGAGAGACCGCTAGCTTTCTCTCTCTAATCGCGCATGCGCATTGACAACCGTAAGCATCTTAATATTTCGATGTGATGCCATTGGTCTATGCGTCACAAAAGATAGAGATAGCTAGCGGTCTCTCATCTTCTGTCTCTTCCTACTAGACGGACACTTTTAAAGGCGCATTCTTGCCTTCCGCTTCTAAAAGTGTATAGTAAGTGTATACCTCTATAGGTATAAGAATAGAGTGGGGAGGGCGCCTCTAAGTGTCCGTCTAGTAGAAAGAGAAAGATGATGATAGACCGCTAGCTATCTCTCTCTCTTGTGCCGCACGGCATCCAATGGTATCACATCGAAGTAGTAAGATGATTACGGTTGCCAATGTGCATGCGAGATTAGAGAGAGAGGTCTCTCATCTTCTTTCTCTCATATATCATAGACAACCATAGGGTTGTCGGTGTTGTTTCGGGTGAGCGCCATGCTAGCCACTGCCGGATTTAGGGGAGGGCAACCGGGGCGAAAGCCCTGAGGCCTCCACTAATGGGGGGCCTCCACAATAGAGACATCGGAAAAAAAAATCTTTCAAATTCCAACTATCGAAGCTTGCTCTTCTAAGCATTGAAAGAGATTTACTCCGAGAACTCGATTTCAACGAAATCATCAACGATTTTTCGGCGAAAAAAGCTAAGGTTCCGTTCGTTAACTCTAAGATTTAATTTCAGATAATTCTTGTTTCCGTTTAAATTTATATGTGTTTGTTCAATTCTAAGGGAATCTACTCGGTTCACAATAAATTATTTATTGAAAAACTGGACTGAAAAAGAATTGTTTACTTTATTTGGAAAATAATTTGGGGTGAGGGGGCCCCCGCTCCTCCGTTGCCCCGAGGCCTCTGGACCTCTAAATCCGGCCCTGATGCTAGCTCGTAACGTTTGTACGTAAACTTACCTTGGTGACGTAGTTGTCGGTGTTGAGTGAAGTGTCTCGGGTGATGGCCGTGGCCGCCACGAGGGCGCCGACGACGTCGACGAAGCGCGCGATGGTGAGGGGCCGGATGAGAGCCATGCTGCCGCCCTCCGCGCCGCCCCGCGCCGACAACGCCTCTTGTACGCGAGCCAACTCCGCTCGCTGCCAACCCGCGTTGGACAGCGGCCTAGTAACATCCATTCCGATTGATTCACTCCGACTCCGATTGGCCAAGTGGTTTGTACTCCGAGTTTCATGGTGTCGCCGACTCGAGAGGTCCCGGGTTCGATTCCCGGTGGGGGCAGATGTTTGTGTGGTGAATACGAGCATTTGTACTCCAGTCATAGATGTTTATTACGTATTTCTTTATAAATATACTGATATATGTGCTGTATATGTATTCTATCTGTTACCCTAGTATTACAGTGCTCACTTTGGGGCTAGGCTAATAGGGTATTTGACAAGTTTTAGAAAACGATCTCACGTTATTGACTAATGTTTGTGGAGTCCGTAAAAAGTGGATATTCATCATTCTGTTTGTTGCTGTTGCTGTTTTTCAGTGAAAATAACCAAATCAAAAACTCCATTTTCAAGTTGCCGCGAAAACGTTTCTCTGGACAATATGGCGTCTTACTAGTGTGTGACGTCACACGACTGTTATTTAAACGTCAAACGATACAATGTAATGTCACTTTAACCGGAAGTTTACTTGCGTGTGACTTTATTTGAGGCTCCGCTAATCCCAAGCGTTTTCGGTCACGTGACAATAGATAAGAAAACTATTATCTTTTTCGTGAGTTTTTCGTAAAATTATGAATATTTTTTTTTGTAAAAATAGTAAAATCCCCTGCCAATATTCATTCTAAACACAGATGCTAACAATTGGCACTTTATTTTTAATACTGTCAAATATCCTATTGGTGTGAGTGTTGGAAATAGATTCTGCCCTCGCTAGTGTTGGTTATTACACGTGTTAAAGGGATATCTATTCTTATTAGTGAATTTAGTTTCCTTTCTACGTGGAATTACGAAACTAACAAGTGTTTACTATATATACTAACAACAGGTGTTTGGTAAGTCCCGTTAAACTTATGTTTTCCTGTCCTATCCATTGATTACATAGCAATCAATGGATAGGACCCCTCCTGAACCCCCGGACCCTCCGGACCGGCCTCCCACACCGCTTCCATCAATGGAACTTTCCCCGCCGGTATTCACTCAGTCTAGTCTTAAACGACGTAACGATACGGAACCTGAAGAAGTGATGAATGCACCTTGTAAAAGAGCTATTACTGATGTGAGTCAGTCGGACACGCCGCCGCCCTCTCCCGGATTATATATCCATCCATCTTTAAATCACACAAATAAGCAGTATCTAGATAGTGATAAAGGACCTTTTCTTGTACATGTTTCGAAAATTGAGATGGATTCTACAACTGGTACATCAATTCATCCTCTAAAATTTGGCCAACTTCTAGTAAAAAACAAAGTTAAAAATATAATAAATGATGGCATTAAAAAAGTAGGCCGTAACAGAATCTCAGTGGAGTTTAAAACTAACATAGATGCAAACCATTTCTTAAAAAACCCTTTTCTACACACTCACAAATATACAGCAGTTATCCCCAATTACAATATTACACGCATGGGAATTGTTAAAGGGGTTCCATCTGACTTATCAATGAATGAGTTAGTGGAATCTTTAGTTGCACCTATAAGCTGTGGCATAGTGCTAAAGGCAAGACGCTTAAATAGAAAGACAATCTCAGAAGGTCAAGTAATCTGGGTTCCAACCCAAACAGTGGTTATCACTTTCCAAGGCCAGGTCCTTCCTAATAGAGTGTTTGTATATCATACATCACTGCCTGTAGAGACTTACCAACTTCCAACTATACAATGTCTAAACTGTTGTAGGTTTGGACATATTAAAACTCAATGCCGTTCTAAGCCACGCTGCTTCCGCTGTGCTCAATCTCACTCTGGAGCGTCCTGCAATGTAGAGGAGGCTAAAGCTACCTGCCTGTTTTGCTCAGGCTATCACTTTGCATGTAACAAAAATTGCCCTGAGCAGTCCCGCCAAAGATCAATTAAAATATTAATGTCACAGGATAATATATCATACCAGGAAGCATCGGGAAGATTCCCCTCTGTCAGAAGATCCTATGCGGATGTTTCTCAATCTCCGAGCCTTCCCCAGTCCATGTATGCCTCTCATTCTCTAACACCCACGGGCAAGTCCATGACAACCACAACCTCCCATAAAAAAACTTTAATTCAGTCCCCTAAACCTAGGGCTCCATTAAATCCAGGATATGATAGAAGGGCTCACCAGGCCATCACCCAAAATTGCCCATCTTCACTTCCAAACGGCTGTGCACTCAGCAGTGACAATTCACCAATCCCCATGGAGACCACCCCTAATGACAACTTGTTAGAAGTTCTCTTATCCTTCGTGTTTAGTCTGTTAAATAGATTTGATGATATTCCTGTACCGTCCAACGTCGCACAAAGAATCAACCAACTCAACAATCTTATTTCCAATAATAAAAATGGCGAAGATAATTCAATGGAACTGTAGTAGTATCTCTAATAAAACGTCTGAACTATATTACCTCATTAATAAATTCTCTCCATCCATTCTTGCTTTGTCGGAGACATGGCTGGCGCCCGGAGCTGCTTATGGCTTATCTGGGTACTCATGTCTCCGGGAAGACAGGAGCGACGGCTATGGTGGGAGTGCACTGCTAGTCAGTTACTCCCTCCCCTTTAGTAAAATTGATCTTCCAACTCACAGCGATTGTATAAATGCAGTGGCTGTAAATATTTTAAACACATCTTATCTTTCAATATATATAAGACCTCAATCTTCACACAATATTGTCATTCAAGAATTAAATTCCATTATCCTTTCACTCCCGCCTCCTGTAGTTATTATGGGAGACTTTAATGCACACCATGTCTCATGGGGTGCTCATGCAAATGATTCACTTGGTTCCCAACTTCTGAGCCTACTAGATGAAAGAGACCTTTGTATAATTAACGATGGGAGTCCCACCAGAAGGACTCGTCCAGACCAGCATCCATCTGCTGTAGACATTACAGTTTGCACCCCTTCTTTGGCATCCAACCTTTCCTGGAATGTATTAAAAAGCACACATGGCAGCGATCACTTTCCGATTTTCATCTCCATCTTGGACAATTCCCCCCCTGCCAGTCGCCCTACCCCCTTGCTTCAATTCAGACTACATAAAGCAGATTGGAATGCCTATTCTAGGTCACTTGATAACAAAGCGGACACACTACTCGCAATTTCGACAGAAAACTGCCTCAAGGCATATGAAGTGCTGGTCGATTCGTTGATGGAGGCGGCTCATAGTAATATTCCCAAAAAACAAAACAAAAGAAAAAGAGTCGTACCTCCATGGTGGGACTTTGAATGCTCAGAAGCGGTTAGAAGACGAAAAGAAGCGGAAAAAACATATAATGGTTCCATGACAATGGACAACTTTGTGGCATACCAGCGAGTTGCGGCTCAAACCAAAAAGGTTCTTAAACAAAAGAAAAAATCCGGTTGGACCAAATTTTGTGAAACTTTAACTCCTTGTACCTCTTCAACAATAGTTTGGAATCAATTAAAAAGGTTCCGCAAAGAAGGCAACCGCGCCAATTTGACCGCTAACGACCCTTCCAACTGGATTGATCTGTTTGCCGACAGATTGGCTCCCCCCACTGTTCCGAATTGGGATTATCTCCCAGTTAGGACCAGCATTATTCTATCTTCTACAGACTCACTTGGTGGATCCTTCTCTTTTGATGAACTCGAAAAAGCCCTTTCTGGTTTGAAGGATACATCCCCAGGCCTTGATGGGATTCCATACTCGTTTTTGATAAGAGCCACAGACAAAATAAAATATTACTATCTCAAACTAATAAACACCTTCTATGACAATGGTATAATCCCTGAACAATGGTCCAAACAGATTATTATACCACTATTAAAGCCAGGCAAAAGTCCTTCCGATCACTCCTCTTACCGCCCCATTGCACTCTCGTCTGTTCTACTAAAAGTTGTAGAACATATGATAAAAAATCGCCTTGAGTGGATTGTAGAAAACCGTAATATACTAGCTAAATCTCAATTCGGGTTCAGGAAAGGATATAGTACACTAGACAGTCTTGCCGTACTTACATCAGACATCCGATTAGCATATGAAAATAAAGAATACCTTGTAGGGGTGTTCTTATACGTAGCGTCCGCATATGATAATGTCCTAATTCCAGTGCTCAGGCAGAAAATGCAACAGCTGAGCATTCCCGAGAAATTGGTTCTTTTCATATGTAATTCAATCTCGTCTAGATCCATCCTGATAAAGTCACAAAACCTTTCATTAGTTAGGACAGTGTGGAAAGGGCTACCACAAGGTTCGCCCCTTAGTCCGATCCTGTATAGCATATACACATATGACATGGAACTTTCCACAAACTCTTTTTGCCAAACCCTACAGTACGCGGACGATTTAGCTCTTTACGTTCGAGTAAAATCTATTTCGGAAGCTACATCACGACTGAATTCTGCATTATTTTATCTCGGCGAATGGCTGGAGCATCACGGGCTATCCATCTCCACCCCAAAATGTAGCGCGGTTGTCTTCACCAGGAAGCGAAATGTATCAGTTCCGATCATTGAATTGCAAGACTCTCATATTGAGGTTAAAGACACGGTTAAGTTCTTAGGAATGATATTGGACTCCAGATTAACAGGTGTCCCTCATTTCAATAATGTCGCTAATAAAGCAGAAAAGAGTGTCAATGTCCTGCGAGCGCTCTCTGGCGTTTGGTGGGGTGCACACCCAGAAACCCAAAAGCTGATTTATAACGCCATTATCCGCAGTCATTTCGATTACGGTTCCTTCCTTCTTGATCCCTGCAATAAAGCGGCACTGGATAAAATGGACAAAATCTAGTCGAAATGTTTACGCATTATTGTAGGCGCAATGAAGTCTTCCCCTATTAATGCCCTCCAAATAGAAGGTGCGGACCCTCCACTTTTTCTCCGTAGACAGTATCTCAGTGATAGATTTTTCCTCAAAATTTTACAAAATAATTCGCACCCACTTCTAGGCATACTTCATAAGTTGTCTCAAGCATTAAATACTAACCCAAATTCTAGACACAAATTACCGTGTATAATATCCAGTTATTCGAAATTCTGCCGTCCTTCCATAGATATCGAAAAATACCCAGGTAATCCCTTGTTTTTAAACAGTTTCGAATCTTTAGTATTCAACCCACCAGTCGTTCTCAATGTAGGTATAGAAAAACACTCTCTTAGCGCAAACCAAGTCTTTAACGAGACTATTGCCAAAAACTGGCCCTATTGGCTTCAGGTATATACAGACGCGTCCAAAACCACAGACACTGGTAGTGTAGGGGCTGCCGTATGGATACCTAGGTTTCGAGTCATTTTAGGATTCAAAATTCCTCCACCCTCATCTGTTTTTACAGGCGAAGCCATCGCAATTTTAGAGGCGATTCTATATTGTGAATCACACAATCTCAATAAAACCATTATTCTGTCCGACGCACTAAGCTGCCTCCAGGCAATATCCGCCAACCCGTTCCGGACCAAATCTCGCTATCCAATAATTCTTAAGATTAGAGAAGCCCTATTTAGATGCAAGTTAAAAGGTATAGAACTGATAGTGGGTTGGATCCCAGGTCATAGTGGAATACAGGGTAATGAGTCAGCAGATTCATGTGCCCGAAATGCAATATCCACAGGTTCTCCTGAATATTCTCAACTCGCATATCACGATCTTCTTCTGGTTACTCGATCCCATCTGCTACAGTCATGGGAAAGAAATTGGGAAAATACTAGAAACAGTACTGGTAGACACTATTTCGACATCCAACCAAATATCCCAACTAAGCCATGGTATTTCAAACAAAAAAATGTTCCCAAGCATATTGTGTCAGTCCTATGTCGTCTTCGCCTAGGCCACTCATGTACTCCGGTACATCTGAAGAAAATTAAGGTTAGAGATAACTCTCTCTGCGAATGTGGTATAGACGAAGGAACAGCGGAACACTTGTTATTTGACTGTCCCAAACTTCGATATTCCTTATATGATGTCCTTCCACATGATGTACCTCGACCTTTAAATGTTAAAAACGTCCTAAAATTGGTTAACTCACCCTTACTAAAAATAATTATTAAATTTATACAATGTAACAAATTAAAACTATAATTAGACACGCTTTCAACCTCCACTAAAATGTTAATTCTGTGTATTGTGATGTTTTGTGTTTTGTTGTGCATGCCATAAAATGTGTTGTGTTTTGTTACAGGGTCTTTAATCAACATAGGAAGTGACAGAATTTTAAAATAGTATTTTCAACTTCTCTAATTTAAAATTAATTTTATTAAGAATCCCTTGTCGTGTAGTGGCTATCTACGTGAAATTGGCAGAATTGTGGGTATATCCCCGTTGAGCCATTAAAAAAAGAAAGAAGAAGATGTGTTGGAAATATTTAGTATTTATTTATTTATTCATCAATTATATTTCTGACCATTACACTGTTGGAAGCTGTCGGGCTAAAAGAGATACTTTAACTAAGTGGTGCATCATAATAGATCTTATTGATTGCAGTGCTTACAGTCCCGTTAGGACTGCATAACCCCAAAAATCAAAATAATAATCACACTGTTAGGAAGCAAACGCTATCATATGATCTTCCTTGGCACTCAAACTATACACTCATTATAAGAGTCGAAACGACATGCATCGTTTACACAAACTGCGAGTTTTATCAGTTGAACTCTTATATTATCCTTGTGAAATGAATAATTTATTCATTCAATGATTCTTTTGCTTTAGTCACTTATTATTTGAATTGGTTAGTATTAAAAAAATAATATAACTATAAAAAATATTAAACATTGGTCAAAGTTCAAAAAATTCATGTTACTTAGACTCTTTTGGTTTAGTACAGTGGTTGAAGCTTGAATAGCTTGAATAGTAGAAAAGACAGACCGAACTTTGCATTTATAGTATTAATTGAGGACATTATGAATATTCTTAAAATACAGAAAAAGTATGAATGGTTCAAATTGAAACGTCATGAAAATGAAATTAAAATTATTTTCACCTATTTCTTCAAAGAAATTAAAAATTCTATGAGTGAACTAATGAGAATTAGTTTACTTATAGAATTTTTAATTTTTAATAAGAAATAGACTTGCCTGCATAGATTATAACAAAAATTAACTGTTTGTTTCCTTATAGATAAATAACAAACCTTTGATCCTTTATAGTGACAAAAGCGAGGGTTCTTTCAAGAGAGGTTTGCCAGTTGCGACTTGAATGATCTTCCGAAGGTGTTCTCTGTGTAAATAAACAGAAGACATTTAATATAACACTAACTTACATACACAAACAAACAAATAAACATACATAATCCTTAACAATTAACAGAAAAGATAAAAATCATATACCAACCGGTGTAGAACCAGTAACAGGTCTGGCACTGAAGTGGCTGGAGCGTAACGGTGTCATAAAAGACTGTGCGCCCCGGTCTCCCTGTTGAGATCGCGACCTCTACAAAAATAGAAAAATTACAGCATCAATGGAATGCCTCTCTAAATCACTAATAAAGATAACAGATTTCTCTATAACCAATAACAAAGTTATATTTAAGTGGTTCCAACCTTGTCCAATGGTTTCAAAGTTCTTACCCCATTTAATTGCTTCTTAGTAGCAGAAGCTTCTCTGCTGAAACGGCTCGCCCCTAGCGTGCCCCTCGGTTCTGCGCTGCTGGATCGCTGGCCAGTGGTGCTCGGCCGCCGAGCCTCCGTCGACAAGCGGTCAGTGGAACCTGGCCGACGGGGCTTCGGCAACATTGACGGTTTGCCTTCCAATCTTAATGCAATATATATTGAAAAATTGATGATACAACACTTATTTGTGAGGTAAGAAGATTATAGAACGTATTATAATGTTTTAAATCATTTTTTGGCAGTCAAGAATATAACACTCAAATTATCAGCTAGCGCAAAACTGACGTTTTATGCTACTGACAACTGCATAATATAAGTTATCTTCATTCTAAAAGATTAGAAAAAAATATCATTTATAAAAAGCAAGACCAAAACACTAAATTATATAGCTATCAACCTTGATTTTCGCATGGCAGCCGATTGTCCAGAGCTAAACCGTGAGGGTATCATTTCGCACTTTAAAAAGTGGAAGTAACAACAAATTCCAATAAAATATAAACAGTTAAGTACTATTAATATACCGGTAATCAACCAAATTTCAAATCACAATTTCTGAACAAAAACATTCGTTGTTTTGAATTCAAACTTGTTTTTTTTACTCCGTTCTTTCCGTTCATTGAACGGAAAAGGCAAAGACGACAAAATGCGTCATACAGCCTAGACTGAAGTAGTTTTCTTCAAGTTTAAACTTCGTTTAACTGTTAATTATCCATTTACTGGAAGGCAAAGAGTACTCCACCCATTCAACATTGTTTTTTTGGGCATGAACCGGGGATTGCGTTTTTGACGCATTCTAATATGACGTCTCCAAGTTTTTAGTCCGAAATCTAACGAATCTACTTTCACGGTATGCTTCTGAGTTCTATAAGATACTTAGCACCACAATAATGTTCTCACGTCCATTTCATAGAAATCACACTACTCACTTATATAACAACTGAGAGCATATACCAATGCATAAGTCGCGGCACGATTCGCACTCTAGCGTTGACCGTTATTACGCAGAAGTAAAAATTAAGATGTCTTGGGGAGAAACAGTGGTGCACGGGCGGGCCTGCGTTACGCCCACTGATGCCAGATTGAGGATTAATCATAACAGTAATATGGTACTTATCTGATGCCGCTTCCTATATACTAAATATAAGTCAACTATAAAGTTTATTGTAACTATATATCTACATATATGCTAAATAATGTAATGGCTTCAGAAGTATCTCTGAAGTCATTTTTCAACTTGACGACTCTGTACATAACAATACAGGGAGAAAAAAAAGCCCTTGCTGAGTTTCTTGCCGGTTCTTCTTTCTCAGTACAAGGTCTCCCTCTGTAGTTTTGGAAACCAATAGCGTAGCTTCTTGAACTTCACAAGTGCTTGTAACAGCTTAGTCTGAATAAATGACTTTTTATTTGACTAGATTGGCACTACTTTTGTCATTACTCAATTTTCCAATCTGTTGCTTGTGGCATCATGACGTATTGCGACCGTGCTTTTGACCATGACTTTTATTTTTGGGAAATCTTAAACCTGAAATAAAACATTTTGGGAGTCGCGGGCACCCGCCCATTTAAGTATAGGTAATATATGTTTCCAACATTCACAACTATTAGCCTAGCCCCAAATTAAGCACTGTAGGCCTGTGTTATTGGATATAATGCGATTCAACTAAGAATAGGACTGACTGGGCGCCATATTTTGATGTCATAGCTGTAAATCCAAAACTAAATAGGTAGTGAGCAAAAAAATTGATTTTATTTAATAAAACTTCTAACCAAGATTAAGTGTGAAAAAACATCAGATTTTTTTATTATTAAAATATTTACTAAGATTGAGAAAAAAACAACTAATTTTTAATAATATTTATTTAGAAAAAACATAAATCAGAATCTAGCTCTTCAATTCCACTCATCTCTGCATTACCGCCGGAGTAGTTATGAATAATCATGCACTATTACTAGGTCACATACGAACATACATCCTTTAGGTAAATGAAAGTTTTAAATTGAGTTTCTTAACGCAACTTAAAGTGATATTTGGTTGACGGTTTAGATTATTAACCATTCATAGCCAAAGCTCAATAAATGAAAAAAATATCAACCAATATTAATTATCAATGTTTGTTATTGTTCGTTCACAAATGTGTGGTTTTTAATCTAGAATTAGCAGAATGCTAAAAAAGGGTTCCAAGATTTTTTTGCAAACCGTACTTTTGAAGCGACATTTAACAGTTGGAGGTCTGTGATGATATACTGATCTTAGATTAAAACAAAAAGGGTAGATACGGTACGCTCATTCTTGCATCAAACAAAAACTGATCCCACTTTACTACTTAAGCAACACTCACACATCCACCTGTTTGTAAAGATACAATCGAACGAACGAAACAGCAGTTTAAGTTTCAACGGCAGCGCGAACGGGACGGCGAGATCCGCGTCACTGCATTACCGACCCGAACGAAACAGCACGTTAAGTTTCAACGGCAGCGCGAACGAGACGGCGAGATCCGCGTCACAGCACTACCGACCAATCACGCGACCAGTACTCGACGTCACTTCCGAAAAAGATTCAGAACAAACAGCAATTTTTATGAAAAAATATATTTTATAGTACTTACGAATGAAAAGTGATAGCGTGGGTTTTATTTTTAGTTCTTGAGCAATTTCAGCACTTTTTAAAAATACACTTAGGGATTGTTTCATCATATAAACACAAAATATTAGCAATATTTCTTTTTGGCGTTCACATGCACGTCGTTTGCATGTGAAGTTGTGACTAAAGTAGGGTCGTGGACCACAATTTATGCGGATCATTTTGTGAGGCTAGTGCCGTATCTACCCTTTTTGTTTTAATCTAAGATACTGATACGTATATAATTTATGTATACTTACTTATATAGAAATATAAATATTAGTATATTTATATAGAAATAAATATTAAACATTCATGATTGGAGTACAAATGCTTGTAATCATCACACAAACAAACCCGGCGTACAAACCACTCGATCCAATATATTAATACTAGTGGGTGCCCGCAACATCTTCTGTGTGGGAAAAGTGTTCCATACACTCCTCCCGTTGTTCAACCCCCGTTGAGTGGAAAAAGGATGTTTTTTAGGATAAAAAAACTATCTATTGACCTTTCCCAGGACTCAAACTAACTTTATACCAAATTTTGTTTATATCAGTCCAGCCGTTTAAGTTTGAAGAGGTTACAAACAGACACACTTACACTTTTTTAATATGTATTCGTATGGATAGTATAGTACGTCCATGCACTCTACTGTAACTCGCGTCACGCGTGGGTAGTGAACAAGTTGTTGCGTTCCTATCAAAATCTTTTAATACCAAAGAAAATGTACTTAAAAGAACCATTACGAAGTCTATCAAATTGTTTATTATATTATCCTTTACAAGTGTACCATAGGACGAAGAATTTCGCTATGTATGTACCTACTCTATTCTGTACCTGTTTGGAAATCAAAGTAACATTTTAAAAAGTTCCTTGATGGAAGGACATGGTAAATATGAAAAAGTAAGGAGGCGTCATTATGTAAATAACTTAATAATATTTTGAGTTTCTTCCACTACAAATGGGAATGTTGGATCTAGCAAGCACAACTTCACAAAATTTTCATAGTTTGTTGGCAGCTGAGTTGTAGGACCACCGTGATCTAAAAAATAAATACATACAAGTTTAATTTCATTAATTTAATTTATAAACAATATGTCTTCTTTTTTCTGATGGGGAGTAAAGGGCACGCTTGACTTGGGGGGCAAACTGGCGAATGTGTTACGATTTCCAGTTATGATTAGTGTCATCGGTGACTCATCGGTAAACAATGAACAATACCCGTCACAAAATACATGAATCTATTGCTTGGTGGGTGATAACGGACCCAGCGCTGATTGGTTGGTGATAACGGACCCAGTGCGGATTGGTGGGTGATAACGGACCCAGCGCGGATTGGTGGGTGATAATGGACCCAGTGCAGATTGGAGGGTGATAACGGACCCAGCGCGTAACTTTTTACTCACCATTACTTTCTATTGTCTTTCGGAATATATCTTCAATATTACGGTAAATAATGTCATCACTTTTAGTAGCCTTTTTGTGACAAGTAACAAGAAAATGATTAGCCAATTTTTCAAAGTAATAAGACGATTTTGATAATATTTGAAACTTAAGCTTCCGTATCTGCAAACCATGAAAGATATTATACTTAGTAAAACCTTGTCCAGTATTTTTGTTAGGTTACATTTAAAAGACTGTTACTTCTTGGCGGTTTCCGCTTGCGATCAAAATAAGCACATCTTCTTTGTAAATTCCCCTCAGTTTACTGTTCATATTGAAAGTTTCAAGAATTTTATCGTTATCAATTATAAACAGCTGATCGTAGTACAAGCGTAACATGGTCGAATTTGATGTTTTATAATCGTATTTAACCCAACCTTCAGATTTCCAAAATGTAAGCTTTTCAATGGGCGTGGACCATGAATCTGAAAGAAGTAAATAAATGTTATGGTTAAGAAATATTGTTTTTTTCTTTTTGTAGCAAAAACAATTACAAGCTACAGATTTATTTACAAGTTCCATTGCCGATTTGCATCATAGTTAATATTTTAGGCGTGCAAAACTTTTTTGTTGGCAAAATAAAAAGTTCTAGTGTCTTTTATGGTATTTGATTTCAAATGTTTCCCGCGTTTTCTAATAGTTTTATTTAAGCTCACAACAATGTTAAGCCAAAAGCCACAATTCCATACAGCTTTGCCTTTCCTAGGCACTATTTAATAGCATGCATGAATATAAGCAACAACCTCGAGATTGATTGATTGTGGTATAACGCTAGCGTGACGTACACCCCCATAGGCGTTAAGGGAGGCGATGGTGCAGGGAGTGAACGCAACCCTGGAAGCTGTTTCCCTCTGGGGTGAGGCCAACTTGGTCGGATTCAATCTTATTTCAATCTTCTCGGCGAAACGGAGTCCATTCCATGTGATTTCGACTTTTCGAAATGTCTCCGTGCCGGTTAAAGACCATCTCGAGCTCTTGGGTCTGGACATCTCATCCAGCCTCTTACCGGTCGCTACATCGAGTGCATTGCTAAAATCGCTGCCAAAATACCTTTTAAGGTCAGGCGATATTTTACATCTAAACAGCTCCTTAGCCTTTACAGAGCCCAAGTTCGCTCCAGCTTGGAGTACTGTTGTCACCTTTTGGGACGGATCTGCCTGGTATCAGCTGGCTGCACTGGACTCGGTGGAAGATCGTGCGAAGAGACTCATAGGCAATGACGCCCTATTTGAGGCTTATCTCCAGAGCCTTGACAACCGAAGACATGTAGCTTTGCTTTCGGTGTTTTATTGGTTACACATCGGAGAATGTACGGAGGTATCACCACCGGACGACCAGGCGCAGCGGGGCTTTCAGCCTTATGTTGTCGAAGTTCCCCCCATTCGCGCGAAGCGATTTGCTTCCACTTTTATTATGCGAACGGCTAGGGAGTGAAACTCCTTGCCCAGGTCTGTTTTCCCGGATCAATATAATCTGGACATCTTTAAGGCCAAAATAAACAAGCATCTTCTAGGCAGGCGTGTACCATCCTAGGCCTCATCATTGCTTTCCATCAGGCGAGATTGTGGTCAAACGCCTTGCCTATTATGGAATAAAAAAAGACTTTAAAATATTCGCTATGTCGGTCAAATGCATGTAAGAACTTTATTGTAGTGTTTACTACCTCACAGCTTGAAGAAAGCTGACTCGATAAATATTGTGCCAAACACTCCAAGAAACATTAGAATGCGTCACACCCGCGTTCTAATGTAAAGAAATGAAGATTAATACAAAAATAAGACGATGGCTGCATGGCTTTGCCTTTCCTAAAAGGGAAGAATGGAAATAAAAAAAGAAGAAAGTGGGTTTTTGGCGGGATTTCATCGAGTGCGGTTGTCGTCTTATTTTAATTATTCTTAAATTCGTTCAAAGTGGATATTGTGAAATAAAATTGGTGTGATTTTGTGTTACAACCGTCTGCGTAACTGAAGAATTAGTGGAATCTGTAAAATATTATACGCTATTTCAAGTGAACGTGAGAACTTTATTGTAGTGTTGATAACCTCACAGTATCTTATCAAAAAGCCAACTCGATACATTTCGTGCTATACACTTCAAGAAACATTGAAATGCGTCATGTAAAAAGAAAAACCAGATTAATATAACTAAAGATTAGGCTGTATGGGCATTGTTCTCTTTGTCTTCCGTAAAACGGGAGAATCTTAAAAAAAAAAGTGCAACTATTTTGACATTGATACTCTCAATTCCGACTTTGTTGCTATCCTGTACCAGAATCCAAATATTTCTTAAAATTGAAAACAATCTTTTCAGATGGCGGGGACCTATTACTTTGTAATTGTAGGCCATTCAGATAATCCCATCTTCGAAATAGATTTTATTCCCGTTACCAAAGAAACTAAGGTAGGGAAAGAGAATGTTTTTCGGACATATTGCTTACTGACAATAAATAAGTAAATAACTTATGTTGTTTTTCGACATGTTACAGAAAGAAGATAACAGACATCTAAATCAATTCATTGCGCATGCAGCCCTGGACTTAGTAGATGAACATATGTGGAAAGTAACAAATACATACCTCAAATCTGTTGATAAATTCAACCAATGGTTTGTCTCTGCATTTGTTACTGCCAGTCAGGTATTTTGATTTTTTTGCTATTATTTAATATTACACTGACGACCACACTTAAAAATGTCTATGAAGTTATTGTCATAGCAGCATGTTATAATCTGTTTTTCAGATGCGCTTCATAATGGTACATGATGCTCGCAACGAAGAAGGTATAAAGAATTTCTTTACAGAGGTTTATGAAACATACATTAAATTGATGCTTAACCCATTTTACAAAGAAGACACAGTCATTAATTTTCCAGCATTCGAGAAGAAAGTACAGTTTTATGGGAAGAAATATCTGACATGATAAAAACATTCAGGAATATGTAAAAATAAGTTGTAAATAATGAAACAAAATTTGTATTTATTTTAAAAGTGTAATAAATATGAGAAGCATTTGTCTTACCTAATGAAGGCGGAATCAAAAAGCTTAATCACATTATACTTGTAAGGAAAACAATAAACATCTAATTAATCTTATGTAGATATTTGAATAAAAAACTGAGTTTCTATTTTTAGTTAAGTTCTCTCAATGTATGAAACAAAGATAAATTAGACATTAAATGATTTGCCTAATTTGCCCAAAATTGTATGAATGTCATAAAATACTCTTTGAATATACTACATCAATAAAGTCCAGGCAATCCAAGTTCATTGTCTTGAAAACACTCTGTCATTGTCGAGAAGTCATCTGCAATAATGAAACATTAAAATGAATTAATGAACAATTAGGCACATCAAAATCGGGCAGGATACTCTAGATCTAAATTTGGCAATAGTATATGCCTGTGTATTCATAGGCTGGCTGGCGTGAGCTGGATGAAAGTGGCGGAAAATCGGGAGCAGTAGCGTGCATTAGGGGAGACCTATGTCCAGCAGTGGGCAAGCATGGGTCGATGATGATGATGATATGCTTGTGACAAATCTTTTTTATAGGTTTAGCTAATTTTACAAGAATTTAACCAAATATATTTGATGCATTTGATAAATAATTGTTATTATTAATTAAACCTATAATCATAGTATTCATAATGTATATTACTTTTCTGTGAAACATACCTCTGAAGAAGTCATCCTCATATGAATCTTCATATTCCATAGATAATGAATGCTTGACCAGTGGTGGTGGTGTGCTGGGAGGTGATACTTGCTGAGCTATCACTGTAACTGGCAAGGCTAAATAGTCGTGCATATCTGACACAAAGTTATCTGTAACAACATTATTACAGAATGTAACCTATTCAGGGAAATATTGAATATCTAAAAAAAGGTGTTAGAAAATAAAGTAACTTTAATGATCATTCAGAGGTATTGCGTTCTTAATAATAGATTTGTGATGAGGGCAGATAAATGTTGCAATATAACCAGTGAGTACATAAATGGCCTTGCAAGGTAAGCAATCAATCAATTTGCAGAAATAACATGAGCTCCGCATATTGATAGTATAATAAATTTGAGACCAGAATTATCACTTTAGTGAGGTAAGAAATTTCAGTATACCCACCATACTTGTAAGTTGGTTTAGAAAATTCAAACTCTTCTACATTGATTTCATTGTCATTTGCATCTGTATCATTGTATATGAGAGCGCCAACGTTTACTGGTCTCGGTGTAAACACCTGCCTCATGGGAGTAGACTGTAAAGCTTTCCCAGTGTTGGAGAGAAAAGACTTCTTTGTTTCACCTTTCTTTAAGGGTTCGTTAGGCTTTGCAGGTGTAGTCATCACCTTACCAATGTTCTCTGTGTCAAAGAAAACAAAATTAAGCACGGCACAGAAAGGGACACTTCAAATTATAAGTACAAAATAAAAAGAGAAGCCTACCGTTGTTCGCTAACGGCTGGCGTGGTAAATTTTTTAGACCCTGCCGCATTATGTGATCTCCGAATATGTCAAACAACGAATTAGCCATTTTACTTCTTTTTGTTGAGTATTATCAGAAAATTGAAATGAATGTATCCTTTTAATTTTTAGAAAATAAACCTTTCTATCGTTGGAACACTCGACCTCTAGTTTTGATCACGTTAAGATTTGAATGAAACCACAGACAACAGAACAGAAGGATTGAACCAAAGAGTAGGATAATATAACAGACTTCAACCATAGAGGCATTTCATTGGCTATTCGGTTTTGTTAAGCCAGAAACATATTAACGTGTCGTGACGCATCGGTTCCGTTTCATACACTTATTTATGTGTTATAGAAAGACAGAGAGTGGTTAGAGAGTCGACACGCCCGACAAATATGTCTAACCACAGTGGAGTGGAGAATGGGCGTGGCGAAAAACGGAACTAACATTAACATTTTATTTGGCAATCAAATCCAGCAATCTGTAAAACGTCTAAGTTTTGTATTGATATGGATTTGTTTGTTGTTGTGATTTCTTGCGGTTTTTTGAAGTTATACTTCTTTAGGCGCGTTATGAAAAAATGATGAGAGTGAAATTTTAAGATGCGCGCGCATCACTGTAACACAAAAATTACTTTTGTGTTTACCGCACATTAAGAAAATCTACCAATAAAATAGAAATAGAATCTCTATTTAGTGGGTGCTAACGACTGCATTGTGAAGGCCTATCAAAAGTATTTATTAATCTGAAACAACGGAACCAAAGCGCGATTCAGGAGACTACAGCGCCATCTCTTGACCATTGGTGTAGTAGAACCAAAAACCACATCTTCATTTTTTGTAATAAAGTAACAGTTATAGGTATTCATATTTATAATATCAAAAGTATTTATTAATCTGGAACAACGGAACCAAAGCGCGATTCAGGAGACTACAGCGCCATCTCTTGACCATTGGTGTAGTAGAACCAAAAACCACATCTTTATTTTTTGTAATAAAGTAACGGTTATAGGTATTGATATTTATAATATTTATCCAAATGTTTCTAGTTTGTATATTCGGAATACGTGTTTGAGTTTCATACAAGTGCAAATCACATATGTTCTAATAAATTATATTCAGTAGCGATTTTAATTGAATATTTTGATTATTTATTTATTTTTTCAAATTAAAACTGAACTTTATTGACTGTGTGCTTTTCCAGACTTTTTATTAATTTATTGTAATTAATTATTTGCATGCAATTAAAAACTAATTTTAAACGATGCCAAAGAAGGATAACTTCTCACGCGCCTACACGCACCCATTTTATGTATTTAATAATGTCTAAAAGGGGTAAAACCTTACAAATACGGTAGAAAAGCACTACAGCGCCCTCCAATCTAAATCCCATTCTCTTTCCGCCAGATCCTATAATGAAACCGATGTGCTTTTGGCGCGTCACGACACGTTAATATGTTTCTGACTTTTCTCTGAGTAGGACAGGTTTTGAACGCAGCCCAGACCATAAACTCCTAGACGAGGTGCCTGTCAATCAATCAATTTCATTTCAATCGTGTTTCAATCCATCACAACCAACCAAGATCATAGCATAATTCAAGAGGTTAGAAATTTGCAATAATAAAACAAACAGAAAGCTTCGTAATTATGATTTCGCAAAATACATTTTTAAAACGGTCATGGCCCATGCTGATTCAATGCGCTGAAGCCCATAGAAAACCCCGCTGGCTGCCTGTTGCAAAAAGTAAGTTATATCGTATTCCAAAACGTCCTGAAGTGTCTGAAGAAGAGCGGCTGGAGCTATTGCGTGTAAATAACAATTACAAAACACAAATGCGGGCCATTAGAAGATTTTACCATGAAGAAATGATCAAAGAGAAATCTACGAGAGACAGTGCAAGTTCTGAAATGTCCTTACGATTGGAGGCTGACGAATGGGAGAGATGTGTTATTATAAATGATAAATGGAACGCACAAGTAGCCACCGAACGCGAAGAAAGGAGAAAAATACAGCTGGCTGAGATGGAAGAGCTTGCTCTTGCCAAGATGGAAGCCAAAGACAAAGAGTTAAAAGAGAGATTAGAGAAAGCTGCAGAGGAAGTCAGGCGGCAAAAGGTGAGTCAAATATGCTAATCATATGGAGATATTTTGAAAGTTTATATGACGTTATTGTATGAAATTATTCATCATCATCAGCCTATTAATGTACCCACTGCTGGGGCACAAGCCTTCTCTATATATCAAATTTAAGGAGACTAGATTATTACAGTAAATGGTAGCTTGTGAATAAATATAATCTTAATGCCTGGAAGAAATATTGGATATGGAAATACTCCTATCCCTATTTTGTTTTATATAAATTACAGAACCTAGTTTTGTCTGAAATTATAATCAAAATTTCTTTTTCAGGCGCTATGCGAAACATTTATAACACCAGACAAATTAGAAGAAGCTATTGATTATGCCCTGGCCAACCCTATAGATTACAATTATGCTATTGATCTTCATGGAAAGACATACCTAGGAACCACTACACCTACAAATGTACATAAAGATGAAAAGACCAGCACTGCTGTTTAATATTTATTTAACAAAGTATACTATTTAGATTAAAAGAAGTTTTGTTTGGTATTGAAGCTTACCTGTAATATTATAAGATACTGTACTTTAATGAAACAGAGTTGTTATTATACAATTCAAAGTTTTTTTTTTTCTAGTGGTAGGTATTAGAGAGAATTTAACATTTTGTGTAAGGTAAACCAATTCAATACAGCATATTTCTTATTAACAAATAATCTTTGAGCTCAAATACTATTATCAAATTATTACTTAAAAGTAATCAAATGTGCTGTGTTCTTGTAATTACAGAGACTTATGTTTTTCCCTGCCTTGATCCACTTCTGATCCCTACAAGGTAAAATGGTGGAAAATTTTATATTTGCTTTTTAAGTGAAATTAAAGTACTAAAATGTAAGTCTCTGTCTTGGACTTTGTGCTTCAAATGGTTTATATCTGAGGTATACCAATTGTATTTCATCCTCTATTTTTCCCATTAAAATTTTATAGCCTATTTACAAGGTCCTCTTTATATTTATACCAAAATTTAATCCAGTGAAAGGGTTTATATCATTGGACAGTGTGATATTATGCAGCCCCTTCAGCAAGAGCACCGCAATATGAATGAATATTGGCAGGGGTTTTTACTATTTTTATAAAAAAAATATTCATAATTTTACTAAAAATCCACAAAAAGGATGATAGTTTTCTTATCTATTGTCACGTGACCCAAAACGCTTGGGATTGGCGGAGCCTAAAATGACGTCACACGCAAGTAAACTTCCGGATAGAGTGACATTACATTGTATCGTTTGACGTTTTAATATCAGTCGTGTGACGTCACACACTAGAAAGACGCCATATTGTCCAGAAAAACGGCAACTTGAAAATGGAGTTTTTGATTTGGTTATTTTTACTGAAATACGCAACAGAATGATGAATATCCATAAACATTAGTCAATAACGAGAGATCGTTTTCTAAAACTTGTCAAATACCCTATTAAAATGGGATATAAAATATATTTCTCTCTCTTCGGGTCTCGGGTCTCTTGCTATGAAGTGTATTCAAATAAAAAAACTTAATTTAACAGTTTAATTATATATTTACAAGCACAAATTATAACACAAGCAGCAGGTATATAGAGATGAGATTACGCAGGCATATCTTGGAACATGGTTTCCCAGTCGGGCATGAGGTTGAGTTTGTGCTGCAGATCTCCTACGGCTATAAGGTTAGCGGAGCGCGAGTTATCGTCCACAGCTAGAGAGACCACTTCTTGGTGGAATGCTGCTTTAGTGCCGGAACAAACCTGGAACCATGGCGATTATGCTGATGAGTTTCTTGCGCCCGTTCTTTTAATAATATTTGGGTGGTAGGAAAAAGAATTTGATGATTTAATACAGTTTTTCTTGAATAAAGTATTATTTAAGTTGAGGAGCTCGATGGCGTAGTGAAAGTTATGCAACTTTCGCAATGGTCATTCGTAGGATGGGTGACCAAAAATTATCTATACTATCTCAATCTCGGGCGGGCGTTCCAATTCGAGCGGAAAATCTTAAATTATCAATATTATTTGTATATTTTCTAGTTGTTTGACGACCTCCGGTGGACGAGTGGTTTGTACGCCGGGTTTCATGGTGTCGCCGACTCGAGTCCCGGGTTCGAATCCCGGTGGGGGCAGATGTTTGTGTGATGAATACGAGCATTTGTACTCCAGTCATGGATGTTTAATATGTATTTCTATATAAATATACTTATATATGTACATTGGTGTCGATTCTAGCATTATTCTCTAAACCTATTTGGCAGCAGTATATCCTTGTCATTCTCTATACAGAATGAAAAGGAGAGACTGATGTTAAAATTAGTTTTAAGTTTAGAGAATCACGCCAGAATTGGCGCCAGTATATGTATTCTATTCGTTACCTTAGTATTCCATAACACAGCCTTACAGTGCTTTTGGGGCTAGGCTAATTGGTGTGAGTGTTGGATATATTTAAAATTTTTTATTATTATTATTATTTTTTTTTTATTTTTTTTTTCAAGTTTACCTCAAAAATGGTGTCTCCCAGCGACAGAGTGACCCGGCCCGACCTGTGTACTCGCAGTTTGCCAATTTTACCCTCTTCTAGATCTGCCAACCGACACTTATTGTCCACCTGTAAAGAATATAATATACCAGTAAGCAATATTAAATGTGTTTAATCTTTTATGGACATTCCAAAAATTCAAAGCTGAAAAAAAAATTTTTTATACTAAAGAAATTATTGTCATACATTCTCTTATTCTACTCATATTAAGCTCCTACGTCTTCCTTTTCCGATAAAAAAAAATCAAAATTCTAGTATTGCTTTGAAATTTTTTCTCTCAAAAATGCCAAAAAAACAACATATTTTTGTCACCACTAAAGACGTCCAGTGTAGTGATTAAATAAGCATATAATAATAACACGTTTTCAACCTCCACTAAAATGTTAATTCTGTGTATTGTGATGTTTTGTGTTTTGTCGTGCATGCCACAAAATGTGTTGTGTTTTGTTACAGGGTCGTTAAATCAACATAGGAAGTGACAGAATTATTAAAATAGTATTTTCAACTTCTCATTTCAAAATTAATTTTATTAAGAATCCCTTGTCGTGTAGTGGATATCAACGTGAAATTGGCAGAATTGTGGGTATATCCCCGTTGAGCCATCCAAAAAAGAAAGGAAGAAGGAAGCATTTACAAAAGAAGCATAACATAGACTAGTAGAACTACTTATTATATTATACAAGCAGTCCCAGCGAACTTCGTCCCGCCATAAAAAAATAGGGGTTGGGTTGTATGGGTTCAAAAATAAAAAAATTAAGGCTGGACCACCCTTAACATTTAGGGGGATGAAAAATAGATGTTGTCCGATTCTCAGACCTACTGAATATGCATATAAAATTTCACGAAAATCGGTCGAGCCCTTTCGGAATAGTTCAATTACGCACACCGTAACACGAGAATTTTATATATTAGATAATTTTTGAGGAAGAAATCTTCATGAGCCGCATCTCAATTTAGCAATTTTTTTTCGCAATATTCAGGAGCTGATTTTGTCATTATTGCACGGTATTTGCCTATGCGGGACAGCAATTGCTGTGTCATACAGTATAAATACAAATTGTGTGCAATTTAAATTAAGTAATTAATTATCATTACAATAATAAAGCAGTATATAGCACACTCATCTCCGCTGGCAGCACCCGTTCACGAGCATGACGCTTGAACCAGCCATATTTTAGGGAACGCAACGACCCGCCCCATATGATATTAAGAATACACACCGGTTTCTCGTCATTATCTTCAGTGGAGGTGGATGGTTCTGTTTGCTTCCGTCTTGGCTCATCGTCCACCGTGCCTCCGCGACCGGGCAGGGCATTCGGTAACTGAAATTATATTCAAATTACTAAACTTTTACACATAATTATTATACTTGTTAACGGAATTGCTACCATGTAACGTGTTTTTGAGATTCCCTGATATTTCGGCAATGTTGCAACCGCCACGATCTCGGAGTAACTGAAGTGATTCCGGGCAGATGTTATTGACAGACATATCGGTCTACCCTCTGCTGTACCTAGTCTTTTATTTCGCTCGACACTTTTGGTAGTAAGCCCATTAATAACTATAGTGTAGTAGTGACCATGAAAGTTTAAAACAATATATAATTTACATAATGTAATTAATTAGTACAAATATACAAGAAAGTGTTTTTATTTTATTTGTTCGAAGTTTCTGTTCAAACTTTAAATAAAATAAATATAAATTGGATTCGTTTCTGATTTGCCTTTTTTTTTAAACCCACGATGGTAAATAAGATGTATTATTATTAGTATTTCAGTGGCATCGTAGCTCCTAAACGAATGGACTAAATTGCAGTTGCGAATGCATTTTTTTTTATTTGTAAGTTGACTTCATACTTGATATAAGATATAAGAAATAAAGTATATTTTCATTTCATGATGTAATTTGTGATCATGAGAGTTATTACGAGGCTGAAAATAATTATGGGCTGTGTTACTACGTCTATACCTGCAATAAAATAAGCGTTGGTTTCTCGTTCCTGAGTATGTTGACAACGTCAGTATCTTCAAAAACTTCCTTCTTCACATCCACAACTGCTTTTTGATTCACCGATGTAACTGAAATTGTAAAATGCGTTTAGAATGTCGCTCTAAATAAATAATTACCTCAGTTTAAGGCCCCAAGCAGAGTTTAATATAAGTAAAAAGATTATTGCTTAATACAACAGATAACACAAATATTTGGAAATTGTGGAAGATATTCGCTCAATTATATAGCAAATTCCTATCAAAATTGTATATCAGCCCTACACTGCAATTATTAAAATAAAAAAAGGCTAAATCATTTTCTATCAGCAGTAAATTTACAGCATAGCAGCATACATTTTTCCTGCGTTGCAAAAGATACAATTCCGAGTACACACTTTATGCATCGAAATCTGTAAATAAAAGGAACTGATATCGCCGCTCCTAGCGCCCAAGCGGAACAATCCGGCCGGCTGCTCGGAACTGCATTCGGGATCTAAAACAAAACTGTCTTACTGGCACAATCTACATCGTCTTTTGGTTCATCTTTCACGATCACCTCCTGCTTAATAGCCACAGCAGACTTTCCTTTCTTAACTGACCACCCTATAAGAGACAGAGTAATGTTATCGACAGTAAATATAGCTTGTGTGTGTTAAATGAAATGGTTACGGATATTCGCATCCGCTTCAGTAAATGTAGAATATTGGCATTAATTTCGACATCTTCATCTGCATCAATCAATGTGTAGCTTTTATGACTGTGGATCATCAAAAAATAACGACATGTAAATTAAGAGGACAGAGCCAGAGTGGCGCCGGCGAAAAGTTACACTTAAAACTATTTGTTTTTACCTCAAAATTAATATATATGAGGAATCGAAAAACATAATTTATATTGATTTACATGATTTATATTCATGAGTACCCTCACACATAAATACCAGGATATTCATATATATCATTTTTTATTGTTCAAACTTTCTGCAATTCCTGATGTTACATTTTGATAATATTAATTTGGTTATTACATTTTGTACAGTCATAGGTATATTCTCATATATATTTTTGCTATAAAAATATTTTTTATTACCTCCGTCATCCATAGGCAGTTTGATGGGTGCATCTCTCTCATTAACATTCTTGAAATCCTCATTAACATCATCATCTAAAATAGAATTATCGCCTAGCACAGATTTAATCTTCTGCTCTTCCAACTCTTTGTCAATCTGTTTACAGTAATATCAGATTATTTTAGCTCATGTTTTCAATATTTTAAAGAAATAAATCATGTTCATTTAAATTTTACTTGTCCATTAAAACCGCTAGGTGTCATTTAAAATAGTATACCTTGCAGCAAATAATTTGCTGCATCTGGTTTTATTGCTACTCAAGCAGTTTTATAACATCAGAAAAGAATAGTTATAATTTTTTTTAACCATGTAACTGCTTGATGTTTAAATCTAAAGAAAATATAACTAGAAAAAAATCCACGCGGACCAGGCAGCATATGGGACTCAAACCCGCACCCTTCACAATCCGGGCGAATGCACTGACCAAGCAAAGAATTAAATATTTCGGTTTATATTACCTTGATTACATCTTTGACTCTTATAGTTGGTTTTTGCAATGCTGCAGTGCCACCACTATCCGAATCTCTTCCATAAGAAAACCTAGCCGAATGATGACGCTCTGCACTACCCAAACCTGGAGAGTTAATGAGAATAGTAATTTCTAAATGTCTAACAAAATTATTGACTTTACCATGTTTTTAAAATTATAAAGTTGTTTGTTTTAAAAAAGCTTTCAATAACAAAATGCAGTTATAGTAAATAGTTATTGTATTATATAAAACTAGCAAACCTGTGAACCAAATGTTCACCAAATGTATTTAATTGATTGAGAACTTCGGAGATTTTGTGTGGTTTCGTTTGAAATTCATGATTTCTCGAAAACCGGAAGTGCTACGTTACTCAAATCCGGTTTGTAGTCTTATCAGACTATTCTTAACTTAAATATTCTCTTTATCTATCTCTTACGGTTTGGCCGCTGAAACAGCACCACAGACAGACAGACAGACGGACGGACTTGTCTGATAGATAAGAGATTACAAATTCTTAGAAAAAATAAACTAATCAGCTATTGCATCCCCAATGGTGGCTACTCACCATTCTGACGCTCTATCAAGCCAAAGTGACTGTGTGTGGGGAGACATTTTGGAAGGACATGCTACTTAATAGAAAGATTTCGGGTTGAACAAGCTAATTTTATCAATAGTAGTAGTAGCTTCAATATCCTACAATTTGGCTCCTTAAATTAATGTAGTGTAGAATAAAATGTCTTTCAAATCTATACCATAATACCAGAACTAAGTCCATGCATTATTAAGTTTACTATATCAGTTTAAGCTGTTCATGTTGTCAGCTTGGAAGAGCAGTATTTAATGGCACAATATCCAGGATGTTTAGATTAAATAAAAAAAATATTATATGAAAGTGACAGCAATTTTTTCTATATAATTTCTAGAAACTTTATAAATTACCTTCAGAAAAAACTCCACTAGACTTTATGACATTGGGACCATTTTTGTTAAAGTTTTTATTTCTATCGTTTTTGCGATCTTTGCGCCCTTTATCATCTTTTTTATGGTCATGGGCATTTACATTTAATTCATTCAGTCATGTGATGAATGGTTACATAATAGCAATAATTTAAAGTTTACATGCTGTTTTTGGCCATATCTCAAAAGTTTGTTTTGTCATTTAGCCGCATTTTAGCTTGAGGACAGCATATTAGAACAAAACAAAGGAGCGCGAAACTATCACGTCTGTACAAGTTTTTGGCGCTAAAATCCAGCCGAATACTTTTGCCTAATATTCGGTATACTGCCGAATATACTATTCGTTGCAAGTCTAGTAAATAGTTATTGTATTATATAGTTAGAAAAAATAAACCAATCAGCTATTGCATCCCCAATGGTGGCTACCTTTCTGACGCTCTATCAAGCCAAAGTGACTGTGTGTGGGGAGACATTTTGGAAGGACATGCTACTTAATAGAAGGATTTCGGCTTGATCATGCTAATTTTATCAGTGGTGGTGAGTAGCCACCATGAGTCACTTACAATTTGACTCCTTAAATTAATGTAGGCTAGATTAAAATGTCTTTCAAATCTATACAATAATACCAGAACTAAGTTCATGCATTATTAAGTTTACTATATCAGCTTAATCTTTTCACATTGTCAGCTTGGAGGAGCAGTATTTAATGACACAATATCCAGGATGTTTAGATTAAATAAAAAAAATATTATATGAGAGTACTTGACAGTGATTTTTTCTTTATAATTTCTGGAAACTTTATAAATTACCTTCAGAAAACACTCCACTAGACTTTATGACATTGGGACCATTTTTGTTAAAGTTTTTATTTCTATCGTTTTTGCGATCTTTACGCCCTTTGTCATCTTTTTTATGGTCACGGGCATTTACATTTAGAGATCTGAAATGGAAGTATAAATTAAACGTTATTTTATGCGTGTAGCCGGTAACAGAGATGAGCGATTTTAAGTAGTTAATAAAGTGTAGTACATAAGCTTACCCTTTATTCTTATTTCTAGTAACGTTTAAATTTGGTATAAATACTTTCTTGTTAGGTTTTACACCTCCTAAAGAGAGATCTCGTGGAGCTTTAAACGAAGCTAATCTTTGCATTGGGTCGGATCCCAAACCATTGGTTTTTGGCACATTCTCTTCTGGGTTCGACATATTCAGCTCTTAGTAAATAAATTACTTGTTCATAACAACTTTTAATTCGATTACTTTGCAGTAAAGGTTATTTTCCTGTATTACTTCTTTTAATTATTCCGTGTGTTAGTGTTTTTGCAAAGACATTTTAAGTAACAACGCGTTTCATCAACAAAATGGAATAGAGATTTAAAATTTATTTCAAAATTAACAATGAAAATTTGGAAAAAATTCCTTAGGTCAAAACTTGCGAGCACAGAATGGTATATTTACCTTTCTTTATGACAGAAAAATAGAACCACAGGTTAGAAATCAGAAGTGATTACTTTTTTAAGCTTCTCCCTTTTCAGGAAAGGCAAAGGAAACAATGTCTATACAGCTTAGTCTTAGGTTTTATTAATCTAGCTTTGTTTTTACATTAGAATGTCGGTGTGAAGCATTCCAATGTTTCTTGGAGTATTGGGCACGAAATGTGTCGAGTTGGCTTTTTCGATAAGCTTCTGTGAGGTAGTCAACACTAAATAAAGTTCTCACATCCACTTGACCGGAATAGCGTATATTTAAAAGATTCCACTAATTCTTCAGTTGCGCAGACGGTTGTAACACTAAATCACAACAATTTTATTTCACAATATCCACTGTGAACGAATTTAAGAATAAATAAAATAAGATGCCATCACGCCAAAAACTCTCTGATTACTTTTTCTATGGAGGAGTAACATTGTAAGAAAAGAGTGTGTGTGAGGGTAAGGCTGGGCGCACATATTAGGTTTTCCCGTCAGGTTCCCGGATGGTGATATCAAATCAGGCTACCCTAATCAATCTAGTCTCTCTCTCTCTCTCTAACCTATAATAAATGTATGAAACCGGCGCGCCACGACTCACGACACGTTAGTATGCACAGGGCTTTTGTTGTATTTAATAATTTCAGAAATTACGTGTTATTAGGCTATATGGACATTGTTCCTTTTGCTTTCCCTGAAATGGGGGGAACGTCAAAAAATTTTATTTATCTTGGTAATCTGTGTTTTACTTTTTCCATATGTCATTCAAAGCTGTCATATATTTATTGTTTATCTGTTTTTGAGTGGACCGGTAGATAAACTGTATTATTTTTCATTCAAAACTATTGAACTTAAAGCTGGTATTTACGTAAACACGTCAGGAAAATGATAAAAATTTCTGCACTCAACGATGAGTCTGAAGAAGACAGTGGTTCCGACGAGGAGGTGACAAAAGAGGCGCTGGAGCAGATAGCACTGCAGCAGTACGCCAAAGCTTTAGATTTGCAACGGAAGGGCAACCTGAAGGATGCTACACAGCTTTTGAAGGACTTATTAGACACAGAAGTTCTGTATGACGTGAAAAAACCTGCACAAGGTGAGAAAGTATCTGGGCCGCTGTTTAATTTGAAATATTTATGTTATAAAAACCTCGCTGCAATGTTGAGCGTTGCAGGCGATAGCGAAGGTGCCATTGAAGCTTACTGTGCTGCCTCAGAGCTTGATGATACTGATGTGACTTTATGGCACAGATTTGGGCTGACTTGTATGAATGTAAAACGTTATGAAATGGCCTTACATGCTTTCCAAAGTGGAGCAGAACGAAACCCTAAACATTGGCCATGCCTAGACAAAATAGTTACTTTATTACTAGGCCTAGACTATAAAGAGGAGTGTATTGCTACTATACATGATACATTGCAACTTGATCCTGACTATTTAAGGGGATTAGCATATAGAAAACATATTTATAAAGTTTATCCCTATATCAGAGATTATATGGAATATTTGAATCCCATTTATAAGTGGAATGAGAAAGAAGACAACCTCATAGATGAAGAAAAGGCAGAAAAATTGATTAAAGAAGCTGAAGAGATTCACGAGGTATTTTTGGAAAAGCAAAGACAAGAGCAATTTAAATATGTCATGCCTAATTTAAAATTAAAAAAACCTATATCTGATTTTGCCTGGGCTTCTGTTGGTGAATCTCTCATACATATGCACCAATATATGACTGAAAACTGTTATAGTCATGCTTGTTATTTGGAATTAATATTTGAAAAAGAACAGAAACAAGAACAAATGGAAGTGAGTGATGAACCCAAAGAACTAGAGATACTTGAAAATTCAAAATCAGATGAAAATGAAAAATCCGAAACTAACGAGCAAAAAGGAGACAAAGAAAATGTATCTGAGAATGAAAATAATGATTTGTCTGATAAAGATAAGGGAGCAACAGACACTGAAAAAGTTGAGAGTGATATAGAGATGCTGCAAGTGGAACCAGCAACAGATGCTCAGCCAGAGCCTAAAACACAAAGAAAAAATCCAGTTCGCAGACGTGGTAGTGCTCTAAGTTTCTTAGAACAATGGGAATGGTGCACAAAGCGTCGGTCTGGTCGGAAGAAGGTCACAACCAGGCAAGAGCAAGATGATAACATTTATGATACATTAAGAAGAATGGTTCCAGAGTGTTTGGTTCCTGAGATGGTACAAAAGAAAGAGAATCAAACCAGGGAAACATCTCCTGATACTGCTGACCTTGATAAGTTGTTTGAAGAAAAAGGATACACAGAAAAGACTGAGCAATATTTTGGCACAGAAAATGAACAAAGGGATGTAAAGGAATTTATAAACAAATACACAGAGAATAAAAGGGATATTATAGACATGTTACAAGAGTTTTTACATATTTTAGCAGGAAAATGGAGAATGTTGTGGCCAAATGGCTTGAGCAAAGTATTTGTTAAGGCAAATGAATGTTATAATACTCATATTGATATTCCAGCATGCACTGATGATAATCATCAGGAAATTTTACATTTTGTCCATGTTAACATATTATCTGAAGAGTTTGCAGTTAATGAAAAATTGCACAATTCCACTGATGATAGTACCTACCATGATTTGAGCACTATTGAAGCCATTGGAATTAGTCTTAATTTAAAACCTCATTTCTTTACAGGCATTGATTGTTTAGAGTTAATGTTGAGGCATCTTTGGGTTAAGCTTCATATTCACTTATTAAACAAGTGTGAAGAATTCGCCCTAGACTGTTTATACCAGTTGTTATATGAGTTTGAAGCAATGGCAGAAGAACATGACACATATAAATTGAATGTTGTTAACTTTGTTTTTAAACCAATGATTAACGAAGGTGAAGTTTTAAATGCTATTAAATTCTTAGAAAGAAATAGAAAATTATCTACTGTAATGGAGTTATATGATAGAGGAAATTATGAAGAAGTTTTGTTTATCATAATGGATTCATTTGAACATTGCAAGAATATGGCTCGGAATCAAGAAGAGGAGATGTCACTTGATTTTGCTGTTCAATTGTCTATGATATTGGATACATATTGGGCACTGGATAAAGTGGACAGCTGTTTCAAATGGTCATTCATATGCCTTCATGAGTCTTTGAAGCACTTTTTTCGTTGCACAAGTGGATCTCCTGATTATGATAAGTGGGCTGTAACAGTTGTAAAAGTACTATGTTGTATGGAACATATTCTTAAGACTGAAGGGCTCTCATGTTTAGAAACAATATCCCAAAAAGAACTGAGTCAGGGATTAGAAGATTTAATAAGAATAATTGGACATCAAATTGAAACAAATGCATCTGATATGCCCTTTGGGACAGTTGTCCCTTGGATTATAATGCATTATATTTTACAAAGAGAGGAAGATCAAGGGAGAAGCAGATCTAGTAATGAGAAAGACAAGATTCCGGGTGAAGATGTTCCTAATCCATTAATGGTCTTGTTCATTGCCCATGAGCATTTAGGAACCAGAGGATGGTGCTGTAATACTGAAGGCAAACTTTTATATTTTATACTAGATACGGTAGTGCCGCGATTACGTTCGCCGGCCTTGGCAAAATCTTTAGAACAAGTCTGTCAGTTTATGGAGCAGTGTGTCTACTGTCTTTTTGGGCATCCTGGTAAAAAGAACAAGTTGAAATATTTAATAGATCATAATGTGACTCCGCATTCATTGGATTGGAAAAGAGCACAGCAACTTTACGAAATCTTTAGACCACCTGCACTACCAGTTTTAGAGGGCAAGGTTTCTGGAATCTCAGCTGATACGGAACAGTTATTTCACCGTATTCTTGCACATTTACCCCCAGAATTAGATCCGCAAAAGTATGTAGTAGAAATAGAAAAGTACATTAAAGGTTTAGCAGATAAACTGCCAGATATCCCTAAGCTAATGCCATACAAACTGAAAGATATCTATTTTTTGCTTGGTGATTATTATTTTAAAAAGGAGGAAGGTAAAATGGCTGTGAAATATAACTTGTTAGATGTAGTTGTGAACAATGATCGTTTAGAATCTTGGGCTGAAATATCATTAGCAAAAGCAGTAAATTTAGAGAGAATTTTGAATTCCTGTAAGAATCTTAATAACGAAAGGGAGTTTTTGAACCCAGCTAGATCTATTATAAGATGTTTTAAACGTGCACTTGATTTGGATCCGACACATTGCAATATGTGGATTGAATATGGTATATTTGTATACACAGTACATTCTTTCTGTTCACGTCTACTCAAACAAGATAGTGAATCTCTAAGTATGGAGGATTTTGAGTCTTTAGAAAAACAAAAAGAAAATATGTTGAATACCACACAGAAATGTTTCATAACCGTTCTAGAAGATCTCAACAGTAGTACAGACACTGAGAAAGCTAACGAAGATTCATGGTTACATTATTACATGCTAGGTAAAGTTGCTGAAAAGAAGAATAAGCCTCCTTCTGTCTACCTAGATTACTATATGCAAGGCGTCAAAAGCCTGCAAGAAACTGATGCAACATATCCCTTGAAAATTAATTATAGTTCACCTACGCATTTATGTATAGAAGTCTTGGAACTTCATTATAGGATTCATGCATCTATTTTGAAATATATAGAGCAACATGAAAATAAACCAATTCCGGCTTCTGTCGGAAAAGTGTTCATAAATTGCATCGAAGGCTGGAGGAATGGTCCTTTTTCAAAGAAAACTAAAAAAGACGGATCAAACGAAACCGAATCCGAACCGAAACCCAGCGAACCAGTACATGCGGCAAATATCTTAAAGCGCTCCGTAAGTGATGCAGGTGAAGAAGAAACTCATGAAACTAAACGTTTTAAATTGGAAGCTGCTGCTGCAAAAGTTCGAAGATCTGCTTCTTACGATACGGAGAGAGTTGCTCCGAAAGAAACACCGGTAATTGTTCATGTGGAGAAGGTCACAGAGACGAACAAACCGGTGGAGGTTGCTAGCACGGAAGAAATCAAACAAGATACAGTAATTAAAACAATCGAAGAAGTGAAAGCTCCAGAAGATTTAAAACCATTGGAAGAAAGAATAGACAATAAACAGAATCAAAAAGAACAAAAAAAAGATAACGAGTCGGAAAAGAAAACGGAAAGTTCAAGTAGCACATCGTCTTCTTCATCATCTGATTCGAGCTCGAGTGATTCTACATCTGACAGCAGTAGTGATTCTAGTAGAGACAGCGATACATCTAGTAAATCTTCTAACGACTCCAAGTCACTGACTGTTGACGAAATTATGACAATAGTCACAGCTTGTATCGATGCTTTGGAGGATTGCGCAAGCCGGTTTCCACCAAATTACAAAGCCATTTACAGATTAGCACACTACCATTTTTACTACAAAAAGGGTAAAGACATCGAGAGATGTAGAGATTTGATGCTCTCTAACTTCACTACAAGAGCTGGGCAAAAGCTGGGAGGTTTATTCAGTGAAAGGAAACATTCAAATTTCTTTAATAATATTTGGAAGATACCACTAGGGGAAGTCGAAAGGGCTGGAGGTTTTGCATTCCACATGAGCCGATCAGTCCAACTAACAATGGAAATTTTAAAAGAGATCGATGATCACAAAACACTGCTTGATTTGAGTTTACATTTACAAAGAATTCCAGAACCAGATAAGAAGTATTTGCGGGACTCTGATAGGGAAGAGTTAGCGCAACAAGCATTTTCACTATGCGTACAGTCTCTGAAAGGACAATTGACAAAATTCAGTCAACAGGCGGATCTCAAAAGCAACGATGTAGAAAAACAAGCATTAAAAAGTTTAACTTTGGACATCTACAGAGCTTACCAAAGAGTACAAAAACAACCGAATTCAAAGCAATTTATTAATTTGCTCGTTGAGGCATATAAATTAGTATGCACTACTCCAATTACAGATAGTATGAACCTCGTAGATCTCAGTATGAAATATTGTCAGTCATTGATCCAAGCCCTGAAACAACAAGCTACACAGGCAAGCATCGACAAAACTCAAAACGCGCAGAAAAAACAGGCTGCAAAATCGGCCGAAACTGTAAAACTTCGTGACCCAAGTACTCTTTCTAACGTCCCAAAACCTACAGAACATAAGTCACAGACGACTTCAGCTTCAGCTACGGGGTTACCTAAAATATCCGCTCACGAGATGGCAGCTGCGTTTCAAAACTATATTCCTATGCTTAACGATCCAGTTTTATCACAACAGACTGCAGCAGCGTTGTCTCTTTCATATTTAAGTAACATTAGCGCGTTAGCTGGTTACACGTCTCTGCAAAATACTTTGCAATCGTCTTTACAGACCTCCCTACAGAACTCTTTTCAGGCGGAATTTTATCGCCAATTTTTGGGCCAAAGCCTTTCTTCTTTCGGCATGCCGCCGCAAAAGAAGCAGAAACGTGGCCCAAAACCACAATCATCACGACCAACTTCACAAACAATGGCTCCAATGAAACCGTCAAAATCTTTTAGTACGACTTCTACGTCTTCGGTTTCGAAGGCGACGCCGACTCCTGTGATAACCAGTATTCAGAAATCTACTTCCGCGCCTCTCGCGCCTAGCATGGGAACGGTGTTGCCAACATTGCCTGCATCCATGACCGCGAATTTGGCTTCATTTAGTTCCACGGGTCATGCGTCCGCACACCCAGCAACGAGTATTCATAGTGCAGTACCGACACAAGCTCACTTATCCAGTACATCGACTGTGGGTGCTGCTATTCATACTAAACCTCCGATGCCCCATCAGCAAGTTAGTCCCGGTAAAACATTGCAGGAGAAGTTGGCCGAACGACAAAAACACCTGCCTATACCAAAGCCTTCAAATCAGGACATAAACGCGTCGATAAGCAAGCTTCCATCTTCTTTGACAATAACAAAGACGTCAGTATCGAAACCGCCTGTTCAAAGTAAGAAGCCTGAAGTCAAGAAGTCGCTACCGTTTAGCGAAGTGCGGCCTAAACAGATATCTGATGAGGTCATTGTACTCGACGACGATGATTAGAATTATATTTTAAATAATAACTATTATGTACTTATTAATGTATGTGTACCAGTGAAAATATCATAGACTTATTTAATAACATATATCAAAACTTAAAATATATTTAAATAAATTGAAAAAGGAAAATGCATTTTAATTTCAATAATTTTAATATAAAAAATAACTAATACAACTTTACTATTTACAGTGTTAATAACTTACTTTAACAATTAAAAATGTTACAGGCATATTGCTTAAATAGTCTTTAATTTTTATTACAATATAATATGTGTTTAGAATTTATATTATATTATCCAATATATTTTTACGGGTAAACCCAATATTGCACAGAACACACATCCACAATGCGCGTTCTAGCTCTCTCTTGTTCTTGGGGGTAGTTAATAAACAGTTACAAATATTTAAAAGATGAATTAATATAAAGGATTAAATTAATAACGGGGTTTTCGACTAGGGTTCCTAATTTAATACAGAATGCTACCTTTTTAGCAGAAGCTTTGACAATGTAATTTAAAGTAATATTTTATACATATTTTAATCAGTGACAAAATTTAAGAAATGAGCTGGCGAACAAAACGGTGTAATTACGCATCTAGTCAAACTACCTACTTTTCTTTATAGTCCGGAAATTTCAGGCCCGCTGAATTTGAATCTCAAATAATTTTCAATCTAAACCACTTTAAACAGTGTTAAAATTACTAAATTTATAAATTGAAAATCATGCCGAAACCTCACTGTAGGTATGTCATTCAGTTTTATACAGCTTTTGTAAAATTTAATTTTATGTAATTATACCGTTTTGTTCGCCAGCTCCTCAAAATAGGGTATTTGACAGTGTTAAAAATAAAGTGCCAATTGTTAGCATCTGTGTTTGGAATGAATATTGGCAGGGGTTTTTACTAGTTTTACAGTAAAAATATTCATAATTTTACTAAAAACTAACGAAAAAGATAATCTATTGTCACGTGACCCAAAACGCTTGGGATTGGCCGAGCCTAAAATGACGTCAAAGTGACGTGGCATTGTATCGTTTGACGTTTTAATAACAGTCGTGTGACGTCACACACTAGTAAGACGCCATATTGTAAAGAGAAACGTTTTCGCGGCAACTTGAAAATGGAGTTTTTGATTTGGTTATTTTTACTGAAATACACAAAATGATGAATATCCATTTTTTACGGACTCCATAAACATTAGTCAATAACGTGAGATCGTTTTCTAAAACTTGTCAAATACCCTATTGTGAAATTGTTCATAGAATATTTGCGTCAGTAATAACATTGAAAGGATTATCAATAAACCACAGTGTATATAAATAATAGATCCATAGACGAAATAATATTGGATATTATTTCTATCTAAAGTATTGGTTGGTATTGGTATATTGGTGCACAACAGTCTTTGTAGCGATTTTTGATTGGTTCATTCATAGTTGCGTTAACCCAATTTGATTATTATAAAACTCTGTAAACGTAGAACGACACCAGCATATTACTCAGGTTCCATTTGGCCAGCAACGTGGCGAAATATAAAAGAACTAGTATCGGAAGCGGCAGCAGGAACACTCTAATGTTCTGAAGCATGGGCAGATCTGAAAAGATATAACACCAAATGTAGACAAAAATTTAATACATACAAACCTTCAATACATGTTTTTCAAGTGAAAAACAAAACCATGTAGGCCTACAATTACAAGTATGAAGTACTTGAATGATGTAGTGCCCGGGTTGCGGCGTCCGCCATCTCGTTACCAGGCATAGCATTGCAGCTGCATGGACACACACACACACACACACACACACACGCACGCACACACACTCACACACACACACACACACACACACACACACACACACACACACACACACACACACACACACACACACACACACACACACACACACACACACGCACGCACACACACTCACACACACACACACACACACACACACACACACACACACACACACACACACACACACACACACACACACACACACACACACACACACACACACACACACACACACACACCCACACTTCATAAAGTTATCATGTGACAAATTCTTGAAAACCCTTTTATATGGATATTCAGTGTTTGTTTTATTTTTTGTCTCTTTGTTATGTTTTGTCCAATCTTAATTTTTATTTTATTATTTATGTTAGTGAATTAAATGAATTTTATACAATTTTTAAAATTAAAATAAATTAAATGTAATAATTACTGACATATAATAACGCCGTTAGTATCCAGTATCTATTATGTACATAATGAGTTTCTGTAATTGGCCTTAAGATTGTATCTATATTTTATTGTATTAAATTTCATATAAAAGCGCTGAAGAAACTTTGTTAAAGATAAGTTAATTGACGACCTCCGTGGCCGAGTGGTTTGTACGCCGGGTTTCATGGTGTCGCCGACTCAAGAGGTCCCGGGTTCGAATCCCGGTGGGGGCAGATGTTTGTGTGATGAATACGAGCATTTGTACTCCAGTCATGGATGTTTAATATGTATTTCTATATAAATATACTTATATATGTACAGTATATGTATTCTATCCGTTACCCTAGCATCCCATAACACAAGCCTTACAGTGCTTACTTTGGGGCTAGGCTAATTGGTGTGATTAAAAAAAAAAAAAAAAAAAAAAAAAAATAAACTATTTTCGGACAGGGTGTAAATGAAAAAGTCATATGGTAAAAAAGAAACGGAAATGCGTCACGAGCGTTAGGGGCTGTTCAAGTATTAAGTAAGCACTAATAGGGGGGCAGGTGGGTCTTTGCTTTGCTTATTTTTGATGACATGGGGGGGGGGGGGGGTGTCGAGATGGTGATTACGTCAGCATCATGGACTAAGCCTATTTAAGTACTGCTGGTCATGAAACTCATGAAAACTTATGAATCAACAAAAAACAGGGGGGGGGGGGGTCGAGATGGTGATTACGTCAGCATCATGGACTAAGCCTATTTAAGTACTGCTGCTCATGAATCTCGTGAAAACTTATGAATCAATAAAAAAAACAGAATACATTAAAGGAAAAATGCATATAGGTACCAATGTTTACGTAAGCATGAGGGGGAGGGGTAAGAGCTTTGCTTACTTTTGCTGACAAGGGGGAGGAGGGGGTAAATAATTGTAATAAATCTGCTTACGTAATACTTGAACGGCTCCTTACACGACTATAATATATGTGTGTAAGTGTGTGTGTGTGTGTGTTTGGACGCGCTGCTCTATTCCCCTATGCCTTATGCACCACCTAACGTTAGGTTATTTAAGAAAAGAAGTTTCACTTCAGATGTGTGCTCCGTGCAGACCCCTCTTTCCCAGTGGGCACTTTGGGCAAGTGCCCAAGGTACCCCCTCAGATCAAATACAAAGTCCCTAGTTCCTGTTAAATCACCAAACGGAAGTCATAGGGGCCCCATTATCCTAATATGCCCAGGGCCTCCAATAGGTCAAAGACGGCACTGGGTCCGTGCATACTATTTGTAGGGTTCCGTAGCCAAATGGAAAAAAATCCGTCCGTCTGTCCGTCCGTATGTCACAGCCACTTGTTTTCCGAAACTATAAGAACTGCACTGTTGAAACTTGGTAAGTAGATGTATTCTGTGAACCGCATTAAGAATTTCACACAAAAATAGAAAATAATAATAATAAATATTTCCGACACTCACACCAATTAGCCTAGCCCCAAAGTAAGCACTATAAGGCTTGTGTTATAGGATGCTAGGGTAACGGATAGAATACATATACTGTACATATATAACTATATTTATATAAATACATATTAAACATCCATGACTGGAGTACAAATGCTCGTATTCATCACACAAACATCTGCCCCCACCGGGATTCGAACCGGGACCTCTCGAGTCGGCGACAGGCGAGGCCATGAAACCCGGCGGCCACGGAGGTCACCTGTTGGTAAGCGGCCGACAAAGCCTGTAGACACTTGCGATACAAAAAAAAATGTGTGCGTGTACTAGTGTACACACGTAAGAAGTGAAGCTTCTTTATAGCCTTATTTTTTTCGAAAAATGATCTACATGCAACTTTCCAGAAATATATATATAGGCGTGCGCTAAGATTTTTCAAAAACTCACCCACTAAAGGGGTATAACACCTTACCTTACCTTACCTTGTGTGAAACACGAATATTTCCTGTCGATACTTTTTTTTTTAAAGTTGACAGAAGAAGCAATTGTTCGGATGAGGTAAATAGTGCTCTTTTAAAAAAAAGATGGCGCGTAACCAAAAAACGTGACGCGTAACCGAAAAAATGTGACGGTAAATTTTTTTCCAACGCCGATAAAGAAGTTTCACTTCAACTAGCCGCGCCGTTGTCTGCCCTGACGTGATCCCCTACCCCGTGGAGCCCTAGAACTTTACTGACAGAAACACAACATCACCAAAAGGTAGTGTTATTATACTGTGCTCTTCTGTAAGGTGGAGGTAACTTCCCCAAACTCAAGGACCCTTCTACAAAGTATTAATTACAAACTTTTAAAAGACATGACATCGGTAAGGTCTTCAGACAGGATCCTGTGTGATGCCTGGCCCGAGTGGAACTTTTTCTAGTAAGTACACAGATAATAAATGCAAAAAAAAAATTGTTAATATAAATAATTAGTATAAAAAAACTAGTTAATGGAATTAAGTATTTTGAAAATAACTCATATATTATTAGTTATTATTATTAACTATGTTAATTAAAAATTATGACTTATATAATTTAATAATAATAATTATCACATGTTTACACATTGAACATGCGCAAAAATAAACAAAATGTTATGGACTATTCATTATTATTTTATTAGATAACTGATAAGTAAGGATTAATTCCGTGCATGGAATCTTGACGTACACGATCTAGTGATTATGATTGCTACTTTCATAAATGCAATTTTCAAATAATGACTCACCGGTGTAAACTAATTTGCCATAATCTGAAAGTTAATGTCTTCATAAATATATATTACTAGCTGTGCCCCGCGGTGTTACCGGCGTTTTATTAGGGATATTTACCCGCAGCTAACGTAGCCTATGTGTTAATCCAGGGTGTCAGCTCCATATAAAATTTTATTAAAATCGATCCAGCCGTTTAGACGTGAAGAAGTAACAAACATACACACTCACAAACTTTCCCCTTTACATTATTTGTGTCATAATTTATTAGTCATCCATCTACGCCCATCTATGTCAGCCATATAGCTACACAGCCGACGCGGCTATGAGTAGGCATACACAGCTTTCACCTCTGTCGAGTTGGGCATACGAATCGGGCATTCAAACGATACATGTGTGCAGAATTTGGCGATGTATTATGACATTTTTTGTGTGAGTGTCGTAGATACAGTTTTGTTTTATGTGTGTATGTTAAACAGCATTTGTATGTAAGTTACCCCAATTACAACTATTATTATATTACCCCAATTACAACTATTACCCCAATTATAAGTATTATTATTTAAAAATACTGATTTGAATAGAATTTTGTCGTTTTGGCTACTCCCTTCTGTGTTGTTCTTTGATGTCAACCTAAAGAAATTTAAATAATTTGAATCTATTTGTGTGAGTTAAACTTTTCCTATTAATATTTGGTCGATCAACAAATGACATGTTTTTCCTGAACTTGTTTGATCTCCACTGACTGTAAACTTATACTTAAATATATATGATATACAGATTTATGTACTTACTGCTATAGCCGAGGAAAGTGATATACATGTAGTATATTAAAGAAGCCAGCCAAAAAGTATTGGAGACTAGACACGCCAGAAAACTCTCATTTGTAACGAGATCTGGAAATAATAAAATAAAATAACATCTTATTTACTAGACTTTGTCCGAGAATTTAGTGGGAGGACTTCAGAATTGAAATAGAACTCGAGAACCATTCATTTATAGAATTCAGAGTCCAAAATCTGCAATGCAAATAGGGTATTTGACAGTGTTAAAAATAAAGTGCCAATTGTTAGCATCTGTGTTAAGAATGAATATTGGCAGGGGTTTTTACTATGTTTATAAAAAAAAATATTCATAATTTTACTAAAAACTAACGAAAAAGACAATAGTTTTGTTATCACGTGACCCAAAACGCTTGGGATTGGCGGAGCCTAAAATGACGTCACACGCAAGTAAACTTCCGGTTAAAGTGACATTACATTGTATCGTTTGACGTGTTAATAACAGTCGTGTGACGTCACACACTAGTAAGACGCCATATTGTCCAGAGAAACGTTTTCGCTGCAACTTGAAAATGGAGTTTTTGATTTGGTTATTTTTACTAAAATGCACAACAGAATGATGAATTTCCACTTTTTACGGACTCCATAAATATTAGTCAATAACGTGAGATCGTTTTCTAAAACTTGTCAAATACCCTATTGCACATGAAATGTGTTATATTATCGATCATCAGTTTATTTGAATCAATCAATCAAATCAATTAGGAATACTGACTGTTGAATAGAACGCGTTGATGTGCACGAACGTAAGCGGGATGATTTTTTTTATGTTAGCATGGTGACAAACTAACATATGGCCCGCCATCAGGCATCACCGCACCATGCTCAGAGATTGATGCATTTATTGAACCGTTTGCTAGCGTCTAGTGAGTCAAGTTATTCATTTATTATCGATGCCGTCAGTAAGAGCGAAATGAAACCCTTTAAAAACCGCTAAATTGATTCAAAACCTATTTGATTCCGCTTTTTAGGAAAACCGTTTTTTTTAAAGTTAAGGTAGAACCAAACCTAAATAAAACGCTTCTACTGTACTTGACATTGATTTAGGTTTGAAAATTTACCGGTAACTGGCCACCATGGCATATAGACGCTTGCAATACTAAGAGATTATTCCCCTTCCCCGTGGAACCCCGGAACTTTACTCACGCAAAGGTAGCGTTATTTTTGCGTCTTCTGTGAGGTTACTTCCCCAGACGGGCGGTTCAAAGCGAACGGGAATTCCGCTTTGCCTTACCTCTCTTTGAGGGATAGTAAAAATGAGGAGCTCGATGGCGCAGGTGGCTAACGCATTCGGCTGCGATCGTTGAAGTTAAGCAACTTTCGCAATGGTCGGTCATTAGATGGGTGACCAAAAATCTCCTATCTCGAGTTCCTCCGTGCTTTGGAGGGCACGTTAAGCCGTTGGTCCCGGCTGCATTTGCAGTCGTTAGCACACGCCAATGCGCACTAGGGCCGCGTGGTGGATCATGGACTCTATTCCATCCATATGGAAGGCCTGTGCCCCAGCAGTGGAGACATTATCTGAGAAAACTATGGAGAAAAACTAAGGAAATGATAAGAAGTATCAGACTATCTTTATTTTAAAAAAAATACTGATAATCGCGACTTTATTAAAAACTTAGCAAATAGGGTAGGTATTTGACAAAATTTAGAAAACGATCTGACATTAATGTTTATCGAGTCCGTAAAAAGTGGTCATCATTCTGTTCTGTATTTCAGTAAAAATAACCAAATCAAAAACTCCATTTTCAAGTTGCCGCGCAAACGTTTCTTTGGACTATCTGGAGTCTTACTAGTGTGTGACGTCACACGACTGTGATTAAAACGTCAAACGATACAATGTAATGTCACTTTATCCGGAAGTTTACTTGCGTGTGACGTCATTTTAGGCTCGGCCAATCCCAAGCGTTTTGGGTCACGTGACAATAGATAAGAAAATTATTATCTTTTCCGTTAGTTTTTAGTAAAATTATGAATATTTTTACTGTAAAAATAGTAAAAACCCCTGCTAATATTCATTCTTAACACAGATGCTAACAATTGGCACTTTATTTTTAACACTGTCATATACCCTATTATTAGCATTGCTATGCTTGCTCGATTACAAAGTCAGTTGACAGTACTTTAGAATAACTTCTTACTCATAAATAATTATGAAACACACTTTGTGTAGATATAGCTTTAATAGTTATAAATTTTAAACTTTTTGAAAAATCAAATTACAATTCCAAAGTACTAGCGGTTGGCAGTTTTTTTTTAAAACACTTATTTATTTATTACATTGTAGGAAGGCCAAAGGGGAAGATCTTCCTCCGAGCTGGGTAATGTTAGCTCGGGGGCCGCGGCCCAACTGATGTTGGTCGGGCATCGTATATATGAAGAGTTAGCCTCCGAATTTCATTTGCGCGATATAGGCTTTCATACTATTATTGATCGCAGTGCAGGTAACGCCATCTCTTGAGGATGGTGAGTAATGATTTCCTCCATTCGTTGTCTATATGTGGGGCATATAGATGTCGCCGCCACAACATTTTAAGTTGATGAATATAACATAATTGTGGTGTAGAGGATCCGATAGTTGATAGAGTAGGCCCATCAGAATCCGAGGCCGCGTCGAGATGCAGCCAGGGAGGTCGAATGGGTGGGAAAGACAGGGAGAGGAGAGGACGGTTTAATAATAGTGAGAGGCGAAAGGAAGAGGAGAGGAAAGGAATCGAAACAGAAAAAAAAATAAAAGGAAATATAACTAGAAAAAATTCCACGCGGACCAGGCAGCAGACGAGACTCGATTCGATCTAATCTTCTATCTAATTGGTCAGTGCATTCGCCCGGATTGCGAAGGGTGCGGGTTCGAGTCCCGTCTGCTGCCTGGTCCGCGTGGATATTTTTCTAGTTATTTTTTTTTAGATTTAAACATCAAGCAGTAACTGCAGTAAATGCTTTAAAATAATAAAAAATATAAATAAAGATTTAAAGGATGGGAGTAAGAGTGTAAGGGAATAGGTTTAACAATCTTGCATGAAATACAGCCATTGACGGAATACATTCAATATTAACGTGGTGGTTACAGAAATACACATAGGAGAGGCCGCAGCCGCAGCCCGCATCTGCCTATTTAAACACTTTAAACTTAATGATAAAATAAACAATCTAATATATAAAATTCTCGTGTCGCGGTGTTTGTGGTTAAACTCCTCCAAAACGGCTTTCCCGATTCTCATGAAATTTTGTGTGCATATTGGGTAGGGCTGAGAATTGGACAACATCTATTTTTCGTCCCCCTAAATGTTAAGGGTAATCCACCCCTAAATTTTTTTTTTCAATTTTAAATATTTTTTTTTTTAAATTTTTTTATGATACAGCATTAGTAAATACATATAACCCAGAATTTTCAACCCTTTACAATCAACCCCTATTTTTTTTGGCGGTACGAAGTTGGCTGGGTCAGCTAGTAGAAATTATAAAAAAATATAAATAACAAAATATAAGGTCACATGTTCAATAGTTTGTACAATCTAGTGTAAGTAGGCAATGATTGTAAATTTGTTGTACTTACTGTTGAACAAAATGATCTGGAAGCAGTGCAGCAGCGATAGAGGGGGGAAGAAGGCGTTAATGTGCACGTCGAAGGCGTAGCCCCACTCCACATCCGGCCCGTCGCGGTCCCGACGCAAGTACTTGTTACTTATATACCTGGTTAACGAAAACTACCTGAACCATTATATTTTTTAAGCATTTAACTGCTAGATGTTCAAATCGTAATAAAAACTAGTGTGCTTATGACCACACGACTGAAGTGCAATCTGTATGTATGTGTATATATATATATATATATATATATATATATATATATATATATATATATACGGGGCGTTCCAAGGCTACCTCACACGTTACACGTTTCGTTTTTATATTAGTTTGTGTTAAATATTTTACATAAAATGTTGAATTTAATGATTTTTCTTTCATTTAAAATGCTATGGTATTTAGCAAAAAATAATCCTTACGATTAACCCTTTCAATGGTTATCAGAAAATGTGTCGTTTTTTTTCGAAATTTGACTAGTTTGATTCCCAGTTGTAGCAGGTAAAATCTTCGAATGCAGTTCAAGTTATAATTAAAAATAAAATGATGTCTTCTTCCGGTAAAATATCCTATCTTCAATATTTTATATACTGTCCCTCCGTGTGAGGTAGCCGTGGGACGCCCTGTATATATGGACAAATACATGCATGTACATATTTCATTTACTAGCTATAAGAGAAAGAAAACGTGCGCGCGAACTGCTTTCTCTTGCTTATATCCCACACTCAACTTCCGTTCGCCTCGCCGGAACACACTTTTCGTAACGCGTAACGCATTCGCCAGTTTACCCCCCCAAGTCAAGCGTACGTAAAGAAGTTTCACATCAAAAAATACTAGAAAAAAATCCACGCGGCACAGGCAGCAGACGGGACTCGAACCCGCATTCCGCCCGCCCTTCGCTATACGGGCGAATGCACTGAAAATATATTTATAATTGATATTTCTTCTTTCAAATGTTTAATACTTGTAAAGGTATTCATTTGATATTGTGTTTTTACCTACAATGCGAAGAGATATCGCAACCTTGCAGTCTTAGAAGGGCTAGAGAAAATTCGACACGGCCATAAGGGCCGCGGCTGCATAAAGTATCTTAAATATTCCATCAAAGTACAATTCATCACTATATCAAATGTACCCATATCAGTTTAGCAGGTCAATAAATAACCTATTTATTATTATTATTAATACTTATTTGATACAAATATTCTGCTACAATAAGTTTTCAGATCCTTATAAATTTATATAATCCAGTATAGCCCTTGCACTTACCAGAATAAGGTAGAAACTATAATGCCAGCCCCAATGAAGTCCACAAATACCACATATAGTATGAACAGCACAATCTGGCCCCAGCCCAACCCAATTCCCAATGAGAAACATATTGACGACACTGAAACAATAAATTATGATCATCAGTCACATTACAGTTAAAATAAAATAATGCATGTAACAAAATACTGATTTTAGGTATTTTTTCTATTTTTTCCAGCGATCTGTTCTACAATTTTGGTCAGGAGTTGTGATTGACTTCTTCTTTCTAACTATCAAGGAGAAAGTCCATTGACTCCTCCACCACGTGTCTGTTTGCAAAGCTGTTCTGTCCATCGATGAGACTAAGGGGCGCCGTGGCCCGAAGCCTCTTGCAACATTCGTCAATGCTAAGAAGGCATGATGCCATTTGATTGTGTGATTTAAGGCGTGAACAGTGGCGGCGCTAGACCACATGTGGACGTCGGCAACATCAAGTTCGCGAGGCCTATTTTAAGCCTCAGGCGCGAGGCCGTCGGCGGTGGCCGACGGCGCCGACGCCTAGCGCCGCCACTGGGCGTGAACTATAACATTTGACTACTTCTTCTATTTCTTGTTTGACATTTGGTACTCCTGAGTCTTTGTGTAATTGATAATTTGTTAAGTACCATGAGCATCATCAATCATACACAACATTTTGGATTGAAACATTTGTAGTATTTGTATGTTTGAAGCAGCGGCAGTACCCCACAGCTGCAGTCTATATGTCCACATGCTAGTAATTTGTTCTCTAAGGAAAGTTTAGATTCGCGGTTCATTAGCCAAAATAGATTTCTTTCCTGATGTCTCAAGGCTTTCCTTTTCGTGAAGATGTGGTGTTTCCATGTCCGATGTCTATGCAAATGTAATTTGCGTTTTCTGCTTGACGCAAAGGTATGTCGTTAAGAAAAACTGTGGGACACGTATCATGTCTCAGTGTGAATGTTACATTGACAGATTGAGCTTGAGCAAAAACCATAGACAAGGAAACCTATGCAGTAGCAATTTTACATACAAATTGTGTACTAGTTCTGCTCAAGAATTTTGTCGCTACCTTATATACACTTATTAATAAATGTTCATTGAATGACAAATGGTATTTGAGTGACGTGACAAACCACGTTGTAACTAGTCTAGGCTTACTCCTTGTTTATTAATAAAGGGGAAAGTGTTTCATTTTCAAAGTAGCAGTTTTTTAGTTCACAAAATGATTGTTAAATACTTATAAATTACTAGCGGTCACCTGCGTTAACTTAAGTTTTTTTTTAATCTCTCAAGAACCATCCAGGTTCTTGAACAGTTCAGTGAAATTATAAAAGACACCTATCAATCAAATCAAACTATCAATTAAAAGTATGATATAAGCACTGGAAATCAATTTCTAAATGAAGTCGTTAAGACACAACTGTCAGCTGCTGCCTGCTCGCTCGTTCTGAGTCTGCACGACAGGCAGCCTTTGTGATATTGATTCGTTGGTGGGAGAAGTGGTGGGAGGCGCCCTCGGTGATGGCATGCGCGTGAGCTGCGCGCGGTACTGAACATTACTTGAACATTGCAACATTACTTAATTTTTATAAAATAAAAGATTTTTTCTAAAATATAAATAGCATAAGCTACTCCTTATTACATCAGCTACCTGCCAATTAAAGTCCCATCAATATCGGTCCAGCTATTTCAGAGATTAGTCGGAATAAAGACAGACAGACAAAAATTGTAAAAAATGTTATTTTGCTGTATGTACCATATACATATATATTCATATGCATGTAGTAAAAAGCAGTAATTTCAATATTACAAACAAACACTCCAATTTTATTTATATGTATAGATTTCAATATCATAGTAGAAGCGTATTTAGTATTTAATTGCTAATTAGCTGATGAGTTATCTGGTAAAAATAGTCTCATTCTTATGTATTATGTAAATTAAAATGCTTTACCATCAGATGTGTCAAACATTTCAAACTTGTGAGATATCCAATAAAATTGCATGTGATTATTGAGAAATAGTGTGTTCATACTTACAAAATAACCAAATGCACAGTAACACGAGAAACGCTGGATCGTCTCTAGCGAATTGTGATTTAGTGTCTGGAAACATGAAAAATAACATAATTAGGTACTTTTTAAATTTTATGCATTATATTTATTTTACAAACAAATACATTTAACACAATGAACTCTTTCTCAATTAAATTTGTACTGCATTCATGGACATTTAATATGTATTTCTATATAAATATACTTACATAAATACAGTATTTGTATTCTATCCGTTACCCTAGTATCCCATAACACAAGCCTTACAGTGCTTACTTCGGGGCTAGGCTAATTGGTGTGTGTTGGAAATATTTATTTATTACCAGTAAGGACTGCATATAATACTATTGTCACGTATTAATGGAGGAAATCTTACGTTTTCTGTAATTAAAATTCCTAAAGACTTTCTGTGGAGCTACAAATAAGTAAACCATTTGCCAGGCTGCAAATTCGAAGTCCATTTGGTTGAATTTGAATAGTCGTCTGAGGTATTTGTATCTCTTCGTTGCGGCACTGGCTGTGCTGGGCTGGTAGTTGGCTGGTGCCGGGAGTGGTGATGTGCTTCTGGGATAGTTGTTCATACTTGGAGTGGGTGATGTGGAGTACTTCATTTTGTGATTGTTTAATAACTTTACATCAAAGGTTACACTGTTTTTTGATAGTAAACGTTTGCTATTTACTAAGTCGATATTACTATATCCGATCTATTAGTTTACTTTCTTTAAAAATAAAAATAAATAGGAATCAAATATTTAATCATTTTGCCCGTCGTCAGCTGTCAACAGTGTCAACTGTCAGCCTTGACTGTCAGCACAGACAACTTAGCAGTGTTGCCAAGTTCAAAAATCGGGAGGTGTTATAGATCAGTGGTTCTCAAACTTTTTAAATGACGGAACCCTTTTGGGAAGCAAAATACTTGATGGAACCCTACAATAAAACAATTATTTTTATAAGTGTATTCTATATTAATCAGCATAATAAAAGTACAATGTATCCGTTACTAATTATTATTTACTTCACCACTTGGTAAGGACAATAATAGAAAACATTAAAAAAGAAAAAATCTAACTAGTGGGAGGTATGAAACTGTTTTTTATTTTTCATCAATTGCTTGATATCAGGTTTGATGGAAGAAAGTTGGAGTCTCATATCAGCTTCGGCGTCCAGTCTATTGCGATATTTTGTTTTCGTGGCTGCGTAGGTAGAGAATCCTGTTTCGCACAAATATGTAGTTGGGAACGGGAGAAGAATATCCAGAGCCATTTGGCCAAGCATTGCATATTCATCTTGGATTCTGCACCAAAAATCATTAAGAGGCGTCGTTTTGAACAATGACTCCATACTTGTGTCTGATGACATTTCTAAAAGAGATTCATATATCTCATTTGACATGTTTTCAGGCTTTTCCAAGTTGGGTAAAAAAGGATTATGAATCCAGGAGTTCACTTTAATTTTTGTATTGTGTTCTTCGGGAAAATACTTTTCAAAAGATGCGCGCATCGAACTGAGATATTGGACCAATTCTTCAAACACATTATCTTCAAACATTTCTGAGTCGTTTTCGCTAACAAACTCAGTGAGTAACGTAAAACTTTCTATTTCTTTCTTACCAATGCAAATGATCCAAAAATCTAATTTTCTTTTAAAAGTAGTTATTTTATTATAGGCCTGAAACACTGTTGTCTGTTTACCTTGCAATGATAAATTTAATTCGTTAAGTTTTTGAAAGATATCCGCCATAAAAGACAATCGGAACAACCAAGTTTTATCATACAAACGGTCCTTCAAATTAAAAGAAGTATCTGCTGAAAGAAACATTTGTAACTCGGCTCTAAGTTCAAATAGCCTTGTTAAAGTTTTTCCCCGAGACAGCCATCGCACTTCTGTATGGAGCAGCAGTGTTTTATGTTTGCTGCCATAATCTTCACACAATAATGAGAACAATCGGGATTGTAGTGGTCGTGATTTGATAAAATTAATTATTTTTACCGCTTCATCCATAACTAATTTTAGATTAGACGGCATTTGCTTCATCGCAAGTGCTTGTCTATGCAGAATACAATGACTGGAACTACAATTAGGCGCTTTATTTTTCATTCGTGACACTGCTCCTGCTGTTTTACCTGTCATCGCCTTGGCCCCATCTGTACAAATGTCAATGCAATTGTTCCAACTGAGATTATGTTCTTCAAAAAATATATTTATTTTATTAAAAATTTCTTCCCCGGTAGTGTTTGTAAGCAGCGATGAACACATAAGCATGTCTTCTTCAAAAGAACTTTTATATGGATATCTCACAATAACCAGCAGGATAGCCAAACCAGCGACATCAGTCGACTCGTCCATTTGCAAAGCGAATCGTGTATTTTGTAGACGTGTAACTAGTTCTTGTTTGACGTAGCTTGCCAGATCATGGATTCGTCGTGAAACAGTATCGTTTGATAGCGGAACAGTAGAAAGATGCTTTGCAGATTTTTCATCAAGCATACATTTTGTTATGTCTAATACACATGGTTTTATTAATTTCTCAGCGATAGTGTGCGCTTCACCTGCTTGTGCAATGCGATAGCTAACTAAGTATGATGCCTCCGTGGCCTTTTCGTTGGTAGTTTGTGTTACATGCATCATATTTTTTTGACTTTCTAATAACTGATCTTTTTTGCGAACAAAAAATTCTTTATTCTTGTCTTTAGTCTCGGGGTGTACGGTTTCTAAATGTCGACGCAATTTGGCAGGTGCCATGGAACTATTAGGAAGCAGTTTACTACAGAGCATGCAGAGAGGTGAGCCGTTGGAATCAACAAATCCGAAACTGATATAAGATTCATCATACTTCCTTTTTTTCGTCTTTGAAACCGTCGAGCTTGACGTCGTGGCACTCGTGGCATCATCTTCTGGATCGGTGATTGCTAAATTCTCCGCGCGCATTGCTTTTGAACATTCAGCGTCATTAGAAGATGTTGTTGGAACACGTTTAACACCTTTAAGCCAACGTTCCATTCTTCTTTATTTATAATGTTACAAGTCAGGATAGTGGGGTTTAAATAATGCACAATCGTTACTGCGTATAAGAGACTAAATTTAGAACCTACAGGGAAGAAATGTATAAAACTGAGACAACAGAATACAGCAGGCAGTAAAACAATGAACACCAGTTTCTCGCTAGCGAGCTTGTAAGTAGGTAGTAACTTATCGCTCCGAACGCTAATCATCAACTGACGACGCCAACGCGCGATCGCCGCTTTTATACTTAGTCCTAGACTCGATCTCAAATATTCTCGAAAATACTCGAGTCGGCACCTTTGATAAACAAAAAGCAAAAATAAAAACAGAAATTTAAAAATAGCGTTGTAAACAATATCGACTTTATCCTTTGAAGTTAGAGACGAAAGTCGCTAGTTGACAACTATAGCGTCTAATTCAGAGGCGGCTTTTATCAAAGAGACTGAGCGCTTACAAGTATACTACCCGCTCGTTTTAAGTTTGCCGCTGGCGATAGGTATGAGTGTATGACGTTCGAAATTTTTTATTTAATTGTAACAATAAAAATTGTGTACGTTAGATATTTGGGTAAAATTATGACACATTATAAGTTTTGTTGTCACGTGGGGGAGGGTACGCGCATTCCACAGACCGGCAAACTTAGAGCGAACGCGTTGTACAAGTATAAAATTGTTGAGACCAAACTTATGAGATATTGTACCAGCTAATGTAACACAAGCTTATACAAATACAAATAAATAAATAAATAACATTCATAGCGTTTTGTCTCCGCGCGGCCGCGGAGTCCGCACAGCCGCGGAGCGACCAGAGAGAGGTGTTTTGATTTTTTTATTTCTAAATTCTTGCGGAACCCCGACAGAGGTATCACGGAACCCTAGGGTTCCGCGGAACACACTTAGAGTATAGCTGTTATAGATTAAAGCAATAGATAGAGCTACAAGAAAAAACAGTAGATACAGAGGCGTACTTTTTTCAATTTGCACCCCCGTCCCCTAGAATTGGTAAATCAAATCATGATATGGGCCAGTAACAAATGTGTTTCTGTGGTTTCTGCTGCCCCTCAAAGTTCGTTTTTTTTTGAGACAATAACATATTTATTTTATTTTAATTAAGGTTGCCTACATTCTTAATGGCGGAAAATGAAATTCACCTTGAATATTGAATAAGCCATTTGAACATTATGTTCTAAAATCAAATCAAATAGAGCGCTTCCCAAACTTCCTGTTACACACTTCCGTCTCACTTTACGTTATCACTCCCACAAATTGCACGAAAACGAGAGGAAAGATGTTACACATCAAAAAGTATAGATATGAATGCTTTTAATACCTGCTAAAAATATTTTTGCTTGTAGAAGAATCCTAGTTAATTATTTTTTCTTTAATTCTGGGAAAAATTCCCAAGTTGGTTAAATAGTTTAAGTTTGTCCTTCTTGAGTTTGTCCAAGGAATCATGTCATTGTTGAATCATGTTGTCAATTTTGACATTAGACGTCATTTTTTTACTTTTAATTTTTTTTGTTAAGCTCGACTAGTAATCGCAAAACCTATTCAGTCTTAAGCTTGAAACATATTAACGTGTTTATATATATTAATTAGTATATTATCGGTTTCCTACATTTATTATTGGTTAGAGAGAGAGAGAGAGAAAGAAGTTAGAGCGTTGATACGATACGTCACGTAAATATGTCTCTAACCATAGTAAATGTATGAAATCGATGTGCTTCTGGTGCGCCATGAAACGACACGTCAATATATTTCTGGCTTTAATTTTATTTTTTTATAATTTTATAATAATCGACATCATTATTTATGTTCCTACAGTAAATAATGTCCTCATAGACCCATGAGGTAGGGGAACAGTATTTAGACATAAGGTGTATGTGTATGGATTGGGATATTATTCCCCCCCCCCTCCCCCTTTCGTGTCTGTTATGTTCACAAACAAGCTGCGTTCATACAAAAAATCAAGCGGAGTTTAGTTTTGTAATAAGGTTATATTATAAAAAGATAAGACAGGAGCTCGATGGCGCAGGTGGCTAACGCGATCGTTGAAGTCAAGCAACTTTCGCATTGAATGGGTGACCAAAAAGCTTCTATCTCGATTTCTTCCGTGCTTCGGAAGGCACGTTAAACCGTTGGACCCGGCTGCATCTGCAGGCGTTAGCACCCGCCAATCCGCACTGGGCGCGCGTGGTGGGTCATGGCCCAATTTCCCTATTCCATTGGAGTGGGGACATTAATAGGCTGATGATGAAGATAAGACAAAGAGTTCGCCTCCGTTTTTAGATGTCGATTAAAGATAAGAGAACGGCGATATTACCGTTCTTAAATATTTGAAAAGCATTTTAATGTCGATATACCTAAACTTTTTTTATTGGTGCTGTTTGTTTTATTGAAGGGTAATGGTGTTATTAGGTAGAAAAAAAGATATACACATATTAGGTACTAATACAATTTATTATTTTCATTTTTAATTATAAAATTAAAATCCTACATATTATGTTTCAAAATGGTTGCAGTCAAATTTTCTATCACATGAACACTTATAAAGATGTATTTAATAATGAAAGATGATACCTAATACAATAATAAAATACCAACCTACGTTTCAAAAAGAACGTCATATAAATAGAAATAAATTAGAATGCCACAGAAATGACAAAAATTATAAACACAAGTTTATATTATGATACGTATGGCAAAATATCATAGATAAATGATTGGTCTCGCTTCAGACCAATCATTCGTCTATGGCAAAATATCATAAGAAGAATAATGTTAATTAAGAACTGTTAATATTTGGTAACTGGAGCAAACCACATCCCTACGTTAAGTAAACTAAACATTCAGTCTAAATAGAAGGCCTATTCGCTAAGAGTTTTAACAGGTGGAACTGATGATCACTGAACTATTTTATGATCCACTTCTGCTTTATTATAATGCCACTAAAATTGGACAAGTAATTTTCACTTTAGCTACACACTGGTGTTGATTCTAGCATGATTCTCTAAACCTAAACTTAAATTTGACAACAAGTGTATTCTTGTCATTTTTTATAATACAGAATGAAAAGAACAGACTGATGTTATATTTAGTTTTAATTTTAGAGAATCATTCCAGAATCGACACTACTTTAGGTGTTAAAAAAGTTAGTGAACAGGCCTACTGGACTTAATTTGACAGCGGTCTCTCCTTTACATTTTCACGATAAGGCTGCGTTTCCACCAGAGATGTGCGAGGATGCATAGCGAGGGATGTGTTTGTAAAGAACCAATAGAATCGCTCCATTTACCTCGCCTCGGTCAGCACAGCTCTAGTGGAAACGGCTCAGCCGAGCTAGATTTTTGCGCATACAAAACAAGCGAGGGATGTGTGCGAGGGATGTGTACGAGGGATGTGTGCGAGGGATGTGTTGCGAGGAATGTGTGTTGAGAAGGATGTATAACGAGGTTTGCGCATACTGTACCACACATTAATGCGCATTTTCACAGCTCCGCTACACATCCTCGTAGGCACATTTTCATCGCACAGCTTTGGTGGAAATCCCCACACATTTTCACAGCACAGCTAGACATCCTCGCACGACACATTTCCATTGCACATCTCTGGTGGAAACGCAGCCTAAGGGTAGGTAATATTTCTTTATTTTCAGGCTGCTTATTCCTGTTCTTTCAGGAAATATTTCATAAACTCCTCCAGCGAGGGATTGTAAGTGGGTAATTAATTATCTTGATCTGAAAATCAACAAGCTTAATTAAAAGGCCAATCAAGACATGATTAAATATGAATCGGATAAGCCTGCTGTTCCATAAGGAGGCATCAGTAGGTAATCCGTGCCTTTTATTCGACTTGTCGTCTCACGTATTGTGACGGTTCATTCGGAATTATGGCGTTTACATAACGCGGTTATAAAAAACGAGTTAAGCTGCGCTAACAAATCCAATCTGAAAGAGCCTTAGACATAGGAGAATGGACTCTATGGACCTGAGGAATGGACTGAGGGATACTCGCGTGAAATTGTCAACTGTCTAGAAGGATAGCGATGGTGCAGCCAATAAATCTCCCATTTTTTATTCCCCTTCCCTTATCTGCCCAACTTTTCTTTACATTTTGTTAGGGAACGCACAATACCTTCTCTATGTAAATTTGCTAGTGCACGTTCAGAGCATATTCTACAGCAGCTAGGGTATGTATCTGGTGATGTGCGCTCAGTCCGTCTATCCGTTCTCTATGTTTATAGTTCTATATTAACTAGTGTGGTCAGAGCATGTTCTGCTGCAGCCAGGGTATGTATCTGGTGACGCGTGTGTAGACGCCGGGGTAGCCAGGCTCGCCGCACTTGTTCCCGAACGACACCACGCCTATTTGCGTCCAACGCCCGTTCACCTCCAGCATCAGAGGACCCCCGGAGTCACCCTGGAATAAGAGGATAGCCAATAACTAAGAAGAAGTGCAGAGGTGAGGATAGCCAATAAGTAAGAAGAGCAGCTCGATGGCACCAGCAGTTAGCGCGTTCGGCAGCGATAGTTCGCAGTGGTTGGGTGACCATAAATTAACGCTTTGAAAGGCACGTTAAGCCGTTGATCCCGGCTGCAGCTGCAGTCGTTAGCACGCACCGATCCGCACTGGGCCCGCGTGGTGGGTCATGGTAATCAATCTCCCTATTCCATCTACAGGAAAGGTCTGTGCCTCAGCAGTGTGGACATTAATAGGCTGATGATGATGAAGAAGAGATGGTCGATATTGAGTTTCTGAATAAGTCGTCTCTATGTCATGTATGGGGTTTTAAGGTAAAAAAACTCGCCTGGCACGCGTCGACGCCACCTCGAGCGTACCCGGCGCACAGGAAAGTGTCAGTGATAGGTTGGAAGTAGGCGCGGTCGCAGTCCTGGTTGCGCCACACGGGCAGCCGCGCCTGCAGCTGGCGCGAGGACTCGCCGCCGCCGTAGCGAGTGGTCCCCCACCCCACGACGGTGCCGACAGCGCCGTCGAACTGCTGCGTCGTCAGCTGGCCCGATGGCAGACAGATGGGGATCACGTACTTCGATTTCTGCACGTTCTCTGCAATCGGATATTAGGTAATTAAATAAAGATTCTTCTACGAGAGAACAAAATTATAGACACTATAGGACATATCGTTTTTTAAATAAACCTGGACGGTAATTGATACAAAGACCGAAGATGGCGCTCGCTATGGAAGTTCGAAAAACAAAAAAAGTCTGCTTAGCTATTTTCCAATACGGTTATTTTGTCTCAGGAGAGACTTGAAATATTTCTAAATCTGGACAGTTATCTAGGGAACGAAAAATCTGAAATTCTTTTGAAGTGACTTTAAACAAACTACTAGAATTTATGAAGACAGGGTAATGACAGGTACAAAAAAAACCGGCCAAGTGGGAGTCGGACTCGCGCACCGAAGGTTCCGTACAAACCTGTAGGTATATTTTATTAATTAATAAAAATATTTTTTATTATATGATGTAACTAAAAATTTACGGATTTCCTATAACTGTACTATAAGACGTTACTTCGTACCAAATTTCAAGATTCTAAGTTCACGCTGTAGGTTTTGATTCCCGCGCAAGTTTCAAAATTACAGTAGACCTGAGTATTAGTTATGAATTTCAATTTGATATCTCCACGCGTTTCTGAGAAAAACGGTCTTGACAGACTGGCAGACGGACGTACGGACAACAAAGTGATTCTATAAGGGTTCCGTTTTTTCCTTTTGAGGTACGGAACCCTAAAAATATTTAAATAGTTGTTAAGCAATATATTCTCCAATCACCAGAAGGACATATTTTCTGTGTTATTAGATGAAGCCTACATCCAGCCAGCACCAGAACCACTATGTCGTTATAGAAGCTGACTCTGGAAAACTACTAGTGGTCTCGCAACTACGACACCCACGGCGTCACCGGCCGCAATGGCTCGATCTTAAATATTTTCTCCAATCAACATAAGACCTTGTGTTAGTTGATTAAACTTACCAGCTTCAGGATTACTATGTCAATGTAGAAGCCAACCGTGGAGACGTGCCCGTGGGCTCGCATCTCCGTCATCCGCAGCGTCACTGGCACCAACAGTTTGTTCTCAAAAATTTTCTTCAATCAGCATTAGACCTTGTGATTGTTCACCGAACTTACCAGCTAGCACCGAGATCGGTATGTTGTGGTAGAAACCGACCCTGCAGAACTGTTCATGGGCTCGCACTTCTGTCACCTACAGCGTCCCCGGCCGTGACGGTTCGTCCTCAAATATTTTTTCCAATCGACAGAAGGATATATTCCCTGGGTTAGTTGATCAAACTTACCAGCTAACACCAGGATCGCTATGTCATTGTAGAAGCCGACCCTGGAGAACTGCTCGTGTGCTCGCACCTCCGTCACCCGCAGCGTCACTGGCCGCGAGGGCTCGTCTTCGCGCGCCAAGTCCACGTCACCAAGCCGTACGCTGAACTGACGCGCTGGGAATCTAAATATGGCAAAAGCACTTGAAAAAAGTTACAATATCATCATCACCAATGTTCTTAATGCTGGTGAACCTGTTGTAATGAACAGGACTACTTTATCAAGGTTTAAGTTCGAAGAAAAACATAGAATTCCTCAGTTTCTGGTTTTTAATAGACTTCAAGAGAGGATGTTCTCAGTCTGCCTGTATGTATGTTTCCCCGCGATTATCTCAAAAACTACTAATTCGATTTGGATGGAGTTTCCAGTATATAAATGCATAAGTTAGAATTTACTAGAAAAAAATCACCGCAGACCAGGCAGCAGACGGGACACAAACCTGCACCCTTCACTATCAGGGCGAATGCATTGACCATTATGCTATCGCGGCCCTGATGACCGTGTCGAAATCTTTCTAGCCTTTCTTAAGCTGCGTCTGCTGCCTGGTCCGCGTGGATTTTTTTCTAGTAATATTTTCTTTAGATTAAAAACACCGAGCAGTTACATGCTTCAACAATAAATATTAAAAATATAAACTATCTATAACATCAAGAAAAAAGGTTTCTTCATCATATTTTAAGACATGAGCGCTATTATTTTCTTCAGACTATAATGATGGGAAAGATTGAGGCAAAATGATACGTCGGAAGAAGGAAGATGAGGTTCCGTAACATCAGCGAGTGGACTGGTGTAGCCAGCGTGGGAGACCTATTTCGTCTTGACGAGACAAAGACATACGCAGAGCTGACGGCCAACCTCCAGTTATGGAGAGACACCATAAGTAGAAGAAGAATAATCTGTTTGGACGATACACACGGCCGCTGCTTGGAATCCCTGGTGCAATGCGCGGCGGTGAGGACGTGCCGCCGGTTGATGAGCGTGCCACCGCACCAGAACTCGCGGCGCTTGCTGCCGTGCAGGTAGATAGCGGCCATCCACGGCCACGCGCCCGGCTTGGCCTCCGTGCCGCCAACGATGCGCCCGCCCTCGTCCTCGCGCTGCCCGCACTCTGAAGTCGTGATAAATGTGGTTTTTAAACAAAAACGAAAGTTGTCACTTTTACTAACCACAAAGTAAGTAAGGCAGTGCAAGCTTCTATTGTGGGATACTAGGGTAATAGTAGGGGAGTTTAAGAGGGGATTTTGGGATTTACTCGAGTGCAACAGTATACATAATGCTGGCAACTTTGTACCTTATTAAGTACTCCCACCATACATGAGCTCTTTTTATATCGTTAGACGATCGGCAGCAAAAAAAATATGCAATCGGCCAGGACTTTTAATCGCGTGTGTCCAATTCGTCAGTCTTTTGAATAGGAGCAACTGGAGGGTTAAAGTAACACCCCTACTCCATGTTTGACATGCTCGAATATTTCTTTTCCTATTTTTTTCTTAAATTAGCCTAAATCTTAAAATGTAAAATGTTTGGTTGTGAGTGAATGACTATGATTATTTTCTACCCATTCGTACGGCCACCTTACACAATGTTTTTCTATAATCAGAAACGTTACGTGAACCCTCCCCCTAGCTCGTATTTAAAAGATTGACGACTTGAAAGCGATCAAAAGTCATGCCGATTGTTGATTGTTTTTTGCTGCCCTGAACGTTTGACTCTATATAAGGGTTCATGTTGTTAGATGTTTAAAAAGTAGTAATAACGATTTTAAATAACACTGAATAGTTAGTAGCTCAGATAGCTAGAGATTTGACCGCTTATACCAAATGCCTGGTTAGAATCTATACCTGCCCCTCTAGCATGATCACCGAAACGGGATATGATAAAGCGATATATCGACATTAACTATCAGACTACTGTCAAACTCCATAGTTGTCTGACAGTTGATGCCGTTAAATCGCTTTATCATATCCCTTTTCGGTGGTCATGCTAGCGGGGCTGGTAATTATCTGTAGATAATTTCTCTATTTAAAATGTTATAAACGTTTCCAAACGTTAACAATTCCAGTAAAATGTATTTTATCTTTTAATAAACAACGATGAATATGACTTTAAAATTACATTAATTGTACGCAAATTAGTAGTAGCAGAGAATAATTAACTTAACATAAGGTAGTTGTAATTCTCTTTATTTTTTATGTCAAATTAAATGTAAATTGAACATTGAATTAAAAATAAATTAGACTTACCCTCTACATCAACAATGTTTGAGAAGTTCGTTATTATTGGAGGTGACACGGTGTAGAAACTAGTCGTTGAAACCGGCCGAGCAGTCGTCACAGCTATAGCAGTCGTGGGTCTTGCAGTTGTAGGCCGAACAGTCAAAGGTCGTGCAGTTGTAGGTACGGTTGTTAGAGTTGTACTAGGCCTTTTCGTAGTCAACACTAATATGGCTGACGGTTTCTTGGTCGTTGTTGGCTTCTGCACCGGTCTCTGTGGGGGTTTTTGTGGTCTTTGAGTCGTAACAGGAACCAAATAGGTTGGTTTGCTGGTTGTCGCCAATACAGGCTTTTCAACAAGCGTTGTCGCCGGTACGATTGAATCTTTTGGACAGCAAACACCAGGAACAAAAAGATCTTTGAAGCATAAAGATTCTCGAAGATTGACCAAGTTTAGAAGCAATTGAGGACAATTACTCAGGTCCTCGCAAACACCTTCCTCACCTTCTGGTGTAGCGCACGACTTTACGTCGTTTTCTGGTACACCAGCTGTAGCTATTTTGGTGATCGGAGCGTCAGGCAGCACCCTGGGTAGTGCCTTTTTGACAATTGGGGCTATTTTGTCGGTTACATTTCTTCCGAGAACATTTTTACTTATCGTGTACAAAGCTTGTGGTAACTGTTTCAAATTTGGATCAGTCTCGTCTCTTTCATTTTCGTTGACCATGTCTACGAGGTAGTGTCCAACTGTATTGATAGCACCAAGAGTTTCCGATATCCTCGTGAAAGCCGAGTCTGATAATAGTCGTCCATCATTTTGAGTAGCTTCAGCCTGGATGAAGTCATATGAAGATCGTCCGTCGTAGTTTTGTGGCAACGTTTGAACGTTTTGCGCATACGCTTGGGCTCCGAAAGGACCTTGATTGTATGTTATCGGTTGGACGTTTGTTATTCCTTCATAGTGTTGCGGCATCGGCCTATACTCTGATGCTCTTCTTCGTGGTGAGGAGAACTCATGCCACTGTGGATTTCTTTGTTGCATATACGGATTGGGCCTGTCAGAATGGCCATTTTGTATATATGGAGCTGCAAGATAAAATGGAATGTTAATATTCGAGGAGAAAATGGTGACATTGCATAAAAGATTGACGATTGTAAGACGATTGTATTGATGCATACCTACCCGGATGGTGAACTGAATATTGACAATTTGTGTGGGGCGTCAAGAGGAGGAAACCTGGAACAAAATAAAAATTTATTATAAACAAAGTATTTCTAGTAGGAAATTTGTTCGAGCGCCAGCCTACTGAAATGAAGCTGATCGCACGGACTGGACATATTCTTTTTTTTAAATATTGACTGTTTTTAATTAAGTCGATTAGGTTTTTATAAAAAAGAAGAATTTTCATTGTCGCAAAAAATATTTTTGACGTAAAAAAAAAATTGTAAAACTATAATGAAATAGTTAATTGACAATTAAACTACCCTTTATTAATTAAGCCTGAACGATTCGTCGTAGTACTCCAAGACAATGACGTTCATGGCTAGCACGGATGTGCAAACATTTCTGTTCTATGGTTGAAATTTACAGATATTCTTTTTGTTATTTAAATTAGGTAAGTCGTGTTTACAAATGATACGAAAACAAAAGGAGATTAAACATTTCGTAGAAAGTATTCGACAGCTAAGGATATCATGTTTACCTAATAAACACCCACTGACGCATCAGGCAAGCCTTATTTAAGGAAGGTTAAATTCAGGTTTCTATCGCCTTATGAAGCTGGGTGTTATCGTAAATTGTGGTGAAACTCGGACGGCTAATGTGTTCTCAGAATGCTATCGTTTTGGTTGTATTGTATCGACTTGCTACGTGTTAAAATGCAGACGCACCAAATATATTTTTGGCGATTGGCGATTTGGCGTTGGCGATGCAACGATATTCTGTTTATAAATTAATATCTTGATAACATTATATATTATGGTACGAATTTGTAAGATTTCGCGGTACCTATAACGGAGATAACAATTTTAGCCATGGATTATCTGATGCTACTTAGATTTCGCTTTGGTTTCTCTACTAATTTTATTAAGCGACTTCAAAAAAGGAGTTCGACTGTATATTTTACTTTATGTATGTTCACCGATTTCTCCGTCGATTGTGGACCGATTTCCAAAATTCTTTTTTTATTCGATAGAGTGCACTTCCGAGGTGGTCCCATTGGAACCAAGTCAGGATCTGATGGTGGTATCCGGGGAAATTGAGGAAAACATTCGATCGACAACAATCATGAACACTAAACTTTTCCTTGAGTTTATTATTTGGAATAAGAATGAAATTCAAAATAGTGTAAATAATTTTTAATTAAAAATTAAATTAAAATTAATAATTTTATTGGCTTGGCAATGTAAAACCAAGCTTAGACGAAATCATAAATAATTATCTAGGTAAAAATAATTCTATTGAGATGGCGTGTACCAATTTTACCTAAACATTTGCTTTAGAAATTCAAAACACAAAGCACAATTTTCAAATAAACTTCTTAGATAGACAGACTTATGTAAAACACTGTGATGTTACATTTCTGTATCAGAAAGTATCAAACAAGTAAATAAAAAAATATATAGATAATTTAAACATTACGAAAGTCTGGGGCCTAGATAATATAAGAAGTAAAGATTTAGAGCTTGTGAAAACAGAAATAAGCCCCATTTTGGCGAAGTTTGTAAACAACTGTGTAATGACTGGTGTGTATCCTAAGATGTTGAAAAAATCAATAATATTAACTATATACATATAAACAGGGCAGTTACTTAGACTAGAACTATGGACCGATAGCTATATTATTATCAGTGATTAACAAAATAATGGGAAAAGTAATTGTGTCCCAAATAAGGAAATACTTAGATAAAGATAATATAATATATGATACACAGCACGGTTTCGGGAGCAAGCGCAGTACCGCAACCGCTTTGGCCCAATTTACATAAAAAATATGTGGTGACTTTATTTATAGATTTCAAAAAAGCATTCGATAAGCTCGGCCACGGCCAACTCATTTTTGCCATGCAGGAACGTGGTGTCCGTGGTACTGTACTGGAATGGTTCAAAAATTACTTGAATACAGAACTTTAAGAACAGAACTTTAACTACTGTCATAGATGGGAAGAGCAGTGAGGAAGCTGACGTGATCTACGGTGTGCCGACCGGCTCAGTGTACGGGCTATATTATGCATGTGAATAGCATGTGTAATGTCGTCCAGAGTTGTTCGACATATATGTATGCCGACGATACATGTATAGTGTATGCAGAGGTATTAAAACTGTGGAAAGAAATATTCAGACCGATTTCGTAAACATAATTAAGTGGTCTCATGACAATGGTATCATTCTCAATATAGAAAACACTAAAAGCATCTCTTATCTATTAGACAAGTCCGTCCGTCTGTCTGTCTGTGGTGCTGTTTCAGCGGCCAAACCGTAAGAGATAGATAAAGAGAATATTTAAGTTATAAGTTAAGAATATTCTGATAAGAATACAAACCGGATTTGAGTAACGTAGCACTTCCGGTTTTCGAGAAATCACGAATTTCAAACGAAACCACACAAAATCTCCGAAGTTCTCAATTAATTAAATTTTTTAAATCAGGTTTTGGTGAACATTTGGTTCACTGGTTTGCTAGTATTGATTAAATCAACTTATTTAAGTGAAGCAACTGAAACTGTAAATATAATAGGACACACATTTCATTGTATACATAATGGTCAGGTAAACTGTTAATGCTCACGTATTCAATTTGCAGATAAATATAAATATCCAGGAGTAACCATAGATACTATGTTTAGTTGAAGTAGTCACATAAACATGGTAGGTAACAAACTACGAGCAATAATGGCTAAATTAATTAATTTAAAAGGAATAGTAAATCAAAAAATACTGTACATATTATACTATTCGTTAGCTGATTTATAATTAGTTAGGCATACGGGCGTACTTTCAAAACATACCTAGATAGAATAAATAACATCCAGACTCGAATAATAAGGATGTATTGTGGATGTATTGGTAGATACGCAAACTAAGTTATGTTATAAATAAAAGCTAAATATTGTTTAAAAAGTTACAAATTCTACCAGTCCATGAAAAAGTTAAATAAATAATGTCTAATGAATATGATTGTGCTAAATTAAAAAAATCACAAATATCTATATCAAAAACTCAGGGAAACGACACAAAAAAGATATTTGGAGCATATTGTTAATAACTATTTTGACCAAAGAACTCGGAAATATATAATACTAAATTTTTTAACAACATAACCTCAAAGTGGAAAAATGTACTAGTAAACATATATTGAAAACGAAAAGTAAAAAAGGTTATTTTGGATAATTTTGTTGTAGAGGACTTTGGTTAAGACTAAGTTCCTATGTGCCCAGGTAATGGTTTATGTGCATGCCAAATAACTTAATTAAACAAAATTTAATAAACCTAATTAAATAAAATTGTTTAGCCGTTAAAGCAGTAGAGTTTCATTGTATTGTATAATGGTGGTGGGTATATAAATATATATATATATATACTAGCTGTCCCAGCGAACTTCGTACCGCCATAAAAAAATAGGGGTTGGTGGAAGATGGGTGAAAATTTAGGGTTGTATGTATTTGTGTATGATGTATCATAAAAAAAATTAAAAAAAATAAATATCTAAAATTGAAAAAACAAATTTAGGTGTGGATTACCCTTAACATTTAGGGGGATGAAAAATAGATGTTGTCCGATTCTCAGACCTACCCAATATGCACACAAAATTTCATGAGAATCGGGAAAGCCGTTTCTGAGGAGTTTAACCACAAACACCGCGACACGAGAATATAAGATATCATCATCATCATCATCATCATCATCAACCATGTTCGTCCACTGCTGGACATAGGTCTCCACTAATGCACGCCACTGCTCCCGATTTTGTGCTCCTCTCATCCAGCCCACTCCAGCCAGCCTACGAACATCATCATCCCATCTTGTCCCAGGGCGTCCTACACTACGTTTATCGAGTCGTGGTCTCCACTCAAGAACTTTCCGGCTCCAACAGCCATCAGTTCTGCGGCTAATGTGACCAGCCCACCGCCACTTCAGTTTGCTAATTCGGTGGGCTATGTCGGTGACATTGGTTCTCTGTCGGATTACATCATTACTGATGCGGTCCTTCGGGGATACTCCGAGCATCGCCCTTTCCATAGCTCTTTGAGCGACTTTAAACTGGTGGACTCGTCCAGCCGTGAGTGTCCACGTCTCGGCGCCGTATGTCATAACTGGGAGGACGCACTGGTCGAAAAAATTCGACTTGAGACTTGTTGTTACATTATGCTTTTAATGATGTGGAGTTTTTTTCACTCGTTGTTCTCCGCAGGTAAAAAATATGTCCTATAACGTGTGGTAGGGAAAAAAAAATGTTTGGACGATTCAAAAGTGTTGTACCTACTATACATCCAATTTGAATAAAGATATATTGATTTCTGAGACATTGAGGGATGGGTGACGAGAAGACTTGACGAAGCTTTCGAAATAATGCCCATATTTATATATGTATATAATTATGTTTTTATTTATTTTTTAAGCATTTAACTGCTAGATGTTTAAATCTAAAGAAAAGATTACTAGAAAAAAAATCCACGCGGACCAGGCAGCGGACGGGACTCGAACCCGCACCTTTCGCAATCCGGGCGAATGCACTGACCATTATGCTCCACGGCCCTATTCGCCGCGTCGAAATTTTCCTAGCCTTAAGCTGCAAGGCAGCGCCATCTCTTCGCATTGTAGGTAACCCACAATGTCAAATGAATACTTTTTCAAGTATTAAACATTTGAAAGAAGAAATAGCAATTATAGTTATGTTTTTATTTATTTTTTAAGCATTTAACTGCTAGATGTTTAAATCTAAAGAAAAGATTACTAGAAAAAAAAAAAAAAACATGACTATAATTGCTATTTCTTCTTTCAAATGTTTAATACTTGAAAAAGTATTCATTTGACATTGTGGGTTACCTACAATGCGAAGAGATGGCGCTGCCTTGCAGCTTAAGGCTATGTATATAATTTTTCTATATATATATATAGAAAAAGCAGCGTAAAGAGCGTATTATTCGCCAACAAACTGACTTTTCAGTTTGGCGAAATAAGTTGTTTTGTATACTTACCTGTAGTTTTAGTGATAATAAATAAATAAATAAGTAACGAT